CCATGTAGCAGTGGGTGATACAGAAAGACTCAAGAAACAGGTGGTTAGTGTTGTACAGATAAATGATAAGGCTGATGGTGGCATTAATGAAATAGGCTGTCATAGTTCAGATTGTATAGCTTCTTTATCGGAACTCATGTTCTATGCAAAGTGGACATGCTGTTGTTAATTTCTTTTAATATAGTTCTTTCAAAAGTTCTCAGTTCTTACTGGATTTCATTAACAGTGTCTTCAGGATAAAAAGAAAGTAACTAATTGCAGATGTGTTGACTTGGGCCTTTCCTATTAATTTCTTTCTTATTGCTTGCACAGATGTTATCAAGTTTAACCCTTACAGCCGGGACTCTTGTGTTCACAGTGTGCAAATCTCCAGGGAGTCAAGATGCTCTGCTCAAACGCAGAAGGCGCATCCCTGAGGCTATGTAATTTCGAGGATCCTTCCGGTCTTAAAGCCAACTTAGAGGGTAAGAGCCTTTGTGCCTGTTCTTGCCTGGACGGAAACCATTAAGTAAAAGTAGTTGTTAGAGGTAAAACAGGAAGGCTGTGGGCAGAGCTTCCTCTGAGGTCAGAACTGGAGAGTCACTTAACTTTGGTCCCAGTCATAAGCTAGTCAGCACCCAGGACACAGGAAATAATCCACAGATGTTTAGTTGAGAAGTTAAGTATCAACCTCTGAAGTTTCGAAGAGAATAAAATATTCTTATGTTGACAAAAAAATGAAGAATTTCAGTTTACCCTGTAGCGTTGTGTCAGGTTTTAATACTTCATTAGTGTTTTGTTGTTTGTGAATTGGGCACTTTATTTACTTGGATTTAGGTGACATGGTACTTGGGTGTCTCCCTGATCATGAATTTACAGAGGCATATTACAGAAGTGCTAATTATCAAAAGACAGTGTTGATTTTTCCCATATAAAGTATTGTTCTAACATTTTATCTTATGCCATAAGAAAATAAATTGCCACCATTGAAATCTATATTGCAAGTTGGTTAAAAGACAGATTTCAAATTTATTTCCAAACTTGTGGGGTCTCGTCTCATTCCCCTCCCTTAAATCATCTTGTACTTTTGCTCTAGTGGTTAACGGTAAATATTTTTAGGTTAAACTCCCCCAAACTTGCTTCTTGCAGGTGCTAATCTGAAAGGCGTGGATATGGAAGGAAGTCAGATGACAGGAATTAACCTTCGAGTTGCCACCTTAAAAAACGCAAAACTGAAGAACTGTAATCTCAGAGGGGCAACTTTGGCAGGAACCGACTTGGAGGTGAGGCTCCAGGCTCTGACAGTTTTAATGAGGAGCATTACTGGTGGGATCATGCAAGCTTACTGACATTGTAAGCACAGTAGTTGGCCGGGAAGCTCACTTAGCATGGCTGGGTGCTGGAAGGTTGTTGCCCTTTCAGTGATTTTTTTCTGAAGGTGGGCATGGAGACTCATACCTGTAATCCCAGCTAAAGTGGAAGGATTGGAATTGGGAGCCTGGACTGGACTAAATAGTGAGACCCCGCACCCTTCTTCCCCTCCAAGAAGTGGGGTAGCAGGGAGTCATTTGCTTCTTGAATGACTTTGAGTTCCAGAGTTAGATCTGATCTGGTATCTAAGTTACAGGTACCAGCTCCAGATGCAGAGGGAGACTATCGCAGTGGTCAGTCAGCATTGATTTCATTTATCTCTGTTTGCTTGGATCTTGCTCAAGATATACTACATTTTTCATAAATTTTAATTCCAAACAGAATTTAATGGGCCAGATTATTTTTTAAACTACTTGAGAAATGTAAATCATTTCCAAGTTTAAGATAGATTCAAAAATAGCCCATTTTAACCTGGCATCATGTTCAGTTTGAATCTCAGCTTGAGATTTTTTATTTTGTTTATTATTTTTCATAAGACCTGTATTCTATGTGTTCTTGATTTATAGATTAGGTAGCTTGTTTGTTTGCATATAAGAACTCGTATAGCTCGAGCTATATATGATTTTCTTTTCTCAGCCCCCACAAGTGCTGGAATCATATGTGTGTGCCTCCATGCCTGGCTCAGTGGCTGCTGTCTACATAGTGCTGTCAAATGCTATTTCCTCCACTGAAGGGTGTGTTGCGTATCTATAGTGGCCACTTAACCACTTAGTTGTTGGATGTTTGAACTTGGTACCACTGAAGCACTCTTCTAAAGAAAATTACTTCATTTTAATTCATTTAAACTTAAGTAGCTACATGTTTCTGGTAGCTGTGTTCTATTGAACAACACAACATGTGGCACAGATAGAATTGTATATGAAAATTTAGATTACTGTAGACGTCTTGATTTGTTTTGTTTTACCCTTGATCTCTTGATAGTTCTTAGGATCAGAGCAGCAAATTCCTTTAATGGCAAAAGGAACTGGCTTTGCACCATTAATACAGTCCTTTCAGTTCTTTTTTCTTTATATATTATGAGTGTTTTGCCTGCTACATATGCTATATGCATGCCTGGTGCCCATGGAGGTCAGAAGAGGCCATTCAATGGATCCCTTGGAACTTGAGTTGCAGATCATTGTGAGCTGCTATGAATACTGGGAAAAGCATTTAACTGGGGGCTTGCTTAAACTTTCAGAGGCCTAGTCCATTATCATCATGGTAGGAAGCATGGCGGCAGGCAGGCATGCTGCTGGAGAAGTAGCTGAGAACTACATCCTGATCCATAAGCAGAGGGTCGGAGGGAGGAAGGGGGAGCGAGTACACACCTGGCATGGGCTTTTGAAATCTCAAATCCACCCCTGGTGACACACTTCCTCCAACAGGGCCACACCTCCCAATCCTCCTAATCCTTTCAAACAGCTCTACTCCCTGGTAACTAAGCATTCAAATATTTGAGCCTATGGGGGCCATTCCTATTCAGACCACCACAGTGCATTAGTAGAAGTTTTTCAAAAATGGGAACATTTGGAAATATTGTTCTACCATGTCCAGAAATAACTTTATGGGGAACCAAGTTCCATCCTAAATCACTTGAGCTCCATGAGTCTTGTTTTGTCTTACAGAACTGTGATTTGTCGGGGTGTGACCTCCAGGAAGCCAACCTGAGAGGTTCCAACGTGAAGGGTGCCATATTTGAAGAGATGCTGACACCATTACATATGTCCCAGAGTGTCAGATGAGAGCGGCAAGAGCTGGAGGAAGAGGTCCCTGATGAAAAGCTGTCCTCATTTTCTTTCTCCATCCATCAAGTTGTCCAGAGGAGATACCATTGTAAGGGAATTCGAGGCAAATGCCTGTTCCCAGAGGTGCATAAGAGGAAACAATTGAGTTTCCCCGCATTGTGACTGTAACAGAAGAACACTCTGTTTATAGATGTAGGGAAGTAGATCATGCTGCTGCATTTCCAGTGGAGGTGGGGCATTTGTCTGGTTTCTGACCAGGAGTAGTATCTATTATATTTGCTTTTATATAGGCATTGTGTGGAAGTACCATCTTGGTTTAAGATGCATTTGAGAATTTTAATTTATGAAAAGCACAATATATGCACAAATATATTTATTGAACACCTAGATGCAGTAAGGATGTTTAAATTGTTAAACGTCTTGAAAACTGAAGAGTTGTTCAGGTTTATAAATAGCTTTAGTGATGCCTTCCCTCTTCAAATCCCTATCATCATGCGAGTGTGGTGAGGGTAAGACTCCCTATGGCTCTTTTCTGATTCATTTCTGTAATGTTTACTTTTTGAGAAAAAAAAAAGACAGTAGCTAAACTTGAGTCATATTCTGTCCTCACATTTTGAGACAGGACGGAAGGAAAGACCTCGTAAATCATTCTGCAGGAGGACGGATCCACCAGTTGCTGCAGCTGTGCATGCTGCAGCTGTGCATGCCTCAGCTTAGGGCGAGTTCCATTCTGCACCAGATTAGGCTGCTCTGTCCATTCACTAGTCCAGTTCTCGTGCTCAGTTATCACAAGCATAGGAAGATACTTCTGAACCAAAACACCAAGCTGTATCCTCAGCACAGTTCTTGTAATGCCAAGTAGTTTATACAGGACCAGCTTAAAATAGATATTCAATCTAAATCCACTGCAGTTGGAGCTATAAAGTATGAATAAATCCTGCAGAGTCCCCTATGAGAAAGCAACATCAGATAATTACAGCTAAAATCCTACAGTGGGGACTAAGGAATTCTAAACTGATGGTCTGATTGTAGCCACCAAAAAAATTGATGACTAAAAATTAAGCATTTGACTAGTATAAGCGGCATTATCAATCAGTCAGTAACTGTGGCTCTTAATTAAATTTTTTTTTTCTGTTGTCTTGTTTGTAAGTGAAATTTTAGTCCAGTTTTCTTGTGCAAGAACAGCAGTAGGGTCTTCTTAGTGGGTGTCCCAGTGTCCTTACGTGTTTTCTAAGAGCAGGGATAGAAGCTGTGTCCAAATGGGTTCTAAATCCTACAGACTGGTCAGCTTGAGGTAGTGAATCATCACAGGTGACCTTGTCTCCTTTAGGAGAGTGGCATGTCTTCATTATTCTGTAGCTTATTCTTCTATCTACATATGCAAAGCTTTCCTTCACAGTAAAGGGCTCACATGCACAGTGGCAGGAGAGTACTCCTTTACAGGGAGAGGAAAGCAACTTTGAAAATGAATTATTTTCTTTGCATTATTATTTTTACCAAGACAGAGAAGTATTGTATTGAGAGATACCTATTTTCATAATCAATATGTGCCTAAATTATATTTAACTCATTTCACTGCACTCTATTTTCAATAATTATAGACTATGTTCATTCACTGAATGGTCCTCTGCAGACTTGAGACTGCAGAAGCAGCTGAAAGATGTAAACACAGTATGCTTGGGAACTGCAGGGTTCAGATCTGATGTAAACTGCATTAATAAACAGTGTGGAACGCTGACAGGCTGTTTCTGCTCTTGCTTTTGAAAGTCAACATTTTCTCCATTTCACACAGTTATTCATGATGGTGCCATGCAGGAGCCAACTGCATAGTGCCCTTAATGGATTAGTTCTGTTGGACAAGCCATTAAAGCAAATTCACTACGTGGTTTCATGATCCTCTTTTCAGAGACTACCATGCTACAGCACTTTTGGTTTTACATTAAGGAAGATATCCAGTGGTTTGTGTTGCTCTGTAGCTGACGAATATCACTATTCATTTGCTGTGTTGAGCAAGAAAAATGGTTTTGCCTGAAGTCTAGGACAGAGTCCTAAGAAAGGGAAGGGCTCCAAATAGTAACACTTGTGTTATCCTTAGCAGTGGTCATGTGTGTATATAGGTTAAAATAGAGACTTGTGGGAGGGCTGCAGAAAGGTTCTCAGCCAAAATCAGTTAGATGATTTCCGTTGGTAAGATTCAGTTCTCCACTTCGGTAACTGTCTAAGGCAGGATAGACTCTGGTATGGTCAAGTTCCTCAGCAACCATTTGAAGGGATTTGGAGTAAGAAATGTAAAGTCATTATGATAGCTTTCTCTATTAATCAAGACCTATTTTCTCCAGTTCATTTTATGAATGTTATTTATGTCATAAGCCCGCTCCAAGTCACCTTTAAATCATTTTTTATACATGAAAAATTCTAGAATGATATTAAATTCCCCCAAGGAAGTAGTATCTTTAAAATGAAAAGCGTCAAACTACAAAGAAAAGTGGTTTCATTATTTCAGGATAAAGCATGTTCCCCAAGGCTTCATTCTCAGACCTCTCACTGCCTGGCTTAGTGGTGTGAGCTACAGTTGGCCCCACAGTCCTCCTGCTGAGATTTTACATTAGGGCAAGAAAGAGGTTGTTCACCTGTCATTCAGGAAGGTACAAAAGCATTGTGGTCATTTTGAGCTACTTAAATGCTCAAAATGAAGTAGTTTTCCCCTATAAAAACGTTTTTGAATTTAGAAAAGAAAATTGTGACAATTATAAAGTCCAGTTATTTAAACCCAGTTGATCAATTTCAGGTCTTTGGTAAGTTGGCTTAAGCATGCAATCATGAGAGATCTATAAGTGTGTCTCTAAGCCTCAAAACCTCACTGATTGCATAATGGCTTAATAGCTTATTTGATGCTGTAGAAAGTAGGACATTGGTTTCTGTCCTTAGGCCCTGTGTGACCTGAGACAAGACTAAGTGTACTTAGGCCAAGGCATATCTGTATTTTCAGTCTTGTGTTGCCATGTTCACAAACGTTTTCAAATGTTTTAAAATCAATATAGAAATATTGAGGCTCACTGACGACAGGGGTCCACATCTTTATCATACTGTTAGTACTAGCCAAATGCCACAGTTGTTTTTTGTTTGTTTTTTGGTTTTTTTTTCTGAGTGACACTTAGAAGCACATCTCTAACAAACAAAATACAGTGGACCGTTTGAAGCAAACTTGTTTCAACTTGAGGAGTTCTTACTGAAAACTCACCTCACTTGCACGTTCTAGTGAGATGAGGTCCCACTGTTTGTGTCAGAGTCGCATGCTAGTGAAGTTACTAAGTGAAATGATAGTCACTAAAGTCCCTCTTCCCTCGCCTGTCATGAGGAGTGGGCAGAGATCACCTAGGAAGCCTGAGAGTAGTACTTATCACTAGAAACCCTTGCAAGTGGAATTACTTCAGAGAACATGGGGCAATGACTGATGGGGTTAGTATCCTACCATCAATGTTGCCAATCTCAGCTGTATAAGATCGAATACCGTGTTATTTTTAAAGCATTACAGCGTAGGTAGTGTACCAGCTTTTACAATGTATGGTACATAGATAGAGGTTTCATTCTGTATCAGATAAAGTATCTTGGAGGCTGAAATCAAGGCGGGTCTGCCAAACCTGGTCAAAAGTCCCTTCATTTATCCAGGGACTCATGGAATCTCTATGTGTTAAATGCCGACTAGATGCAAAGAGTTATGAACGGGCAGGAAGCACAGACCTGACTTTCATAGGTTATAGACATTATGTTCATGTGTGTGTATGTGTGCATGAATGCCACACAGCATGCACATGGAGCTGAGAGGACAACTTGAGAGAATCAATTCTCTTACTCCACCGTGTGGGGCCCTGGCATTAAACTCAGATCAGCAGGCCGCTTCACCAGCCCTAAATTAGATCTTTTAGATTGGGAACAACACACACCATGATTATCTGATTTAAAAATTTTCCTTTTACAGAGACCCAAATGCTAAGACTGGCTCCCCAGGCCAGCTTTCTGTATTTGTTGCTTAACTTCCCTGTGAAAGTGTGTGTGTGTGTGTGTGTGTGTGTGTGTGTGTGTGTGTGTGTGTGTGTGTGTGTTTAGCTTACCCAAGACATCAGTTTTCCTTGAACTCCATAGGGCTCCTCAGGGGAGCACAGCATAGCTAGATTTTAATCCCTTAGAACAGTGACTTCAGCTGTGAAAGTTTTAGCTAAGATTTTAATGACCAGGTTTAACAGATAGACCAGCAGGTGTCCCAATTACACTCTCCATTAAAAGGCTTTTGGTGAGGATTTAAATGTTATTATTAAAACCTTCGTCTGTACTGCACTGCACCTTGTCATTCAGCTGCGGGGAAGATTTCAATGTCCCAAGAAAAAAAATTCATATAAAAAGGAAGCCAGGAGAACAGAAACATCGCAGCACTCAACTCACCAAAGAAGCTTGATATCTCTGGCTTCCACTTCCCAACAGGTAAAATTCTTTGTACTTCTACCACTATTTTTAATGCTGCTTGTTACTGTATGTCGAAAGGGGATTTTGCACTCAAGGGTCAAGCCTAGATGTGATGGTATCCAAGGAAGCCTTGCCCTTCACTGACTGACCTTATCAACCATCAGCCTTGGGGGGAGATCCAACCTTGGAGGAGCCCAGCAGCTCATGGCCCAGTGTTGGACATTGATTTTAGCTTCATCCTCATCAGATGAAATTAATTTGGAGGCACATTTTTATCAACTAACTCTAGGCTTACTTGGCAAGGGGGCCATTCGAGCTAGGTGTCTCCACCCAGATCAGTATAGAGTTCTCTCTCAGTCTTGAAGCTGGTCCGACCAGCTGTAATGGTAGGTAATACCATCTTAAAGACTAGATGGCAGACAGGAACATGCCAGCAGTGCCACAGGGCAGCCATTTAAAGTCAAGCAACCTCTTATTAACCGGAGACCTCTAGGAGGAGCTGCTTTTTCAGAGCTGATGGCCCAGTTCTAACTTCATGAATGACGAAGTTGAGAACTGCTTGTAAGGGGGAGGGTACAGGCAAAGTGAATTTGGTAAGGGATGAATTATGGGTGTCAGGTAACCAAAGAAATAAAAATAAAAATGGGTTACGTTGCCACAAAAAAAAAAAAAAAAAGTGCTGAAGATGCCAGAATCAAGTACGGGTGCTTGTCCCCAATGTCTAAGATGCTCAAGACAGGCATCTAAGATGCCCCAGTGTTTCACTGTCTGCATGAAATGCATCCCAGTGCACGACTCCCTCTGCTGCTTCTGCAGGGTCAGTGGTACAGACGCTGGTCTCTCTGTGATGCACTCTTTATTTTCACTCCCTTCAGTCTGGGTCTGTCGTGATGGTGTCTTGATGTCCCTTAGAGTGGAGATGATCCCCAAGCTGACGGCTGCTGTTCTTCTGCTGAGCCTGTGTTTGGAAGGCTGCTCCAGCCAGCACTGGTCCTATGGATTGCGCCCTGGAGGAAAGAGAAATGCTGAACACTTGGTTGATTCTTTCCAAGAGGTAAGCTTCCCCGCACTGCCTCACTTCGAGCTGTGTGGGCCGTGCCATGCGAGCCCCAGCAGCGTTACTCAGTTTACCCTAACTACTGACTGCAGTGAGACAAGACTCCATGGAGCGGAAGCCAGGTTCCTCCTTGCACCTTTGCCAGAGACAAAGGACACAAACGGCAGGACAGATTGAAGAGAGTGAGACACCAAGTTCATGATGAGGCACCATGCTCTCAAATATCTATCATTAAATCAATACTCTTGTGTAATTCACCAGCAAGTGTCTACATCCAGGACACAGTGCTGTTATTTCTTGTCACCGATAGAGACATTAAAGAGCCTGGAGAATGTTTAACTCCATGAATTATCACACTTAAGATTGTGAGGTGGGAAACGTACTAGATTTAATTTCCTCCAGATTAGGCAGCGGTGCCAGCACCAGCATTAATGTCTGGACACTTACCTTAAAACTTCACTTTAGGATGGGGACGATTACATGAGAGAAGCCATTTATATTAGCTGATTAGTTCAACCAGTAACTCAGAGCTGAGAAGAAATGTAGCTGAGAAACTTAACCAAGGTATCGTCTGGTTTTTGAAGATACAATGAAGCCCCAGAATCTGGAGCCAGTTTCATTTCTGTTGTGGTAAAACACACTGATCAAACGTAATTTAGGAGAAAACGGTTTATGTGGCTTACAGTTCCAGCGAGTCCATCGTTGTGGGGAAGTGAAGGCAGGAACTCGAAACAGCTAGTTACATCCATAGTCAAGAACAGAGACAGAATAAATGTCCGTATGCCTAGTACCCAGCTTACTTCCCAGGACCCAAAGCCAGGGAATGGTGCTGCCCACAGTGGACTTCACCTTCCCATATCAGTGAACCATCAAGAGAATCCCCCTAGATATGCCCACAGGCCATAGACAGTCTCTTCCCAGGTGATGCTACAAACTGACTATTAAAAACAACCATCACAACTCCGCCCCTCGTCAATTTGATACACAGATGCACCACTTGAAGCTAGTTCCAGGCTAGACCTGGATCCACAGTGGTCTCAGCGCAGTCTAGGATGGAGTGAAACCCTGTTTGAAATACAACGAAAGAGCAGCAGCGACAAAAACCACGTAACAAACCGAAGGCCAGCCCAGTCAGGACTGTAACCTTCCTGCACTTTTTGTGTTCTCTCTGTTGGTGAGGCTCAGAGCACCTCACTCTCGTCTGAGAGAACACCATCTCTTCTTGCTGTCCCCATCTCCTCTGAACTCCAGCTCACTCTTTAAAAAAGTGCATCCATAAACTTCCCCAGACCTCCCATTCAGCCTCAATGCCCAGTCCTCTCCACAGACAAATCTTGGTGGAAATGGAAAACTGTTTTGTTTCTTTATCTTCATCTCTGAGAATCTCATTCTTTATCTCCAGATGGGTGAGGACGTGGATCAGCTGGCAGAACCCCAGCACTTCAAATGCACGGTCCACTGGCCCCGTTCGCCCCTCAGGGACCTGCGAGGAGCTCTGGTGAGTTACAGTGGCCACCGCGTAGAGCTAGAGTCAGAAAGGAGTTGGGATACAGTGACCTAGCACCACGTCAGAGCTACCCGAGTCACTCCTGCAGCAGGGCCCTGGATATCTTACAGTGTTCACTCTGCTTAGATAGCTCTCATGTTTGGAAACTATTTTTGTTCTGAAATAGATTTAATTGTCTATATAACCATTTATACTAATCCCAGATTCAGCCTTTGGAATGACCAGCAAATTTCTGCCCACTGTAATCCTCCAATTTTTCAAAGAATACTCAACCCCTCAGCTACTCATTTCTGAGCCGATTCCTGCCCTTGGCTTGATTCAGCCATTGCTTCCAGGACCCTGGGCACTGTAGAAACCAAGAGCAAGGCTCTAGGTCACTCCTCTGCTTTGGATTACAATAGTCAAAACTTATAACGTTTACAACTCAGAGCCACAGGTTTGACTTGTAGTTTTGTTAGGCCTAAGTGCCCACCATTCTCATTCTGTCTCCCCTCTGTCCTCTGGGTACTGGGTATTGATCCCAGGTAAGATCATGTACTGACAGGCACTGTACCACTGGATTATATCCTTAGCCCTCCTCCTGCTTAAAAAATAAATCTTTTTAGTGTGAGACCGAGTCTCACTTTCTCAGGCTGGCTTCAGACTTGCGCAGCCCAAGCTGGACTTGAACTTGAGGTTCCCTTCAGCCTCCAGAGAAGCTACAGTTACAGGGGTGTGTAACCACTCTGGCTGTGATATTGGTTGTTCATGAGAACAGAAGTAGGAAACAAACTGAATGGGAAAACTGAACCTAGAATTGAGTGTCAGTGTTCTGGGAGCTGCTTTCCTATTCATTCACGGCACTCAGAAAGCGTATGGCCAACTACCCGTTACTCAGAGAAGCAGGGAAATCAATCCTTGGGAAATGATGCCTGAAGATAAGATTGATTGTTAAAAATTTTCTCCATTGACTTCAAATTCCACCCAGTGGACAAAGATGAAGGTAGGCAGACATCTCTGTTTCTTTCTTGTTCTAAGCTTGCTTATAGCCCAATCAAAATAACGAGCTGAAATTCCCTAGACATGGCATCCTGAAGGACTCCATGGAAAGGCCAATTTGACCCAGATCCTTCCTCACAATGTCATCCTTTTAGCCATGAATGCAGATTTTAGGATGTCAACAGCTACAAGACACTGTCTGACTGCCATGTTTCTAGTACTTTTGAATGAATGACAGATGCACTTCTTAGATCTGAATTTTAGAAAATACATGTCAGAAACAATGAAATTCAACTAGTCATGCCAACATTGATGTGCATGTTACGTATTTTTCAGGAGAGTCTGATTGAAGAGGAAAGCAGGCAGAAGAAGATGTAAATGCATTGGCCCCGAAGGATCCACAACATCCAAGTATGACAGGGACATTGAAATTTGTAGCTGTGTGGCTTTCGGCATTTGTATACCCAGCAGCATGGATTTCATAATAAAGTGATGTGTTGTGGGTCAAGTACTGTAAGTGTGATGTGCCTCTGACTCTGAGCTCAGGATGCTCTTTTAAACTTCTTTTTTTTTTTATTCTTTGTGTCTTTCACATCATGCATCTTGATCCCATTCATTTCCCGTCCCTTCCATATCTTCAATCTGCCCTTGGCAACCGCCACACCAAAGGAAATAAAAGTTTAAGAGAAAAAAAGAAAATTTCATCATGGAAGCTGTAGTGTGACACAGTGAGTCACGCAGTAAACCCTTTTATCCATATATCTTACTTGCAAGTGTTCATTGCAAGATCTGGTTTGAGGCCTCTGGTTTCAGCTATACCATCACACTGGGCCCTCACTGGGACTCCCTTGTATATCCTGTTATTGTCCTGTGTCATTTAGATACTGCAGCTTTGGGGCTGTAGGATCAGCCCCTTCACATGCTCCTGCAGATCGTAGATGAGGTGGATGTCGGGGTGGGCCAACTCATAACCCTGGTTCTGGGCCTGGGTGGTTGCAGGGTTGTTGAGCTCACCAGCTCACCACCACCATCACCACCACCACCACCACCACCACCATGGTGAGCTCTCCAGCATTGCCCTGGCTAGTTCACCCCTTGCAGTGATAAGTAAGAGGCAGGGCCAGTTCTGCTTTCATGCCCTCAGAGTTGGCTTTCCCACAGTTGCACCTTCAGAGCCAGCTCTCCTGTTGCCCAGGCGAAGTGCAGGGGCCACTCTCCTAAGTGCTGCAGCCAGTGAGAGGCAGGCACAGCTCTCCAGCTCTCATGACCTCAGGGCCAGCTCTCCCATGCACATGTTCTCAGCAGGTTCGCCAGCATCCCTGTCAGTTGGGTCAGCTCTACTGTGCTGCCCAGGAGAGGTGCGGGGCCCACTTTCCCAAGTGCTGCAGCTGGTGAGGGGGAGGATCAGCTCCCTACCCCTCTATGGGTGTCAGGGCAAGGTGGGGTGAATGCAGCTCTTTAGATGAGGACATGGTAGATGGCAAAGAAAACACAATGATGTGTCTTGTTGACTAGGAGACGCAACCCATGGCTCACATCCACCTTGCATTCACAAAGAGAGTGGTCATATACTGGTTGAGGTCAGAGGAAGCTAGTTCACCTGGTTTCTATAGGATTATAACTGCATCCTGACTTCTAAAAGTCAGGTGCATCCATGGCCATGTGTTTGTGCTGCAGGGAAAGAACTGTCCTCCCTCTTCAAGTCAGCTAGAATCAATCCCATTGATGCAGAGGAGAGGCAGAGCCTTTTGGGCTCCTGGTCCAGTGATCCTTCTGGCTCCATATTGTCTTGCCAGGTGGTATGAGCTTCAGGACTACTTCAGTTTTCTATTGCTATAGCAAAATCCCTGAGGCTAGGTAATTTAGGGAAAGGTGGTTTCTTTTGGCTCATAGTTTTAGAGGCTAAACTGTCCAAACTTGGGTGGCCATATCCTTTATGTTGTATCATAATCTGGGGGACAGCATCATGTTGTGGAACCACACATCACAGTGGCATAGGATGTTCAGAGGATGCTAAACACTGGGTGGCTTTCACTTTATAACTACCTATTCTCACACTAATTGATTTCATCTCACAGGACCTCACTCACTTTCATGAGACAGGCATTAGTCCACTCTGAAGGTGCTTTCACCATGATCCAAAGACCCACCTCTTCCTAAAGGTTTGACCACTGTGGGAACAGGCTTCCAGAATGTGAATCTTTAGGACACACACCACATCCAAACCATAGCAGGGACCAGGGTCTACCACTGTTTTCCTTCCTGAGAACTTCTATATTTAAGAAAAAGAAATGTACACAGTCCACTGGCGAGAGAACCTGGTGGTCCCTTGCCCCCCGGCCACCTTTCATCTTCCATAAGGACAGTCAGGCTTCATGCTAGATAGACATGCACAAATATCTTCAAGCACGCGATGGGAACTAACCATGACTGTCTTCACTTTGAAGTGATGGAACCAACGCTCAGGGGTTAGGAGAGCCACTCAGTTCCACTGGATCTGCACTTACCACTCCCTAAACTGCACAGCAAGGAACAGCCGATGAAGCTGAGCCAGGGGAGGGTTTGTTTGTAGGAATGGAAACAGGAAACTGGGGCTGATCGTCAACTTGGTTCTGCTGTGGCCACATCATGAGGTCCTAGATGTGACAACACAATTCTCACACATCCCCACAACTTCCAGGTAGCTATGGAACCATCGGAAAAACTCAAATTTCAGCAAATGCCCATGGAATATTGTAATTTTGATTCTTTTTTTAAATAATACCGTGACTGGCAAGTGGAAGCCTACCATCTTTCATGAATGTTTCAGTTTGTTTTAGACAGTCTCATGTTGTTCAAACTGGCCTTGAACTTGCTATTAACGACTATATTTTTTAAAAAGCAACAGACCTTCTTATACATTATATTTTGAGCATTGGGTTTCTGCTATCAAACATCATCTCTGGGGAACTTTTTTTTTTTTTTTTTTTTGTTTTTGAGCCATGGATTCTCTTGAAAGGGATAAAAAGGTGTTCATTCAGCTGCTATTGCTGTTAGAGACCTGGGATGACACATGGCAGTTTGCAAGCCTATTGGGTCCAAGTACTTAATCCACAGATGGCCCAAAAGATCAAGGGGAATAGAGAATAGTAAAAACATTACCTTTACTAAATGTTAAATCTTACCCTCTATCCTAAGACTTTATCCCTCAGTGTACCATATATACATACATATATATATATACACGTATGTTTGTGTGTGTGTGTGCGCGCGCGCGTGTGTGTGTGTGTGTGTGTGTGTGTGTGTGTGTGTGTGTGTGTATAGTGTATAAGTGCAACAGCACTCAGAGATTCAGACAGCAGACAAAAGTAGAATTTCTTAGTCGGAATACACCTAGCCTAACATTCACTCATACCTTGGGATGAGTGCCACCTATATTTTTAATAAGCACATAGGGTAACCCTTTGACGCACAGACAACAGGACATTACTCGTTGTTAAAAGTGACAGATTAATTGGACCAGCTTAGATCCTCTTGCTTTATCCACTTATCCGTGCCTATTTATCCATGAAGAACACATGAAACCTGTACACATGAAATAAATTCCCTTCAGAAAACTTTCAGCTCAGCTCAGACAACAAAGGCATGGATGGGCAGGGCAAAAAGAAATGAAAAGATTGCAGATTTTATTACTTCTGTTTAAGACAGGCACCGGGATCCCACAGTATGCATTTCAACAGAATCTGTAATGAAATGAGCCAGAGGGGCCCTGAGGGTAAAGTGTCTTGAAGGAGCTGTCAATAGGGAAAAACCATTAAGTCTATAATATTATTTTAATAATCTAAAAACAATAACAAGCTAAACACATAGTAAACTTTAAAATACATTTCCATTTTTAATTTACAAAATAAATAACAGCAAATATGAACAAAATTTTTCAACACACATCTCCCTAACTGTCCATGTACGAAATCCAATTATTTATAAAACCATGTGAAGGAATTCTGACAGGACTCTGGGTGAACAATCCAGGTGACTGACTGAGAGATGAGCTTGGGCGTATATGTGGGAAACGAACTGTGGATGGGCCTGAAGAGTCCACTAGAAGTTACTACCCCAGAAGGAAAGCTATTCCTCTCATAGGTAACAACTAATGGTTTGACTCTGAGCCTATCCAAAGAGAAGCTTCACTTTTTCCAATTTTTATTTCTTCTGCTGAGACTAGGACCCAGGACTTCGCAGGAGCTAAGCAAGTGAGCTACATCTTCAGCACTTCTAATAATTCTAAATAACATACTTAGAGAGGAATGAAAATGTGCAAGGAAGCAGTAGTCATCAACTTCCCAAAGTACACAAGGAAAGTGTGATCCTTAACAAGGGATCGGAGGTCTAGGCACAGCAGGCCAGGTGGGCAACTCTGGAGACAGGCTGCTGCAGAGAATTAGGACAATTTGAACCAATATCTAAAAACAGATGCTAGACTCATTCATATCCACAAATCTTCTGTTCCTAATAGCCAGGCCTGGGAGGCTCAAAGCACCAGTAGAGGATGCAAAATGTGGATTCCAGTTCATAAAGCAAAAGCCTTTGGACAGAAGTCCCACTGCATTTGTTTCCTTAGAAAGAGCCTGCCCAAGTCCATGCAGTCTCAGATCTAGAACAGACAAGGAAATGGACTTGCGATATGGTACATCCCATCTGCCATCCTGTGTTGATGGGACGGGTCTAATCCCCTTTTCATTATACCTGAGAAGTGTGAGGGTGAAGGCACAAACTTGGAAGGAGCACCCAATTATGTTTCACAGAACTGTGCCACTGGCACTCAGGCCCCTGCTGGGATATGGGAGTCATGTCTGTCTGAGAAAAGGTCACATGGGTGTCCAGCGATCGAATGACGTCTCTGTCTGCACTCCTGTGATTTATGTACTCACTGTATATAGGCTGAACTGCAAAATGAAAACGTGCCCCTCAATCTGGAGGCAACTGGAAGGGAAAGACTCAACTTGGCAGTCAGTGAGGAGGGTGGTTATCATCCCATCTCAGCTCTTGTGAGACACCTTGTTTTATCCAAGGTGGCTAAGTGTATCATGGCTGTCCCTGGCTGGAGTCAAGCAAGGGGTGGGGGTGGAGGGAGGAGGCAACCCATTGCCAAGTAGCCTTATTCAGGGCTTTCTTTTTGATAGAGTGCTGATTTCTGATCCAGTATCACACTAGAGTCAATTTCGTAGCAGGCTGTTTCTACGGAGTGCACCGAGGGGCTAGTACCGTGTCTGGCCTTCAACAAGTGTATACTGAATGAAATCTTCCTTAAAAGAAATCATCATCTCAAAGCAAGACAAGTCACCATGGCAGAGAGGGAATGAAAAAAAAAAAAAGGTGATGTAACAATACCACAAACTCACAAGCCATCAATCAATGCTCATTCATAAGGATTGTGACAGTCTCAGGGCTGATTTCAGTGCCTTTCAATACCTCAGAGGTCTTACAAGGGCAGTAAAAACTGGTCCTTCCTGCCCTCTGCTTCTTGTCCCTTCTATATTTAACATCATTGCAGTCTTCAGTTTTAGGACAGATATTGATTTTCTTTTAATCAAATTAACCCCTTCTTCATCCATAGCTTCTGTGCCAGCTAGTTTTATGACAACTTGATACAAGCTAATCATAGCAATAGAAACCCTAAGACAGCTTCCCAAAGAAGTGAATCTCCCAGTGCCCTGCAAATCAGTACCTACAACATCACCCAGAGTCCTTTGTGTCAAGGCAACTGAAAGCTATTATTTTCATTAATGTGGAAAGGGAATCATGGGGAAAATGCCTTACTAAAAATAGGGGGACGGGGAGGGATGACACCTCTGGGCACTGACAGGTCCAGCTCTGCTCAGAGATCAAACTCAGAACTGCCTTCTACTACTCTGCAAGACTAGGCTGGGAACTTGCTCTTCTTTTCCCATCCTATTTGTGTGTTTCCATGGCAGCCGGCAAAGCACAGTGACATCTTCAAATCTTTTCTAGTCAGTCTGCTAGGGCTCTTCTCAGAAGTCCCAAGCTCCATGGATGCCCTCCATCACCCTTCTGGTGCCTTCCTGCCTCTTTGCAGGGCTTGGATCTTTTCACTTAAAATGATCTTCAACTCTTATTAACTCTTCCATGCAAATGGTGCCCAAGGCCGCCATCTTTTAGGGAAGAGCTGCATACCTGAATTCACCCTCAAATACCTTGAAGAAAAATGAACAGTATCAAATCCTACCCAGGTCTAGGAGAGGAAAGAAAGCCACTGATTGCACGACCCAATTCCACCTTAATGGCCCCCCATAAGCACCCGTGTGGGAGGTAATGCCTCCACTTTCGAAAGTGAGAAAGCAAACACGCAGAGAATTTCAAATGTGAAGTTGATGGTGACACCCGGGACTTCTGACCAAAGCACTTTAAAATTTCAGAGCCTGTGTGTTTTTTCACGATCGCATGTGGATGCTCCTTGATGGAAGTAAAGAATGGAGATTCGCATGACTTTTCTAGGATATGCACACTAACTTCTCTAGTGCTATGCCAGGCATGTCTCTGCTTTCGCTTCCTTGATCGCGGTGATGAACCAGGCACATCTCTCTTAACCATGGCGGCATTGAAAGAACCTGTGCAAAAAAAAAGCAGCAGGTAGGCAGGTGCAGATTCTCACAGCTGAAATCCCTCTGCGCACTTGAACTTGGAAGAATAGATTCGGGGCAAGGTCACTGACAGATTCTAGCATGCCCATGGCAGACCCAAGCCACACAGCAGCTTTCAGTTTTGCATTCAACACCCAAGTCTGAGAGAACTATCTGGGACTTTGCAGATACCATTCTAGCTTGGGGCTAGGCACCCAGGACTTTGTTAGAGGTGTCTTTTGGAGCTACGGGTTATCTTGGGTACATCCTATGTGAGCAAGCTGGGCTGTTAGAAAAAACCAATAGTCTACTTTCTGTGTGTAGCCCCAATTTCCTCACGTACAAAATGAGGTGAGTGTGTGTGTGTGTGTGTGTGTGTGTGTGTGTGTGTGAATTTTAAAACCTGCTTAACTCAAAACATCTGTACATCTTGTGGTCATTTATGTGAACAGAATATTTGGGCATCCAATTCACCCTAGTTTTTCCTTCTGAAAGAAGTATGGACATTAGTACCATTAGCAAGCAATCAAATTAATTCTATGATCAAGAGGAATAAATAATCAAAGGGAATATTGCACTGTATTCTCCAGGGTAAAAATCAAGTAGCAGGCAGGGACCAACAGGGTTGGGCCAACAGGGTCTAGAAATGTAGGACCATGGTTCCGAGGTTCCTCAGAGCCCAGGATTTGAGCTCAGAGGAAAGAAGAGGATGAGAAACAGAGCACAAAAGAGCTTCCAAGGAGTCCAAGGCACAGCATGTGACTGCTGCATGGCGAGGACCACTCATCAGGAGAGTGCCTGAATGTGAGTCCACGGAATCTCAGAGAAGCCATCCACACCTAAGAGCGGCCCCACCTCCGCTACCCACGTGCTCTTTCCCTCAAAGGAGACAGCAGACATCAGGGAAAGAGAACCATGGCAGCTCCTGGAATATACTTGGTGTCTGGCTCTTTCAGGAGGTTAGACAGGTAGGGATGCAGGCAGGCAGGAGAGAAGAAGTCTTGAACACAGCAGTTCAGAAGCAAACTGAGAAATCCACACAGGAGTCAGTTGCTGGGGCTGTTCTCCCCTCCACTGTCACTTCGTCACTGTAGGAGAGTTGTCGGAGGCATCTGCAGATCCAGCAAGTCAGCGGGTGAGGCCAACATGCCATCATGGGACAAGGAGAGCATTTCTTTGTTCATGTATACAGATGGCCAGTTCTGGAAGTCCCGTGGGTTAAAGGGGATGTGGTACAGCCTTCAGACGGACAAAGCAGTTCTGAGTGGGGAATCACCTCAGTACAGGAAGCAGTGCTGGCAGGGAGCCCTGCATGGTGAGCCATCCTTTCTGGGGGCCCTTCTCAGGCAGCAGCGGTCCAAGGCATTCAGAGGTGCAGAGCCAGAGTGACACTGTCACTGAGAGCCTGGCTCAGAAGAGAGCATGCCTGACTTTCGCGCCTTTGGAGGGGGTGGGGGCGGAGCTTTGGCTTCTCTCCTGACAGGCAAGGGGGGTGCAATCTGGGGAGGAGACACACGAAATTACAAACAGTCCTCCTTTTTATTTCCAATCCATCCTTCTTCCATTCCACACATTCATTCCATTGTCAATGAGCATTTATACTGTCTATACAAGACCAAAGGGAATGATACTCTTGTTCTCTTGAGCTGAACTAACATTCTCTCTTTCTCTCACTCTCTCAAGGTTACATCACCAACACTTGGGTACCTGGCATATACTTAAGAAGCACTTAGTAAATATTTACTGAAAGAAGGAATGAAACCCGCCTGAGTCAACTGCAGAACCAACACCTGTCATCCAGAAGTGACACTTTGGTATGAACTTGAACTCACTCATCTTACTACCAGTGTGCGAAGCAGAGAACATGCCTCCTTCAGTCATATGACCAATGAAGCAGGCTGCTGGCATATTTCCCTTCTCGTCTCCAGAGGCTTCAGGAGTGAAGCAAACACCAGCTACAGTGTATGGCCAGGTGTGTGGGAAAGCCTCTCCTCTAACACAGCGTGGACAGTGCAGGGTTGCCTTCCCGGGGGTGGTGCTTGTGGCCACAAGGACGGACCGTACCCTGCAGGTTCCTACCTCGGCTGAGTTCCTCTGGCTGCTCTCATAGGGCTTGCTTTTGGGGGGAGGTGGAGGAGGGACGGCAGCCATCAGCCCATCTGTCTGCAAAGATGGGGAGCCTGGAAACGATACAAAGGAGACAGAGTGAAGGATTTACTTCAGTTCTTCATAAAGATAATGCTTGCCACCAGAGCACCTAGACCAGCCTGATACACACTGCTGTGGCAATTTCTGAGGTTTCTAGGGAAAGAAAGGAGAAGACCTCATACCCTGCCTGACCACACTTGCTCTTTAATTCCCCAGAAAGCTGCACACAGAGTTCTGAAGCATAAATCCCAATGTTTACTCTTAAGCTAAGGATGAGAACATTTTCTAACTTTAGGGAACTGTTCTCTGTTGTAGAATATTATTTGAAGGTGTGTTACTTTTGTTTATGTTGCATTTGTTTAACTCTGTGAAGCTCCATTACTGTGCCTGTCTAAAACACCTGATGGTCTAATAAAGAACTGAAGAGCCAATAGCAAGGCAGAAAAAACGATAGGTGGGTTTGGCAGGCAGAGAGAATATTTAGAGGGAGAAATCTGAGAGTAAGAGAAAGAAGGAAGTAGCCAGAGAAGGAGGAGGTCTTCAGGGGCCAGCCATCCAGCTACACAGCAAGTCACAGAGTAAGAGTAAGATTTACAGAAGTAAGAGAATGGAAAAAGCCCAGAGACAAAAAGTAGACAGGATAAGTTGTTAAGGAAAGAAACAAGCCAAGCCAAGGCCGGACATTCGTAATTAAGAATAAGCCTCTGTGTGTGATTAATCTGGGAGCTAGGTGGCAGGCCCACCAAAAAAGCTAAAAAACAAACAGTTCTCCAATGTACTCTAAGTATTTAGGGAAACATGCACATTCTGCAGGAAGCTTCATCTGGCTGTACGTAACTCTTGACTCTATTGGCACTGGCGGGCATGTTCTCCCCATGCCTCTGCACTATGGGAACCTTTGTCTGGAGTGGAAAGTTTGTCTGGAGTGCTGCATATGCCTGGCTCCAGATTAATAGCAGCATGCAGGATGAGTCTGGCTACTCAGTGGTAACTTTGTAAGTGACTTGTGGTTGGAAAGGGACAGGCAGACCTTTAGGATTGCTACCGAAATACGTGCAGCCCCAAACTCCAGCCCTTTGATGATTCCAATGGCCACTGAACAGAATCCCTTTTGTAACAGCCGCATACCACTTGTGGCTGGTTTGATTAAGAATTGGCCAGATTCACAGCCATTTTCCATTCCCTAGCAGACTGAATCTAGGAGACATGGAGAAACTCACTTAGGGTCCTCGTAGCTTTGGGAGTGAGCGGAGGTGGGCTCAAGACTGTAGGCTGCAGGGGTGAAGAACCGTGGAATGGGGTCAGCCGGCTGTCCACCAGCTGGAGACTCTTTGGCCTCTGTGTTTTTCTGCCTGGGCTCTGGAAACATGGAGGGAGACCAAACACATTACAACTTCATGGTGGACTTGGCAGACCTCAGTAAGACCCTGAACAGCCTTAAATGTCAGACAGAAACTAACCGAAGGGCTTAATTCCAAGGGCTGTTTTTCTTTCTGTTCTCAAGTGTGTGTGCACATGCATGTGAGGGCCAAGCTCCACTTGGGCTATCTCACTCTACTCCTCTCCACGATATAGCTGAACCTAAAGCTCAATGTTTGGGCTAGTCTGGCCATGCACTGAAACTTCAAGCAGGCTGTCATACCCACCCAATCCTCACACTCGGTGTGGCAAGTCCTTTACCTACTGACCCATCTCCCTACCGTCTCCACTTGTCACTTTTAAGGTCACCGTATTGTTACACCACAGGTAGCTGGCGGAGATACTTGCTGGGAATGACATCAAAACAGTTAACTTTGGGTCTGGCCACTGGCTTGAGTCTGACCATCTACGCCGGGAATAAGCAACCCTGAATGTTAGCAAAAGTCGGCCTCGTAAACGCTTCTTTCAAGTTGAAAAGTGAAATGACAATGTTTGCCCCGACCCCTGGAACACAGTGGCAAGAGCTGCGATTCCGAGGGCAAGCCGCATGTTTACACTGTGGGTATGAGAACTTTGGCCAGTACTGACTTGGAGACGCGAAACTCTCCGTATTTGCTGTTCTTCCTGCCTGCCACCTGCAATGTGACACCACTGCAGGCTGCTGTGTCCTGAGACTCGTGCAGCCAGGCTTCTACCTGTGACTCACGGCTGTGCAGTGACTGAAGAGGTGCTGGCTGAGGGCGGGCAGGCAGTGGTGCCCCGCCAGTGTTTGCTTTTACTTGTTCTGACTTCTTCCTTTTATTTATTTAGTTATTTTTATTTTTTTATTTTTTTTTTTACCATCATGTCAGGGTCTGGCGCTTTCTCTGCAATGACTTGCGACTTGCTCAGACTCCAGTCTTTCCTCTTGAACTTGCTAATCCGGTTCTCCCCGTCTTCTTTGGGTGGCAGATCTTCAACTCTGGCACCTGACGAAGCTCTGCGCTCAAACAGGGGTTCCAGGATGGACCTGTCAGCCAGGAGGGTCAAAAGTCACAAAACACGGGTCCCAGAATGATTGACTTTACTTCAAAGCACCAGCAAGACCCTCAACGCCATCTTCACCCAGGTTCTCAGGTTCTCAGAGTCTAATTATCAAACAACTCAGGGTAAAATATACAGAAATGAGATTATCACACGAAAGGGAGAAAATATTAGTGAACGTTTATCACTGCCCTCCACCTTGGGTGTTATATATTTGTTCTCCTGAGGATATGTGCATGTGTGTGCCGGTCACATGCGTGTGAAGGTCAGAGGTCAACACTGGTTGTCTTCCTCTATCACTTTCCAGCTTATTTTTCAAGACAGGGCCTTTCACGGAACCCAGAGCTCACTGATTTGGCTGGAATGGCTGGCTGCCCAATGCGCTGTCAGAATCCGAGGTGTAGATATCCACACGCTAGGATGTCTGCAGCCACAGGAGGTGCACTGCATTCGGAGACAGTCTTTTTCAAGACACAGTAAACGAAAAGAGTCATATTCAGAGAATGCCATATAACTAAGCATAGAGAAGGGCATGCATTTAGCTGCTTGACTGCCTACAAAGAGCCGGGGGCTTGCAGGAACCTACAGCTCACGTCACTTCTGAGGTAGCACTGGTGGTCAGGCGCCAGGGACCGAGATGAGATCTGGGGGGCTGGGAAGATAGCTTAGTGAGTAAAGTACTTGTACAAGCGTGAGGACCTGGCGTTCAACCACCACCACCCGTGTGAGAGCAGCTGCGCAAAGCAGTGTGCACCTGGACCCCCAGCACTGCAGGCAAAATGGGAGTTCTGGGCTCACTGGCTGGCCTGTCTAGTCATAGGTAAGTTTGAGACTCAGTGAGAGACCTTGCCTCCAAAGGTCAGGTGGAGAGTAACTGAGAAAGGTACCCTGATGCCAACTCTGGTCTCTATGCATGCCTGCAAGAGGATACCTACATGCGCATGTGGTACACACACACACACACACACACACACAAAAAAAAAAAAAAAAAAAAAGAAACTGTCTACTGATGTTTCTAATAAACTGAATGTTAAAAACACGCATGAAGAGGTCGTGTGTGTGTGTGTGTGTGTGTGTGTGTGTGTGTGTGTATGTGTGTGTGTGTGTGTATGTGTGTTGTATCATTTTCCACCTTTGGAATTTTGTACTATTTTATTCTGTGATTAATTGATAAAGCAAATTAAATTTAAAATTGTTTTAAAAGTGATACAACATGTGAGGAGAATTAAACTGTGCCTAGAAGGCAACTGTGTTCAATAGGGGGCGAAATATTAATTTTTCATTTTCTATTTTTAGTAATAGTATTGTCAGTGATGTTCCTCATGAAGAATACAAGACGTGAATGAGGCCCACGATTATGAATTATTCTCCTCAAAGGAGTGGTGTGCACACACACCAAGTCTCACCTTGGCACCCTCCCCAAGTGCGAAGGTCAACCTTACCCATCAGATCCTGGCCTGGAGGGCGCATTGTCAGAAGAGTTGGAGGAGGTGGAGACCACTGACGATGCCACGGAGGTGACAGAGAGCCTGCGCAGCGTGGAGGACAGGATGTAGGGCAGTACCATGGAGCCTGCGCGGCTTGGCTTCCTCTCCGTCAAGTTGGATGGCTGAAACACACACAGCCCTCCAGGGTTAGCAGCCTGCAATGCAGCCCACATGCTCTGAAGCAGCCACCCTGTTGGCCTTCTGAACGAATGCAATGTTGACCTAAGAGCCAAGTCTAAGGAGGCCACAGAACTAAGCTGAGCAGGGTGGAGTCTCTTTCATGCCAAATGTCACCAGGGAATCACTGTCCCCATGTGGAAAGCAAATTAAATTTGCTTTTCTAACATTGACTGGGTTCTAACAATGAGGGAGGACAGTAGGCTGAAGGAAGGCTCAGTCTTGTGCTCCAGGAATGTGGGCACAAAAGACACACGTACCTAGACTACAGGTCGAACACGCTCTCTCCTGGCTGCCCATTACCTATCATCATAGGTACCATCATACCTATGCTGGTGTGACTCATCTGCAACCCTGAGCAACGTCATGAGAGAGACCAGGGAAAGCTCGAGGGCCATTTAGACAAAGCTTACCAGCGTGATGACCCCATACAACTTCTCTACTTTCTCCTTCAGCTCACGGAAGCATGAAGACAGGCGGTCATGCAGCGGCTTGAGCTGCTCTGTCAGCTTCTCCCCGTGGATGCGCATCCCTTCCGTGAGCAGAGGTATCTGGAAGAAAAGGGCAGAGGGGGACATTCAGATTTGGAGGTTTGGGCAAGGTGGGATGGAGTCGGCGAGGCCAACGGACAGACACAGAATTATCTAATGAAAATACCACTTCTTAGTCTAGGCTGGGGATCTGGGTCAAAAGAACAGAGAAGATCCAAAGACTCTAGAGCAGCCAACTGGCAAGGCTAATACAACCGCGCACTGTGGTAGGTATCGGTCTTAGGCTCAATCTGATGGCTGCTTTTCTAGCAGTTTGTATTGAAATGATAAGAAAAAAAGAGACCTGTATGTACCAGCAAGAAACACTGGCTAGTAAACAGATTACGGAATTTTTTGTGTGTGCCAGTGTGTGTGTGTGCGTGTGCATTGTGTGTCTATGTGTGTAAATGTGTGCTCATACATGTGGAGGCCATGGGACAACCTCTGCTGTCATTCCCGGATATCATCACCTTGTTTTTTTTTTAAAGAAGGGTCTCTCATTGGCCTGGAATTTACCAACTAGGCTAGGATGGCTGGTCAGTAAGTCCACGAAATCTGCCTGCTTCACCTCCCCAGCACTACAAGAGGGTACTGACACACCCAGATTTATTCTCTCTCTCTCTCTCTCTGTCTCTCTGTCTCTCTGTCTCTCTCTCTCTCTCTCACACACACACACACACACACACACACACACACATACACACACACACAATCACAGAGGGAAAGAGAAAGAGAGAAGAAAGACAGAGAGATAAGAGATTGAGAGAGAAAGAGAGAGCAGAAAGCGGCCTGTAGCTATGTGTAAGCTCTGGAGCCTATTTTAGGGCCAAGGGCAGCGGACACCCACTGAGTACTGTGCCCAGCTGGCCAGCTGCATGCCTCCCTGGCTACATACTTGTAAGGCAATCAGTCGCTTGAGCAGCTCCACCTTCTCCTGGTCCTCGGGGTGTTCTTGTAAGTACTTCTCTGTAAAAAAAGCCTAAAAGCAGAGCACATGCAAACATTACTAATGACACATTCCTGATCCCAGCAGAGAGGCAGACAGCTTCCAAGGGGAGAAAGCCTCTTATGGAGTGATAACCAGGAAGGCCTAACTGAAAACTTACCTCTTTCACAGGACAGCCCTTATTGTACAGTGACTAATTCAGAAATGTATATTAAATAAATTCCTGCCTATATATGGGACAGCTCCCTTAATCCCCAAACCCAACCCATAAGTTGGGAAGCTTCCTCACTGTGCAGGTACCTGCAGCTCAGAGAGGTGACACCTGTGTCCAAGAGCACACAGTGGCCAGTAGAAAGCCAGAATGAGGTCACAAGAGTGACAGATCACAAAGTCTTCACTCTTCTGGGATACTGTGTACAAATGGAAACCAGAGTGCCATCCAATCTACTGCCTCCTCAAAGGGATTTCCTGGCCACATGTATATTTATATTCAAGAAGACTCCCAAAATATTCAGCCACTGAACATGTACCATAACAGCTGAAAGATTCCTATTTCTAACAACTGTCCTTCAACTAGACTGAATTCATGACCTCCAATATAAATGGCATTCTAGCAAACCCTATCTATCCAGTACATTACACACGGTCAGGACGCCTCTTATGCCATTCAAGTAACAGATGTAACATCCAGTTAGACGAATCTACAGTGAAGCTGTGTGGCAGTTTGAATGAGCAATGACAGCAATAGGCCTCAGCTGGTGGTACTCCTCGGGGAGGTAATGGGACCTGCAGGAAGTGGAGCCTTGCTGGAGGAAGTCCATCCCTGGGATGAGATTTGAGAGTTGAGTCTCACTCCATTTCCTGTTCCCTTCCTGTTTTCTGTGCGCGGATGAAAATGTGCTCAGCTAGCTTCCAGCTCCTGCCACCGTGACAGCCCATCCCTTCCCACCATGATGGATCCGATGCCTCTGGAGCCATAGCCAAATAAACCCTTTCTTCCTTAGGTTGCTATTTGTCACAGTATTTTATCACAGCACTAGAGAAGTAGCTAATACAAGCTGAAACCGTCTTCTGTCTACACAACTTGGCGCAAGTCAGGCTGGAGAGTCTGGAAAGTCATTCTACCTAAGGCCTCTCTGCTCTCCCTAAAGGTGGCTTTACTGCAAGTGCATCCTAGCCTCTGGGACCACCCTGAGCTGTCTTCCTCCTAGAGGTCAGAAAGAGGCACCAGGGCCTGGCACTTTTTCATGGAGGCTCCACAGGACAATGTAAGGACAACCCTGGTGTATCTCCATGTGCCCATTCAAAGAGGAAATGGCACATGACACAGAGGGAGGCCCATATGTCCTGGGAGACCCAGGAGCCAGACTTACCTTCTCATAGTTGGCGAATCCCCCCATGACAGCTGGGTCCACAATGCCGCTGAGGAGCATAGAGAGTGGGTGCACAGAGAGAGACTGGTCCCAGGCATGCTGCTGTACACAGTTGCTGACCCTCTCATTGGTCATCTCCATGGTTTCGATGGCATTCTCCAAAGGACTGATTTCTTCCTGAGGAAGGCAGCACAGGGGAGAAGGACCCGTCATGAGCTCCACGGCAAAGACTGAAACAAACTTGCTCATTTTTCTCAAGGGGGAGAAATTATCCACAATCTGCAGGAGCGTAATATTGCTAAGAGTCTGTTTAGGAGGGCCCCTGGCTTTTTTGTTGGTCAATTACAAACTCAGCTATTGAAAATCTTCTTAGGAAGTGGAATGCTGTGAAGAGTGGGTTGTGGAAATGACTGTTTCTCAGAGTAAAATATCTACACAAAATGTTAAAAGAGGAAAAAAATCTAGAGCTGTAACAGGATTGTCTCTCAGGCAAATTCACCTCAGGGGCTCTGAAACGGTTGCTGGCTAGCGGATATGAGACTCCCGTGCCATTGAAAATGGAAAATTCAGATGCCTCCTTAGCAAGAAAAGGCAAGTGATCTTGGAATTCCTCTATTCAGACCCATGCCTCTCATCATCTTAGGGTAGAGACTGCCCCATGCCTCATCTCCTTAGGGTAGAGATTGCCCCATGCCTCATCTCCTTAGGGTAGAGACTGCCCCATACCTCATCATCTTATGGTAGAGATTGCCCCATGCCTCATCTCCTTGGATATTGCCCCATGGCTCATCTCCTTAGGGTAGAGACTGCCCCATACCTCATCTCCTTAGGGTAGGGTCTGCCCCATGCCTCATCATCTTATGGTAGAGATTGTCCCATGCCTCATCTCCTTAGGGTAGAGACTGCCCCATGCCTCATCTCCTTAGGGTAGGGTCTGTCCCAGATGTCATCTCCTTAGGGTAGAGACAGCCCCATGCCTCATCTCCTTAGGGTAGGGTCTGCCCTATGCCTCATCATCTTAGGGTCGGATCTGTGCTTAAGGAAAGTCAGAAAGAACAGGATGACTGAGTAACCAGGGTGAGTTCTGGATGAAAAAGCAATCACAGGGCCGAGATTCCTCTTCCAGAAATGTCCTTAAAACCACATTTCCCCAAAACTGGTGCCGTCATCTTCCCACTGTTGGCCACATGACTTCACGCCCCAAACTTTGTCCCTAACATCTCTATCCAGAAAGCACAGTACACTTAAATAATGATGATTTCTCACTAGCACCAAGGTATATATCAAATTTCAGATCAGACTGGCCAAGAAATATCTTTCTTCTCTTCCTTCCCCTCTTCTTCTACCCTTTCCTTTCTTTGTTGTATTGAGACAGGGTCTTGCTACGCTGCCCTGGTTAGTCTTTAACCCATTATGAGGACCAGACTAGCCTCAAACTAGAACTGATCTTCTTGACTCATCCTGCTGAAAGCTTATATAGGCATGTGCCACCATGCCCAGCTACAGGAAATGCCTGGCTCCAAGAATCCCTCTCTTCTTCCTCTCCCCTTTATTGGGTATGAAGATCTCTGTTTGTGAATGCTTAATTAGTGCTTACCATTGACTGGACATGATCATCACAAGAATATTTCTCAAACACCTACTTAATGCTAAGTGTGTCAGTTACAAAAGTGATGAAAACCCACTGCCAGCTCAGAAATACATAGGGGGACTAGTTCTTGGATCCTGAAGGCACCAAAATCTGAGGATGCATGAATGACTGGTTCCAAAGCGATACAGGATTTACATATAACCCATGCATATCTTTACATATACTTAATTAATTTATTGGAGACAATATTTCACTGTGTACCCCTGGTTGTCCTGTAACTCACCATGTAGACCAGGCTGGCCTTGAACTCACAGAGATCTACCTGTCTCTGCCTCTTAAGTGCTGGGATTAAAGGTCTGTGTCACTACATCTGGCTTTCATATACTTTAAATCATCTCTGGATGACTGGTAGGATCTAGAGCTATACTGGTGGAAAAAGGCAAGGGAAGAGTCTGCACATGTGTAGAACAGAAGCTGCTGTGCTAGACCTAAATACATAGGAGACAACCCACAGCTGAGAAGCCACGGTTGGCTGAGTTGCCGAGAGTGGAACCACACATTCTGAGGGTCCACTGTAATTCACAGCTGGTAGGAGTGGATAGTTTTAGTAGGAACTCAAGACTTTCAAATACGGCGGGTCAGAAACATGCCCAGAATGATTAAAGCACAGACACCACAAAAGATATCCACCCATGGCTGGGTGTTCCAGAGTTGGCTGCATGGAGAAGGTGGATCCCACACTTAACTTGATGGGAAATAACACCGAGCAGTGGTAAAGAGGACATTGAAGCCCATCTCCCCTAAATGACCCGAGGTCATTAACTACTTCAACAGCACCAAAGTCTTAGTTCCAAGAGATTTTCTCAGAGATAGAAGGAGACCGATGGGGGTGGAAGGACATGGATGAAGGTGGACAGAAGGAGAGGGAGATGGACAGAGGTGATGACAGAAGGGGAAGACGGCCATGGATTGAGGCAGACGGACATGAAAGGAAAGGAGTACAAATGGATGGGAGTGGATGGAGGTAGATGGAGGAGATGGAGAGGGACGGAGATAAATGCAGGTGGAGAGACATGAGAAGGGGCTCTGCAGGGCAGGTACTAGGAAGGCACAGGAGGGCCTGAACACAAGATCACATGAAAGAGTCGGGGCTGCTCAGTGGAATCCACACTCCGAAGCAGTGAGGAGCACTGGCTGAGAAGACCAAGGCTTTCTGGCAAGAGGAGACCTTTTTAGCAGTACCAGTCAGGGATCAGTATGGGATGAAAAACAAGGTAATAATACAAGGGGACAGACAGAAGACAGATCAAACAAGGATTCAAAAGGCTAGATGGCAGCTTTGAGAAGTACTGGGGCAGGAGCTGCAGTACCAGGGACACAATGAGCTGAGAATGAAAGGGGCTTTGGGGACAAGGATGTGGCAGACAGGCAACTCTCCAGAGGCATCCCAGCAATGTTTCTGGGCACTGGCAGCATTATGGTGGGGATAGGGAACAATGCCCCTTAGGCCATGAAAGCGTCATTCTCTGAGTGTGTGTGACCTTTCGGGTTGGTGTTGTCACATCAGTTTTACCAAGTGACCCTATTACACAAGTGTGCTTATTTCCCCTTTAGAAAACCAAGTTAGCCCGAGGAGGCCAGTCAAGCTGGTGCAGAGTGCAGTGGAGCTGAACAAAAGCTGTTATTGTTTTTGCAGACAGAAAGGCTTCCCACCACACACACCCTGCCGGAATTATGGATTCAAATGACTCACTGTTGAAATCTGTTTGACTTCGAACCACTTGAGAATCCCAGGGAAGGTATAGGCTGTCGTGTATGTGGTCCTTTCAATCCACATGGTCTGGTGCAAGGAAGAAAACCCAAAATGAGACAGTGGTCAGCTTCAAGCTCACAACCGACCCCAAACCTCTGGCTCAGTTGGGTGAGAATCCATTCCCACGTGTCTTCGAGGGAATGGAACCGTACTCTTCATAAACTCTCGCGGGCTTTGAGTCTGCATGGGGTTAGTCTCCCTGGGCCCTTTTGTTCTAAAGATTTTGGAAACCTGAGGTCCAGGAGGTATGGGTATGTCTCGCCTCGGGTCATATCAGCAGCAGGACCAGAAGCAGAGCCCAGATCTGAGACCTTCAGTCTCTCGAGGTCTCCACTGAGACCTGCTCTGTCAGTAATTAACAGGTAGTTAAACACTCTCCTGCAGGGGAAGCTCCAGTCTGCTGTGTGTGCTCATCAGGGGAAAGACACTGCACTCAGTAGAAGGCAAATGGGCTGGAGAGACAGATCAGGCGGGTGAGTGCTCCCTGAGCAAGCCAAAAGACCCGGGACTGATCCCCAGCACTTATGTACAAAGCCAGGGGTGGTGGCACAAGCTTGCAGTCCCTGTGTTGGGGAGGAGAGCTGGAGGAAGATTCCCAGGGGCTCTCACTGGCTGACCAGACAAGCTAGGCTGGTAAGCTGCAGTCCCCAGGAAGGACCCCTGGTGTTCAAATAACAAGTGGGGAGCTCGTGAGGAATGATACCCAAGGCTGACTTCCGGGCTTCAAATGCTCATGTGCGATCCCAGCCACCCCACCCACCCCCCATCCACCCCCCACAGAGAAGGCAAACCGAGCAAACTCACAGCAAACTCATTTTCTGGGTCTTTTTCTCCTTTCCGGAACGGCCGGGAATATCTGAACTGCTGCACTTCATTGGCTCTGTAGTAGCTGGGGAAGGACAGAGTGGCTGCATCGGACCTCACGGAACCAGCCCGCAACCACAGGTGTGACACACCTGACATGGCTGACAGGGCCACACTGAGGTCCTGGGACAGTCTGTACCTGGGTGTCACACCACCTCTTATTTGTCATACGTGAGAGTTTATTTTACCGCTCACAGTATATAGATGGTACTTACACCGACCGCGTTTACAGAGCTTTGCCATAGTGCTGTCAAGTCAATCTCACTGGTGTGTGAGCTTCTCTAGAGACAGAAAGCAACCTCAAACCCCGGGACCGGCTGGTCCTCAGTGATAACTGCGCAGATATCTGGGCTAAAGGCTCCTGTGCACACACCAAGTGAGGCTTAGCTTTCCCTTTGTCTCAAAGGGAAAAAAAAAAAAAACGCTCTTGCTTTTTAACTCGGTAAGCTCCCATCTCACAGGCAAAACAGTATGCATTAAGTCTTCCAAACTGTAGCAAATGAAAAAGCCTTTGCTTTTGATGCATTCCAAAGAAAGTCTTGCTGGGTAGCCCAGACCGGCCTTGAACTTGCCATTCTCTTTCCCTCCACTGCTATGATGACAGGCATGGGTCATGGCCCACTTGACGGTTTTCTATGAAAGAACCACTCACTTCAAGATCTGCTCTGGAACCGGTTTGTCCTTGTAGCTGGGCGGCAGGCTCATCACGGGCTTTACAGTGAAGCACTGTAGGTCTGAGGACTTGTTAAGGAAAAGGCTGGCCCTGCAGGTGCCACAGGCAGTGAGGTCCCTGCCTGCTTCCATTGCTCATCTCCTCTCACTGCACTGAAATGGGCTCCCATATACACTGTCACAGTATGGGACTGTCCTAGGACCCTCCGTGTGGCGAGACACCTGGCAAACCTCCTTGCCACGTGAAACAAGTGTCAGGAAAGTCTCAGGAGAAAGACAGCCAGAGATGCTTTTAAACCATTTCTTTTAGATATTCGTTCTCCCGAAACAGTCAGATTCCAGAGCCCAGGGAACCAGAACCAGAACCTTTAGATGCTACTGTTGCTGGAGTGAGTCCCTTCATAGGGACTAAATGTTACAAATTTATCTTTCACACAACAAACCTACAAGACGGATCATTCTTTTTTCAGCAGAGGAGAACTTTGGAGGCTGTGAGAAGTTAAAACTCAAGATTCCACCACAGGCTTCTGCTGGGTTGGGATGAGTAGTGTTAGAAAGGTTTCCCCTGGCACCCTTACCAGTGCAGACACAGCCTGACCTCTGGACCTACAGGTTCTGCACCCAAAGGCAGATAACCAAGTGAGGATTTCCTTCTGTACTGACCCTGTACAGACTCCCTCACTCCCCACCCCTTTTCCTTAACTCCTGAATGATACAGTGTGACAATACTTACAGAGCATTCACTGTATCAGGGACTCTAAGTCAACAAGGAGGGACTGGGTCGAGATGGCACTTACTAAATTGATTATTGTAAAAGCATGTGAGGGCCTGAGTTCCAATGCCCAGTACATAGCTAAACACACACACACACACACACACACACACACACACACACACACACACACACACACACACAAAAGAGAGAGAGAGAGACAGAGAGAGAGAGACAGAGAGAAAGAGAGACAGAGAGAGAGAGAATTAGGAAGAATGTATATAGGCTATATGCAAGTTCAATGCCATATACATGACTTGAACAGCTGCAGATTTGGGTATCCTGGGGTGGTAGAAAGAGTAGACTGGAAGGGTGTGGAGGTTTGAAAGAAAATGACCCCCAAAGAGAATGGCACTATTAGGAGGTGTAGTCTTGTTGGAGGAAGTGTGGGGGTGGGCTTTGAGGGCTCCTTTGCTCAAGCTATGCTCAGTGTGGTACTCAGTTTACTTCCTGTTGTCTGCAAATCAAGACGTAAAACGCTCAGCTCCTTCTCCAGCACCATGTCTGCCTGCATGCTGCTATATCCTGCCATGATGATAATGGACTAAACCTCTGAACTGTAAGCTAGCCCCAGGTAAATGTTTTCCTTTATAAGAGTTGCTATAGTCATGATGTCTCTTAGTTAGAAACCCTAACTAAGACAGAGGGTGTCCTGGAGTCACAGGCTGGGAGGGTATCAAGAATGCAGCTGGATGACTGCATGATTTCAAAGTCTGCAACAGAATCCTGAACTTTCTTTAGGCACTCCGCCCAACTATGAAGTATATTCATTCATACTCAACATTTACTGGCCATGTCTTCCCTAAAGGCCCCAAAGACTTTGACACCGAATGGTTGAGGGATGAGTCTGACGGCTCATGGCACATCTGCCTGCAGAGAAGGAGTTGCAACTCTTAGTTTGTCTGGCTTGGCCTGGCCCATCCCAGGGTAAAGAGCCACTGGGCCGTTTTCCCCACGGCAAGGATACACTGCTTTGGGGATGACTTGATGTCCTCTCCTGGTGGCGTGGTACTGGTCATCTTCTCAGCGTTGGGGAACTGGGTCAGCAACCTCAAGCTGAAGTCTTCTCGCCTCTCATACTCCTTACCCCGGTAGATAAAGATTTTGTTCTGCAGGTCGGGGAAGCCAAAGGAAGTCATTAGATATGAAGGGTGAAGGAGTACCTGGAGCTGAAGATAGAGAAGGCCACTGTGCTTCTCTATGGAAGCTAAATCCACCACCAAGTAAGTGCTCAGTGACCATCCTAGACACTCCCAACAGGCAATGAGCAGCATCTACTGAATGGCTATTAGTTTATCCCTTCTTTCCCCAGGTGATGGACACTGGGATGCAGACGTTGGTAGCTATGATTAAGGCTGCTATGAACATCCCTACAGTATTTTGGAATGATTAGATTTCTACTCACTTGAGTAAATACTCCCTGGTTACAAGTGGTTTAAATGTCCCATTCATATGTTAACATTTAGGACCCCCCCCCCCCATTAGCTTGTAGAATCCCTGAGGGCAGAGAGAAGTCTGAGTAACTTCAGAATATTTCTGCTTCCTCCCACATGCCTGGTACAGAGTGGACAATGTAGACATTACTGAATGAGGGGCCGTTGCTCTCTCATTGAGCCTGGCTAGGAACAGGAATGGTTTTCCTTCAGCACTTTCTGTTCTTGTTTGTTTTTGCAGCACGATCTCATGTAGCCCAGGCTGACCTCCAACTCCCTATGTAGCTGAGGATAATCTTGAACTTCTGAACCTTTGGCCTCCACCCCAAAGTGTTATGACTAAAGGCACATATCAACATACCCAGTTGATGTGGTTCTGGGAATCGAACCCAGTGCTTCAAGTATGCTAGGCCAGTACTCAATCAACTGAACTATATCTCCATCCATCCCATTCTATGCTTTTTAACTAAGAGTACAAGAGATAAAATATATTTAAACAAAGCTCAGGTCTGAAAACGTTCTTTTTAAAGTGTTTGTTTCTCAAACTCTAACGTCACTGTGACAGTGGATACACTTTTAAGAACAGGATTTCTCATACGTGTCACTTACTACTACAAAACCACTTTTACTTCGGGGAAATGTTTGTTGTCTTGTTCTTGGGATACCTGATTTCAAAGTAGCCCTGACTGGACAGAAAATAAGCAACAAAACACATCCATCCACCCTCGCCCGAGTTTGGCCTGTGGATGGATTCGGCTGATGTTTTCTCTTCTCTCCTTGCACCTGGGAAAGCCATTGCACAGAGAATCTGCCAGAATCCCAGTAGTGTCAGGGGTGTGGGGTGAAGAGGCCAGCACTCAGGAAGAGGTCTCCCTCCCTGACCCGACCTCCCACAGTGGGAACGTAGGCCAGCAGCTGCTGCTGCCCATCTGGAAGAGAGATGAGTCTCCTCTCTCCCCTGAACCCCACTCCCAATGGCTCTGGGGACCACCCCCAGGCTCCTCACCCGCAGGAAGGAAGGGAAGCCCTGTCCATAGTATCCCACAGCAAAGTATTCAGGCTGCGGCCTCATGGCCTTAATGATGTTCTCATAAAACGAGGCTCTTTTTTTCTGAAAAACAAAACAACACATGTGGCCCGGAGGTTACCAGGAGATTGTCAGGGGAAGAAATAAAAAAGAAAACAGTCAGCCCATTTGCTGTGTTTTCTCATGTAACAGATAAATGGAAGGACTTTGGAGACCACCTTGTAAGCCGCAGGGTGACTCTGTTCTGGGATCTGATGTTTGGGACTTGGGCCTAGGATGGAACTAGGAGCCCTACAAGTACTTCCTGAGATCCACAGGCAGTATCTGAACTTAACCAAGCATGAGAGAGTAGAGGCTGAGGGATTTTCTGCTTTGAGCAGGTGACTTGGACAGCCACCTTGGGCTTGACTGATGACCAAAAGGTGGTCTCTAGATTGAGCGGGTCTTCTGATGCTTTACTATGAATTCTTTGAGACACGATCGGAGGTAGCTCAGGCTAGCCTCCAACTCTCCATGTAGCTGAGGATAACTTTGAACTTCTGTTATCCAGGTGCTTGGATTACAGGAATGCACCAGCATGCCTGGTTTTACGTGGAACCAGGGATTGAACTGAGAGCCTAATGCATGCAAGGCAAATGCTCGACCATTGAGTTCTAGCCTTGGCTCTTCTTTTCCTTTGTACTGTGAAGTAAGACCTTGTACAGCCTCCCAGGCTGCTTTAACTTGCTCTGCAGGGCAGGCAGAACGTGAACACTATGTCCCAAGCAGCTGGGATTATCATCCTGTACCACAGCCATCCCTACCACAGTTGACATAACTGTGACCGCTCTAGGTGAAGGTCTGTCAGAACCATGCTTTTCTTAGCTGGCTGATGGGTTACCAGAATCTTAACTCAAACTAGCTTAGAAATTATTGAGTAAATATCTGGCCTCTCAATGGCAGAAGCTGGTAAAGTGCATGAGTTAAGTTTCCACTAAATGCTCCTGACAAATAGATCCTTAAGGAAAAGATTATTCTGTGACAGTGATGACCAGACCTTTCTAGGCTCCTGCTGTAAAATTTCTCTCCACGGTCATGCAGTGGGCATGCGGGTGGTTGGGCAGGTGTGCAGCTTGTTTGTAAGAGCTGAACTGTGCCCACAGCCGGGCTTACCACACTGGCTCAGGAAACTGTCAATGCTGAGCCTTTCTGTGACACCAGAGAGAAAAAAGGTAGCAACAGCCACTTAGATTCTGGCTGAAACACTCACAGCATGTCCTGGTATGGACAGTGGCATTCTTGGGGGTGGGGTGGGGGGAAGTCAGCCTCAAAGATGGGTTTCTTCTCATTGTAAAATTATGTTTTATTTAGTGTGGGTGTGTGTGTAAGCACACGTGTCCCGGTCCATGGTCTGAGGTCTCCTTCCAACACGTGGAACGTGAGGTTTGAACTCAGGTTGCCAGGTTTGTCAGCGAGACACTTCACCCACTGAATCATCTCACTGGCCCAAGGCAAGGTTTTGATGAACAGATGATGTCCCACAGTCGCCAGGATGGGGCATCATCACCCAGGCTCAGTGTCTCCCCTCCCCTCTCCCCTTTCCCAGTCCCAGGGGATTTCTAGGGGGACAACCTGGAGAACAATGGTCAAAGCTTTTGGGATCACACATGCTTCATTTTGAAGTCAAGTAAGGTCACTTTCTCCTTGGAAAGGGCACCCTTGACCCAGACTGGTTTCAACCCATATACCAAACTGTTCCTAAGGGTCCCCTTTAGCAGCCCCGCTGGCTCACACTTACCAGGAGACTGCCCAGGCCCTCATAGTCAAACACTTTGCTCTCGTAGGTCTCAGCCAACTCTTTGCTCAGTTTGATGGCTTTCTCCCACATCTTCAGAAGAAGGAAAGCAGGGTGAGATGTGGAAGACACAAGAGTCACCGTCCTCGGAGCTGTTACCTCCCTACAGAATCACTGGGACTAAGGAGTCAGGCAGGCTAAGCATCTAGAAGGGACCCTGACTTTCTACGCCCCATGATTCACTAAGCCTTTCTTTCCTGATGTAAGGCTACTGCAGGGTGAGTGACTCTTACCTGAAATGCCTGGGGCTACCAGTGTTTCCAATTTGGATTTTTTTTTTTTCTTTTTTAATTTGGGATAATTTCCAGAGACATGACTGGCTAGGTGTCCCGTAATCCAAAATGCTCCAAAGTCTGAAGCCTTCTTCAGGTAATGTTGACATTCCACGGCTTTAGAGTTCAGAACATTTTTCATGTTGGATTAGGGGTGCCCAACCTGTGTACCGTGGGTGTGTGGCCAAGAGGGCCCTCCTCCAGACAATCTGCCAGGACACGCGAGCCTCCACTGAAGCAGTCTGGAGTTGAAAGAGCAAAGCGCCAACGGCAGTGCAAAGCTATTCCTAGGATCCAAGAGTGGGAGTGTGGCTGGACAGGGTGGGCTGGGCTGAGACTCTGCTCTTGAGCGTGTATGTAGGTGTGGATGTGTGGCTGTGTACACACTCATGCGGAGGAGCTGTTTGCAGGGACAGGAAGGGGCCAAATGGCATGTGGTATGCAATTTGGTGAACTTTTTCCATGGAGGAAAAAGGTACAGCCTCTCTCTCACACCTCTCTGCCTCTAAGGCCAGCACAACCAGCACCCAAATGAAGCCTTCTCATCATCCTGGTATTGTGTGGAACATCTCGTAGATGGGCACTAATTGAAGATACTCCCTGATTCTTTCATCTGTTTGTTTTATCTCCAATGAACAAACAGAATTCTAAGACTAACAAGGGACTAATAATAAGGAGTAGGTCAGGAGGCCATGTATGCAAAGTAATAAAGAACTGGCCTGCTCTTTGTCCCAAATTCTTCTCCAGGGAAATGAAGATTTTTACTATTCCTAGTGCATCCCTGTAGGCTCCAAAATCTATGCTCAAGAGATGACTAGAGAGAGCCCCTGTGTTATTATTCCTAGCCACTTCTGGAGTCACATGACCGCACATGCGCTGTCAGCAGTCAGGCAAAAGGCTCAATCCTTCCAGGGCCTTATGTCCTATGTAATCCGTGCACAGCATGGTCACATAATCTATGGGTATGCTTGGCATAGCTACGTAGGCCCACATACGCATGTGCGAAGTGACCCGCTCCCCGCTCTCTCTCCCTCTCACCTGAGGTAGCGATCGCACCCCTTCTGCACCCCCACCCCCACACCTTTCTTTTCAGTAGGCCTACCTACCTCTACCCTTTCCCTTCCCTAATAAAAACTCTTACAGTGGGTTCCGTTGTGCCTTATGTTTTCTCACACCCAGTAAACAATGCAGACAAATAAATGCTCCCCGCCCTCTAAGTTTATGTTAATGAAGCAACTCAAGGCCACTCTCTAGATCAGCAGTGCTCAACCTTCCTAATGCTGAGATCCTTTAATACAGTTCCTCATGTTGTGACACCCAACCATGAAATTATTTTCTTTGCTACTTCGTAACTGTAATTTTGCTACTGTTATGAATCATAATGTAAATATCTGATATGAAGGATATCTGATATGTGACCCTTATGAAGTGGTCTCAACCCACAGATTGAGAACCACTAATCTAGATTGCGTCAGGAAGATTCTAGTCATGTGATTAAAGAGTTGGAGCTATAAGCTGGGCATGGTGGCTCACCCTGAAATCTCAGCACTCTGGAGGCAGAGGCAGATTATCAATTCAAGGTCGGCTGGGGCAATATAATAAGATTCTGTCTCAAAAACACAAAAGAGAATTGGAGATCTGAGCCACATATTATCAGCTCGGATTCAAGAGAGGCAAAGGGAACTAGAGATTGAGTTAACCCTTGGAGTTAACAATAATTCAATCATGCCTATGCTATGACAAGTTCTGGACAATTCAAATACATGGATTTTTTTTTCAAGGTTGCTTTTACTATGTTGGCCTAGACTGGTATCAATTTCTAAGCTCAAGCAATCCCCCTGCTTCAGCCTCCTGAGTCACTAGAATTGCAGGTGCACAATATTGCATCTAGTGGACACTTCAATATTCTAGAGAGGGAGAGGACACTGGACCTCAGAGACCCTTCCAGACCCTACCTTGTGTATTTCACGATTTGGCTGGTCCTGATTTGTGCCCTTCACAACAACACTGTAATAAGTAGATACAACAATCTTCTGAGTTCTGTTGTTAAGCCTGTGGGTGCCACCCTGAGCTACCCAAAATTCCTAACCAGTTTCATCAGAGGTGTGAAGGATCTGAGCCCCTGACCTATAGCTGTCATCATAAGTGAGTGCAGTTTCTAAAAATAAGAAAGAAATTATGATTTTTTTACTTATGTGAGTATATGAGTGTGCATATGCACGTGTGTGTGTGTGTGTGTGTGTGTGTGTGTGTGTATGTGTGTGTGTGCATGTGTGTTAGGGCTGTGTAGGTGTGTTGGCCTGTGTGTGTGTGTGTGTGTGTGTGTGTGTGTGTGTGTTAGGGCTGTGTGGGTGTGCTGGCCTGTATAAGTGTGTGTGGAAGCCAAAGGGAAATGTTAGGATGTCTCTTCAAAATCACTTTTCTTGTTTGTTTGTTTGTTTTGGAGACAGGGTTTCTCTGTGTAGCCCTGGCTATCCTGGAACTCACTCTGTAGACTAGGCTGGCCTGCCTCTGCCTCTTGGTGGTGGGATTAAAGGCGTGCACCACCACACTCAGCTCCAAAAATCACTTCTGTACCTTATCTTTTTTGAGATGGCTGCTCACGAAACCTGAAGCTTACCATTTTGGCTAGTCAGGCTGGCCAGCAGGTCTGGGGAAAACTTAGGGTCTCCTTTCAATCCTGGGGTTATAGGTACTCATCCCCATGTCCTGCTTTTTTTTTTTTTTTGGCTTTTCGAGACAGGGTTTCTCTGTGTAGCTTTGCGCCTTTCCTGGAACTCGCTTTGGAGACCAGGCTGGCCTCGAACTCACAGAGATCCGCCTGGCTCTGCCTCCCGAGTGCTGGGATTAAAGGCGTGCGCCACCACCTCCCGGCCATGTCCTGCTTTTATATACACATCCTGGGGATCAGAAATTCATGTCCTTATGCTTGCATAGCAAGCACTTTACACACTGAGCCATCTCCCCCAGCCGATGTCATTTTGTTGGGGACAGGGCCTTTATCCTGTGTGCTCTGTGCTGACTCAGCACTCAGCATTAGAAATGTATTCACTATAATCTTTTTTTTCCTCTTTCCAGTAGTAAAAAAAAAACAAACAAAACCCCAGCGAACCCAGCACTCACTTTGCCTTTATCGAAATAGGATATGATCTCTTGATACAGCTTCTCTTTAAGTTCCTGCTGGGTATAAACGTAGTAGCTGTCCCTCTGGAGCAAATGGGGCACACAGGGCTTGTCCGACCACTACAAAGAAGAAAAAGGAACACGGAGATGAACGGAGCAACACTCCAGACCCCAAAAGTCAGGAAGCGACTTGTGTGCAGGCAGTCAACTCATCCATATTGTGTTTTAAGTTATTTACCAAACACAAGACGACACACGCACGGACGCCCAGCTGTCAGCTTCACTTGGAAACAAGTGCCACGCCAAATGGCCAGGCACCTGCAGCATTCCCTGGGAAGAGGGGAATGGAATGAGCCAGCTAAACCAGCACACTGCCGTGTGGAAGGCATCTTGAACACAATCAGAGGAGAGAAACACGCTGGGGCTATAACCACGGGGGGAGCAGATAAAACTGCCACTGCCTGTGGACATTTCCTTCTCCTTAGTACCCAGCAGCCCAGGGCAAAACCACAGACACAACGCTGAGAACTAAGAAGCAAAGGAATAAAAACATTTGAGGATAGACCTTGGCTACAAAGAGAACAGTCACACAGAAGACAGCAGAAGCAAACAAATCCATCCAAATGAAGGCCGTCAGCCATCACCAGGATTACACAAGACTTGTGCGCAGGGCACTTGGCTGTGCCATTCAAAGGCACAGTAGCAGCCCTGAAGTAAGGGAGCGTCTATGCTTAGACAGGGGAACACTGTTTCATATACTTGTAGATTCTTACTAAAGCCCTTCTTTGGTGGCAGTGTGAATTGAATCCAGGGCTTTATGAATGCTAGGTATGAGCTAGGCCTCCAGCCTTGCTTTTACATTTCTAAAAGTTTGAGAGAAAGGGTCTCACTGAGTTGCTCAGGCTGGTCTTCGGGGCAGGATCCTCCAGCCTCAGCCTCCTCCCAATCAGCTGGAATTACAGGTCTATCCTTTCAGGCTCTGCAAAGTCAGTCTCTTCCCTCCTTCCCCTTTCCCTTGCTCTCCATTTCTCTCTCCTCTCCACCCTGCCCTTCCCCTTCTTCTTTGCTTCTGTCTCCAGGGCCTGAAAGCAGGGTATGAGCATGCCAGGCGAGTGCTCTACCACGGGGCTACACACCCTGAGGGTCAAGTCATTGGAAACTTCAGGGTTCTAAAGGCTAGATGAAAACATACAAAGGGACAGGAAGCAACACTGGGGGTGGAGGGCAATGAGGAGTCACCACACCAGACGATAACACTGTGCGGAATTAGTCATCACAACAATGTATCGCCAGGGCATGCACAGAGGGAGGCCCACATGCAAGGAGATACTAGAAGGAGCCCTCCTCCACCACAGAGATAAAGCTGGGATCTTACGCCAGGGAATCAAATTCAGATTATATTTAACAAATACCATCTCTCCTGAGTAGCTATCTGGGGAGAAAAGCTGAATCCACACTTCATACTTTACACCAGGATAGGACAATTTAATTTTCTTTTCTTTTGCTTTTCAATTTTTTTTTGAGATAGACTCACCCCACAAAACACAGGCTGGCCCTGAATTTGCTATCGCTGCCTGCCTCCGCTTCCTACATGCTGGAATTATGGGCATGTACCACCACGCCCAGCTTGAGGGTTTAACTTTCTGGGCAGCATGAATAAAAAGACCTACAGGGCTTGTCACTGGGGACCATTCTCCAGTGACACCCAGCAAACCTCACACAGTCAGAAAAGCCTTTAGTGTCCCAACCTTGAACATGAGATATGGATTTCCTGGGGAAACAGGGAGGCAGGGAACTCCTGTGTTTAGCTGCTGAGAATGATGCATGCGTATCATTTCACAATCAAATCAAATCTAATTAAACTCTAGGAGAAAATGAACTGTTGGGTATTAAGAATGGAAGCAGAATGTCTGGGGAGAGACACTGTATGCGTCAGGCAGAGATGCTAGGGGTCTAACCCAGAATGGCAGCAAGGGATTTTCTTCTTCTTCTTAGAGATTAAGGACACGTTCTAGACAGCGGGGCTACACATTCCGTTCATGGAGAATGTAGGAGGCATTGACCAAAAGGGAAGACTGGAGTGTGACTATGAGGTTATCACCTAAGACACTAGTAGATGGTGGTCACACAGAACAAGGGTGGGAATGAAGGTTGTGTTTTCAACGTGTTGAGTTGGAGTTATTACCTATTTGAAGAGTGATACTTATGTAGAAATCCAAAGTTAAAGGAGGACAGGGCTTGAAAGAATTGTTTGGGATTTGGGACAAATAGATGCATCTATAGCATGCCTCACTATAATTTTACTTGGAGAGAGAGGATAAACAGGAAATTACTTCTTCCAAGTGTTTTATTCATTTGTAAGTTTTCTCTCTCCAGTTTTACTAATCGCTTTACACATCGTCAACGTGTATTTAATTAGAATGTCAATCACCAGAGGCCTCTAGGTTGTGCCCTGCTTCCTAAGGAGTTTTAAATGACAAATGATTATTTTCCCAGTCTTGATCTGAAAGTGACCCTGTTTACCCAGAAGGCACAAACACATTCTTAGATAAACTATATTCCTCAAATAAGGTTCTCTCCTACCCACATCATGAAGTTCATAGAATTCAGTCCCAAGGGACTGAACGCATGGCATCTGACATGCGTCTTCCATATAGGACCCATTTACCTGCAGAAGCTCAGCATGTAAGAGGAGTGTGTAGGCGGCTTCTGTGTAATTCTCACAGTCCCTGTGCAGATCTCGAAGTTTGTACAAGTACCTAGCAAGAAAGGACAGAAGAGGCCCTTTGTTACCAGGGAGGTGAGCTAGCATTCAGAGCATCCCCCGTCAGGTCCCAGCCTGCACACAGACCTCTGCTCCTAACAGGAACACCTCCCTTCTCTTAGACAATAGACTTGTCACCTCCTAGCTCTCTAGCCCACCATACCACTTCCTGTCCTGTGGTTTTCCTAGTCCCTCTATTTTGTCTTCTTAATTTTATTATATTAATTATTAATTAATTAATTTATTTATTTATTAATTTTTAGGTCTTGGTCATCTTTGGGAGGCGAGAGAAAGCTTTGGAAATTCTGCTGATGACAAGTTGGCTTCATGGTCAGAGACTCATGGCCCTCAAACTAAATGCCACTGTGAGTTACTTCTCCTTCATGTCCCTTTGAATGCTTCTACCCCTCCTCAAATGCTGATGTGACTCAATGACACACTCCCTCACAGTGTACTTGTCCGTGGCTCTGTCTTCAAACCTCACCCTCTGAGGCAGACTGCATAAATCCTGTATTTGTAGGAGTCTATCAAGGCAGCAAGCGTGCTGTTGGGGCAGCATTTTCTGGTTTAAAAATATACCACAAACCCATGATACAAATAGCCAAACCAAGGCATTTCCTACGCTTACCTTATGTATATGTCCTCTCGCTTCTTTTCTTTATAAAAATTCTGCCAAAAAGAAGGTCACAAAATACCAACATAAATGAAAGGCTGTTGATGAACTTGACACAAAAACAGCCAAAGCGTAACTGCCTCTTTTATTTTTAACTTGAAAGAGAGTGTGTGCATGCATGCAAGTGTAGTTGCCCTCAGAGGCCAGAAGAGGGCGTCAGATCATCTGGAGCTGGAGTTACAGGCAGTTGTGAGCCAACTGACATGGGTGATGGGAACCAAACTCGTGTCTCTGGAGAAGTAGCACACACTCTAAACCATGAAACAGTCTCCACTCCAACTGCTGCTTTTCAACACCGTCTCTTTTCCAAAGAGATAACTATTATGAGTTCATCACCTCCTTTAAGAATCATTGCATAGGAAGCAATGGGATACAAAGAAGTGGAGAAATTCAGACCATGCTTCATGGATCTCCCTGGGAAGGGGAAACAGAACAGATTTCGCAGGTGGACTGGGGGACAGGTGGGGATGAGACTAGGAGGGATAAAGTGAGGGGGTAGGGATGGAGAGAGAGGGAGTACGGGGAGAGAGAGATGACTGGAATTGGAGGGTACTTGGGGGGGGGTGTGATGTGGAAACCTAGTGCAGTGGAAACTCCCTGGATTCTACAAGGATGACCCCAGTGAGGACTCCTAGTAATGGAGGATATGGGGCCTGAACCAGTGTCTTCTGTAACCAGGCAAGACTCCCAGTGGTAGGACTGAGACACCAACCCAGCTACAAAACTTTTGACCTACAATCTGTTTTGCCTGCAAGATGTGCTGGGGCAATGGAGGCCCAGAACTTGTGGGAATGGCCAACCAATGACTGGTCTGAGGCCCACACCAGGCGAGGGAGCCTATGCCTGACACTGCCTAGATAACCAAGAACTGGAGGCTAGATGGCCCAGAGATGAACCAAACATGACTGGAAAAAAAAGTGAAATGATTCCTAGTGATGCTCTTCTATACTCACAAATCAGTGCCTAGAGTTCAGTTGTCAACAGAGAGGTTGCCTCTGGCAGCTGATGGGAGCAGATGCAGAGACCCACAGCCAGACAATAGGCAGAGAGAGAGCCCGGGTTGGAGATCTCCATTGGGTCCCTCTCCTCAAAAGCTCGGGGAACCCCATGGAAGACAGGGAGGAAGAATTGTGGGAGCCAGAGGGGTCCAGAACACTGGGAGAGCACGGCCAACAGAATCAACTAAGCAGGGCTCACAGGGGCCCACAGAGACTGAAGCAGCAATCATGGAGTCTGCATGAGTTTGCACCAGGTCCTCTGTATATATGCTATGGTTGTTGGTTTGGTGTTTTGGGGGGACTCCTGACAGTGGGAGTGGGGGTATTTCCAACTCTTCTGCCTGCTCTTGGGACCCTTTTCCTTCTACTGGGTTGCCTCAACCAGCCTTGATGTGAGGGTTTGTGTCTGGTCTTATTGTATCTTCATGTTCAGTTGATGTCCCTGGGAGGCCTGCTCTTTTCTGGGGGGACATGGGGGGTTAGTGGATCTGGGGAAGAGGGGAGATGGAGGGGAACTAGGAGGAGTGGAGGGAGGGAAGCTGCTATCAGGATGTATTGTATGAGAGAAGAATAAATAATTTTTTTAAAAAAGACCATGCTTCTGAGAAATGCAAGAGATCTTCTATGGGAACAGCAGAGTCTGGCTTATCCTGCAGCCACCTAGTATGCTTATTTCTCAGGGAGTCAGGGAGGTGGGATGTTCTTGGTTTATGTTAAGCACAAGAATGCATAGCAATCTAAACCTTGGAGGTCTATAGTCCCAGGAAAGGGGAAGACTAGAGTCTTACTGTCAGGAGAACGGCACAGACTAACTTCCTTCATGGCATCGGTTTCTGTGTGCTACATCACCATAGGCAAGCACATGTGAGTGTGCTTAAGAGCAGGAGCCGGGCTGAGATGGCATGTGGGAAAGGCTGGAGTGTCGTGCACTTTCCATGCCGGTTTCAGAATTCCTGAAGGTCTGTGGCTACCGTCTTCCAGTCTGACTCAGTAGGGCATGGACTCCACAGAGATGCTCCAGGAAGGCTGGGCATCTGCACTATCAACTTAGAGCTGAGTTGATGGAGCAGAGGTGGCTTAGCTGTGCCCACTCACATGCCCAGGGACCAGGCCCTTACCAGAACATTTACTGTACAGCTCATGCGGTTCTCCTTACTCTCGTCATGCAAGATGATGGTTCTGTAGTCCAGCAAGTTCTCTAAGAGGCTGCTGACCAGGAGGGCAAAGACTTCCCCAGAGCTCGAGAGGTATTTATGTTTCCGGCAATGTTCTAGCAGTCTGGAATGGGGAGAGAGAATTTCCATAGTTTACCCAGGTACTTTTGGCACTGTCTGTGAGTTGATTGGTCAAGTCCTAGCAGCAGGAGGCTCTAGGTCAGTGGTTCTCAACCTTCCTAATGCTGTGACTCTTTAATATAGTTCCTCATGTAGACCCCAACCATAAAATTATTTTCATTGCTACTTTATAACTATAATTTTGCTGCTGTTACAAATCACAATGCAAATACTTATGTTTTCTGATAGTATTAGGTGACCCCTGTGAAAGGGCCGTTCAACACCAAAAGGGGTCATGACCTACAGGTTGAGAAACACTCCTATAGACTTATAATATATATCCTCTGTGGAACCCAGGGTGCCTTAAGACTTTCAACAAGGCCCAGATTGGACCAACTATTTTCTCAAGTTTTATTCTTTCTTGGGGACCCAGACAAGTCCTACCATCATTTAGAACCCCAGCCCACAATGTCCTCTGAGCATCAGTCAATCAGTAGTTTCTTTAGTGGATGTTGCAGAAATGAGAACCCTTGGCTACAATGTTCATGCACCGTGCCCATTCTAACTCAGCCGTATAAGACCATCTGTCCTATGTCTTTGTTCTCTCTAGGGCCTGGTATTGAACAGGCAGTCTGAAAATCCCATGCTGAAGCCCAGCCCAGAAGAACCTGGTAGTCATTTGGATGGGTGACACCAGATAAAACCATTTTCAAGTAGAAAAGCAGAGCTGTGAACAGGCAGACTGGGGATACACTTCAGACCCAGTCCTCCCCTTCAGGGGCCATAGTGAACAAAGTTTTGGGACTTCTTGGTAACTAAAAGAAAACTCAGAAAAGGAAATGGTTCTAAAGAATCAGTCCAGACTCGGGAGCTGGAGAGATGGCTCAGTGGTTAGGAGTGGTACCTGCACTCATGAGCATATACCTACACACACACACACACACACACACACACACACACACACACACACACACACACACACACCTTAAAATAAAGCTTAAAGAAAAATAATTATCCCAGATTCTAGGAGTATTTCGGGGGGCTGGATTGCTATAATCAGACTTTTCTGAGCCAACAATCCAGAAAAAACAAAAGAAACAGAGTAAGATCACTCCAAGAAGATTAGCTGTAGGGATGTTTTTTGAACCAGTAATTTTATCTTGTGTACATAGGGTATGTGTGGGCAAGTGCTCTACTATTGAGATATATCTCAGATTGTAGCTGAAGTTCTCCTGTGTCCTGCCTGGTCTGCAGCCGTTCAGACCCAAGTAAACACACAGAGGCTTATATTAATTAAAACTGCTCAGCCATTAGCTTGGGCTTACTACTGACTAGCTCTTGCACTTAAACTCAGCCCATTTCTGTTCATCTATATGTTGCCACATGTTTTCTGGCTTTACCTGTGTGCCATTACATGCTGCTCCCTGGACAGCAGGCTAGCATCTCCTGACACAGCCTTCCTCAGCCCAGAATTCTTCTTGTCTACTTATTCCGCGTATACTTCCTGTCTGGCTACTGGCCAATTAGCGTTTTATTAAACCAGTGTACAAAAGCATTATCCCACAGCATCAGATATATATATTTAAATAAAGCCAGATTCACACTATGCAGCCTTGGCTGTCCTGGAACTCACCACATAGACCAGGCTGACTTTGAACTCACAGAAACTCTCCCACCTCGGCCTCCAGGGTGCTGGGATTAAAAGTAGGTGCCACCATGCCCAATTATCCCCAAATCTTATGTCTGTTTCTATCTGTGTATAACTTCTAGACAAATCTAGAATTTCAAAAGCTATAGGAGGGTTAGAAGGTCAAGAGATCTCGTGGAAAGAGGATAGAAAGATCACTCCATCTATAAACAGAATACAGACATCTAGTTCTTTAAAATGGAGGCGATTCCCCTATCTTGCTCCACTACAGTGTGTTGTGTGCTGCTCCTCCTCAGGGAATCTTAGAGAAAAGATAAAAGTTTGGTGGTCCCTATATTCATGCTCAGACTGGTCTAAAGAATTTTCCCAAAACAGGAGAATAACCAAATGACACAAGTGGCTATTGATTGTGCACAGCCACCTGCAGAATGGGATGGCTAGACAAGAATAACTGCAGTCAACCTTTGAATAACAAACAAGCAAACATACAAACAAAAAAGATTTGTGGGTATGTGTGTGGGTAGGTGCATGTCACGGCATATGTACAGAGGTCAGAGGACGATCTCAGGGTCTGATTCTCTCCTACCACATGGGTCTCAGGGTTCGAGCCTAGGCTGTCAAGTTCCTTCATTGGATGAGCCACGTGGACCACCTGCATTCAAACGTTTAAAAGTGTGAACTCTGCAAGGGACCCTATGTTAATCCACTGCCTCACTGACTTCTAACAATAAGACTGAGAAGTAGACACTACTCTTACAGACAGGAGTTGGATGGGGTGGGGAAGGTGGTTGTACCTGTCAGGATGACTCACTGCCTCCAAAGACAAGATCTGAGAATGTGGTAAAAAGGGGATTTGTATTTAATCTTATGAGTCCCAATATCCGAAGACTTTAGCCACACTACACAGCTCTGTGTACAGCATGAAAAGGCTGAGTGTGTAGAGGCTGGGTAGGGGAGGCAGGACATGAAGGGACAAAGTGGGCTCAGATGAAGGAATGATGTCTTTATAGAGTGCCGACCAAGCTGGCTGAGAGACTACAGCTCTGTTCTCAGAGTTCTTTGATGGGATGTGAGGTATTTTTAAGTATAAAATCAACCTGGACTTCCTTTAAACAGCTGCTTTGAAGCCACAATTAGAGGTGCCCCACTTTTGCTCAAGTTCATAATTAAGACACTAGGCAGGATGCCGCTACTGTGTGTCTCCTCCCCTTGCCTATCTGCTGTGTTCTCCGGGGTCGGGCTGGTTGGAAAACACAAGCATGAACTCACACTGGGTAAACACTATCAGCGGTGTGTATTCCATCCACACCACCGAGGACCACTTGGTGACGGGGTGATTCTGCCACTGGCTGCTAGGCAGGCAGCAGAAGCTCTGCCCGCTGGCCTAAGGTGCTGCTCTGAGATACTCACAGCTTTTCCAGAAGAACCTTGTATTGTTCATCTCCTCGGCCCCCTTCCACTTCCTGATCCAGCTTTGTGATCAACTCGTTCTCAAACTGAAAGACAGAATTTTACAAGAGGATATCAGATCCTGAAGAATACATGGGAGACAGTGGCCAGTCTTTCTAGATCTGGCTCAATGCCTTTCCAATTTCGAATTGTTTCCAAGTTGGCTCTATCTGGGATCAGCTAGGGAAAAGCCTCTGGGTAGGTCTCTAAAGGTATAAAAGAGGAAGAGTCTCCCCAAGGGTGGGCAGTTGGATGTAAAAAGGTGCACCCTTTGCCTGCTATTGCTCCTCCCGGTGAGTGCATCTACCCTGCTGCTGCCATCACTAACTATCCTTGCTGCAAACAGGATCCAGCTTCTTTGGCTTTCCAACATGGACTGAAGACTGGATGCTCATCAGGAATGCTCCAGGCCTTCAGCTTTAAATCGAGACTGCTGAGCCATCCAGCTCATGGGCTGAGCAGCTATGGGCTCTCAGCTTCTCCACTGTGCAGACAGCCATTGTTGGATGACCCAGACTGTACTGCATAAACCAATATTTAAAAAAATGCGCTTTGTAATCTGTATTCAGCATATCCATTCTGTTCGTCTTGAGAACCCTGACTAATGCAGTGCCTGGTTAATAAAGGGAAGTCTAGAGAAAGAACCAGCAAACTAAAGCTCTCGAAGGTGAGCAGTGGTGAATGGGAGCTGGACCCACAGCATCCTTCTTTCGGCTGGCCTACACAGGTTACGCCTTCAGTCCTGGGCTGGAGCATGGCAGGACTGATGGACCCGGCCAGCGTTTCATCTTCTTGAGACAGTGCTGACTTAAAAAAAAAAAAAAAAAAAAAAAAAAGGCATGGCTTCTTTCTATGACTCTGGAACAACTGGAATTGTCTGTTTTCAGTGGAGTGTCAGTTTAAGCTCTGAGGCTGTACATGACTAGAAATCAGTTTATACTGAACCAGATGATGATTAAATGTGAGGCATTAAAAATTTCTATTTTGGCTGGGTGTGGTGGCATACTCCTTTAATACCAGCATTTGTGAGGCAGAGGCATGGGCCAGAAGACCCAACCATGCATCTCATTCTTTTACACAATGAAATAGAAAAATACAAGTTTTAGAATGCAGTTTTCAATCAAGCTGCTGCCTCTCCGTTTAGAGACAGTAAATCAAGTTAACTGTTTCACAGTACTAAGAGCAGGGGCTGCCTTATGGCTGCCTTCTTACCATATGGAAGTTGCCGTGGCCACTCAAGTTGAACTCACACTGCATCATATCAAAGAAAATGGGGATTGTGGCTTTACGGAGCTCCACTTCAGGGGTCAGGGTGACTTCCAGAATGGGACCCACCATGGATGGGATGAATTTGATTTTGTGAGGCCCTGAGATGAAAGTAAATGAGGAGAGATTAGAAGACTATATCACCGTAAGTCCCACCTTAACAATCTTCCTCCACGGGGCCCGTAAGAGAAGAAAGAGTTCATGTGAACAAACCATGTCCACCAAGGGACGATGGCTGAGTGCTGTTATCTGATAGTCTGTGACTGGCATGGTGACAGGGCTCACTGTCAACGTCCCAGGAGAGACCCTATGGAACCCACAAATCTACTTTTGTACACACATACAAATCTCAGGGTTATGTAAATTAAAATAAGAATTCATTATGGGTGCATGTTTTTAATGCATGCAACCTGTACGGAGAAATCTTTACTTTAGAACAACAACAATAACAACAACAAATAAATAAAAATAAATAAAAATAGAGAATTCATGGAGGGGCCCTGTTCAAAGTCAGATACTCACCCAGATTATACCACATGTCCCGGATCCTAAAGCCAATTTCCTTTCTCATGTCCCCATACCTAGGAAGAAGATCATAAGAAAAGGATTTGCAGTAGAACTGAGTAGCATGTAATACAGTCACCCCTCGGCATCGCAGGGGCTGGCTCGAAGCTCCCAAGACCCCTGAATCTGTTCAAGTCTCTTACATAGAATGGTTTATGACAGTGGTTCTCAGCTTCCTAATGCTGAGACCCTTTAATATAGTCCCTCATGTTGTAATGACCGACCGTAAAATTATTTTTGTTGCTACTTCATAACTGTAATTTCACTACTGTTGTGAATCATAATGTAAATATCTAATAAGCAGGATGTCTGATATGTGACTCCTATGAAAGCGTCATTTGATCCCGAAGAGGGTCATGGCTTAGGGATTGTGCACGTAAGCTACACACAGCATCCCCTGCACTTCAAAGGATCCCTTAGATGACTCAGAATATCTAATACAAAAGACTGGGGAAGGTGTTTAATGGTAGAATATTCGCTTACCATGTGCAAGGCCTTGAGGTAGATCCCCAGCACCACAAAGAAGAGACACTGGGTAACTACTGTGAAAGAATGTTTTGTAGACATGACAAGGCCGTTGACTCATGAACTCAGCCACTGTGACCGTGTCCATAAGACATGCACAAGATGAAGCCAGCCCAAGTGCCAGCACAGATGGCAGGAGGGGATCCCCACCAAGTCCCAACCCTAGTTGAAGGGCTGATGGTTACTGGGGGTGGGAGTATGTCAGTTTTCTTCAGAGATTTAACCCTTAGTGGATGGAAGGATGACCATTTTCCAGTAGAAGGCCTACACCCATCCACACAAAGAGTACTAAGTGGGCTTTGGAGGATTTTATAAAAAACAAATGAAGTTGGGTGGGAAAAGTATATTGTAGGGGTACATGGGAGGAATTGGAAGGGAGAGAATGGGGGTGGATTTGGACAAAACACATTGTGTGTGTGTGCGTGTGAAATTCTCCAAGCTAAAAAAAGAAGGAAAATACCTAATGCCACATAAATGTTATATAAATATGTGTTATATCAATTCGCTGGACATAATGACAAGAAAAATGTCTGTATATGTTATGTAAGGTGTCATTTCCCCTCAGGTATTTTGGCCTGTTTGAGTGGTGGATGCAGGGTTTGCTGGTCTAGAAGGGCAAGTACACAATAAAGGGGTAAAAAACAAAATAGTCCTCATCCTTCTGGATCTCAGGGGAGGCTGGGGCTCTGTAAGAGATAAGGTCATCACCCAGAGAAGCTGCAACAGAGAACTCAGTCATGTGGAGGACACGGGCTTTTGGAACAGGAGGGACCGAATACAAATGCTAAGAGAACTGAGAAATCGTCAACTGGCCAACGGAGAAGAGAAGAGGGAGAGAGGCTCTGGTCTCCACAAAGCAGAGACAGCTGAGTGAGGATCTAAACGAGGTGTGAGAGAGATGAGACGCCATGACTGACAGAGTCTTGGCTAAGGTGAATCCTCACAGAATGCTCTTCACAGATCTCATGTGGGCAGGTCTAGACCTTGCATTCCCATCAGGGACAATGAAACACAGACAAAGTTTAAAAACTAGTTTTGTGGTTGTGGTGGTACCACTGGAGAGACTGAGGCAGGAGGATGAGGAATGTTAGGCCAGTTTGGGCTGTATAGCAAGATCCTGTGTAGTGGGCAGCTCTTAAAAAGTAGGTATTGCAAGTGCTTCTGGGAAACTAACACAGGCCACACCTGGTTCTACAATACCCTCTCTATATAATTCCCCACATGGTAGGGATCTCCTAAATATTATTTTCTTCAAGTTCTTCACTGGAAATATCTTCAGAAGCCAGATTTTTTCAATCTTATTTTAAATTCTCTTACCATTCCATCTGAATAAAAATGCTTAACTTAATTTCATTATTAATATCAAGTAAGCCTACATGATCAAAATCTGATACCCAAAGTCAACAAACAATATCTATGTCTATTTATTAACAAATGGTAGGTTGATTTCTTCTAAAAACATGCATGAAGAAAGATCCCGAATCACACCTCAGTAACTGTAATATGCTGGTTTTACTTCTCAAACCTTATTTCTGCTCATATGCACACGTTTTTACATGGGTTACGTTCATAGTCTATTTTTCTTTGACAAGAGCCAGTACCAGTCCTAACTAGAATTATTTTTAAAAGAAGGCCTTGTATTACCCAAGGTGGCATAGAATTGCTGTTACCAAGGCTAGCCTCGAACCCCTGATCCTCCCTCTTGTCTACCCTTTCTGAGTGTTGGGGTTACAGGCTTGCACCACCATGCCCAGCTCCTCAACATCCCTTGGCACTTTCTGTCTCTGTTCCTCTCTCCCCTCTTCCCCCCTTTTCCCCTTACTGCCCCCCCTTCTGTGTGTGTTTCTGATTTGTAACCAATTATCTTCATTTGTAGCTGCTTAACCCAATTCAAATCTTCCTTCAAAGAGGTTCTATCGCTACCAAAGATGTTTTAAAACATGAGATAGATCAAAGGATCCTCCTTAAAAATAAGCATCTCTCATTAATTACCCATTAGGGAAATCTACAAAACAGGCCATACATTGTATCTTTTAAAATTAGAGTCTCCCAATCTTAATCCTTAGTTATCAGTCTTGGTAGAGAGAAACCACAGGCTGAGGAATGTTAAATAATTTGCCTAGTTTCCCATATATCACAGCAAGTGGAAAATGAGCTAAAATTTCAAAGTCTTTAATAAATTCAGACTACTTTCCAATGACAGCCTTTGAGCTTCCAGGCTCTCAACGAACTCTCAGACCTGAGAGAATGCCGTGAAATGTGTGACCAAACTTCTTGTCATTCATGAATATAATTGCATTTGAATTCCAAGCCATGAATCTGGAGGATAGTTTTAGGTTATATTTGGGTTTTCCTATTTCTGCTTTGCAAAGAGTAAGGAGGCACTATGCCTGCAATTTTGGTAAACTGACAGCAGGTGGCAGGAGATCCCCGGCAAGGGCACCTCACCAGGCACAGACTCCAGCAATAGCATGGGGTGACTGAGGAGGGGATGGAAAAACATTAATAAAAACAAAATGAATCTGGAGGAATTTCAGGGCAGGAGAGTGATAACACACAAAATCCACATCATCAACATGGGCAAGTCCCTGTCATTTCTTTGACAACATAATATTGTTGAACATAAACACACGATCACCTTCCCCATGGTCACCAAATCTTTAGAGGACACTTACTTTTTCACAATTTTGTTGCGCTTGGCTTCTGAGAAAGTCTCGAGCTGGAGGGACTCATGGGTGAGAAAAGCCACAGCCAAATGGAAGTAATTGTTCCAGAGCTTTGCAGGATGCATCAGGTGGGCAGGGCAAAACAGAAAATAACACCCATGAGGATCCAGATAAAACACCCACATGTGGGAGAGTTGCACTATGAAAAACCCAAATAAAACCCACAGGACTTCTTGTTCCTTCTGGGGTTTCAATTATTCACTGCTAAAAATCCTGAGGCTTAATATTAACCTTTAAAAAAAACAAGTCAAACTTTACATTTTTCTTTACCCTGGGGGCATAGGAGAAGTTCTGCCAAGAAATGTACCTATTTATAGCAGGTGGCTTGGCAATCTGTATCAAAAGCCCTCCAGCTCTGCCAGACTCTTGAACTAGTAAATACTTTCCTGATTTTTTTTTTTCCTGACAAAGTAACTGTGGCTAGTTAAAAACATTTCGACCAAAGAAGGCCCTCACAGCTATACAATGTAACAAAAAATAGAAACAATCTGAACGTCCCTAAGAAGAATTGAGTTCTTGTATCACAGGCCAGAGGTATAATGAATCATATACAGCCATTAAAAATATTGTGAAAAATGTTTAACATCATTGGAAAAAAAGTCTTAGATTGTGGAAAAAAGTAAAGAAAGTAGACAAATGGATCATTAAAGAGTTACAGGGTTCATTTATATTTTGGTTTGTATATTATGTACATCACACACACACACACACACACACACACACACACACACAACACAACACACAACACACACTGTTCATATATCCATCCTCCTCTGGTTATGACTCTCCCTCTTAGCGGTCGAGATGAAATACAAAAAAGCACATGACAAGAAAAGCACATCACCAAGAAAATGTTTCCTGAACTTAAATCCCCTAAAAAGCTGGGGCATGATGTACTTTCAGCAGGAACTGGGATACTGCTGGGTGCACACACAAATATTTGTCACATGAAAGAATAAATGAAGACGAAGCTACCAGATGCCTGGGTTTGTTTTTATTTCTGCAGATAGGGTCTCGTTATAGCCCTGGCTGACCTGGAACTCACCAAGTAGACCATGCTGGTCTTGGACTCACAGAGACCCATCTGCCTCTGCCTTCTGAGAGCTGGCGTTAAAGGTGTGCACCACCACCCCCATTACCTGCTTTGCAGGTCTTCACGTACCAGTGACAGTGTGCCTATGAAACTGCTTATGTGCACATTCAGGCCTGTGTGGACAGAACCAGCACAAAACCTTGACCCTGAAGGCGAGGGTGAGAGCAGCCCCCTCATCCATAGCTTTGTTTCCTGGAGTTTCAGGACCCTTGGTCTTCTGTGGTCTGAAACCATCAACATTTCACTCCTCGCTCACATGAACTCGCAGTGTCCCGAAGTAATTGCTCTATTTTGCTGTTCATTGTTGGTGTTAATCTCATACGATGTGGCAGAGGTACAAATTAAACAACCCCTAGGTCTGCATGCATAGGAACACAGTAACAAGAGGGCTCAGCACTGAAGATTCAAGCTTCCACTCATGCTCCTGGACTGAATCTCTGAGGATCAGAGACCACTGCATTTGTATTTGCAGTTAGCTATACTTTCTATGACAGTATTGCTCACACTTCCTTTTATGTGTGTTACTTTTTTTGTGCAATGAAAACCAAATCATTTTGCTGTGGGATGTTCTGTATGGCAAATGTGTTGCTAATTAGTCAATAAATAAAACACTGATTAGCCATTGGCTAGGCAGGAAGTGTAGGCGGGACAAGGAGGAGAATAAAACTGCGAAGTGGAAGGCTGAGTCAGAGAGACACTGCCAGCTGCCATGATGAGAAACAGCATGTGAAGATGCCGGTAAGCCACGAGCCATGTGGCAAGGTATAGATTAATAGAAATGGATTAATTTAAGCTATAAGAACAGTTAGCAAGAATCCTGCCACGACCATACAGTTTGTAACCAATATAAGTCTCTGTGTTTACTTGGTCAGGTCTGAGCTGCTGTGGGACTGGCGGGTGACAGAGATTTGTCCTGACTGTGGGCCAGGCAGGAAAACTTTGGCTACATCATTTTATTGTGTTTGGAGAACTCTCTTTTTGCAATGTGTGCTTCGGGAAACTGGCAGACCCCTGAAAACCCTTTTTGACAGTGATGAAATCTGAAATGCCACTTTTTCTGCTGACACAGCCTCTTGCTATGACCGAAGGCCTTCCAGATTGGTGGAGGGGGCCTACCTGAAGCTCGAAGCTTGCCTGGTCCATGAAGGTCTTTGTGAGAACTTCAGCAAATTGATTGATGGCCCGGAGGAAAACTCTGGGGAGGAAAGAGCAGATGAAGAAGGTAACCCTGTGCCCCTGGAGAGGTTTCCCTACCTACTCTGGACACAGAACCAATACTCCGGGGCTTGGCTGCGAAAGTCAATATAACCTAACGGTGTCCTTAGAGGCCATCCACAGAGCACACTCTACAGAAAGAGGCCTACAAACTCAGTCTCTCCAAAACAAGCCTGTAAGAGCTTAGGGGTTATAGAACAAGTTCACTGAGGATGGAGCAGAGACTGCAAGTCCAGGCTCTTTGCGCACCAGAGCAGGTGGTTTATACCCTGTTATGACACCTTTACAGGTAAGGTCATCATTTTCACGAAATTGTCCTTGAATCTGTTATCTAATTGGGAAGGGACTCTCTATCAGGATCATGGAGAGTTGATGATGCTTCTATTGGTATGGCTTATGTGGCTCATTAGCAACATTCTAAAACTATAATATACTGTAATACAAATTTATATATATATATATATCACTATATATAACTATATCTATCTATCTATCTATCTATCTATCTATCTATCTATAGCTCATCTCATGTCTCTTTGACAAGCATCTGTTGCTAGGTAGCAATTATAAGGTTCTGACACAGGTGCCATGCTCAAAACCTGACTCCTGGTCTAAGAAGATTCCAGCACAGTACTGGGTACCCTTCTTAAGACCTCTAGCTGTGTTCCAACAGAGAACATGAAAAAGAATTCTATGATAGAGTTTCAAAGAGATACCAGAAACCCGAAGGAAGAAAAGATCAACAGACATTTCTGAATGACTGGGTACTGGAATGGAGTCCAGCCCAGGAATGGAGTCGTGTGAGGAAAATTTTGAGTGCTTGTGAGAACACTACAAGAAAACAAGACAGGGGTCTTGGGACCTCAGCTTCTTCAAAACACGGAATTGTTCCTGGAACGAGTTTTTGTGCTCCTCCCAGGTGTAGCTGATAGGAATGAGTTTGTTTCAGACTATTCATTACAACTGGCTATTGTTATTAGTTTATATGTCTCTATGGAAAAAACATGATTTCGCCACGTGTGGCTTGACTTTGTGATGGTATACAGCTTGAACTCATGAAAACTGTATCCATGGGACCTTTCTTAACTCTTACAGTATAAACTGTCTGAGGCTCTGAATAAAATTGGCATGAGACTTTAGTCTGCCTCGTTTATAGGCTCCATTCTCCTAGGTCCCACCACCTCTAGAGTAGTGACATCTGGGGACAGAGGTTTCCAGTGGAGGTGATGTTTCAGAAGGACCATGAGAACAGAAGAGTGGCTGGCTTCCAGAGACAGTGGAGAAGGCATGACATGCAGAGCAGAGGTGTGAGGCAGAGAACACGTTCAGGAACCAGGAGAAGTCTGGTTGGTGCACAAGTCACATGCTTATGGAAGATGTGGCTGGAAAGGCAGGCAGGACCTTGAACACCAGGATGACCTTGAACACCAGGATGAGGGGTTCACATGGAGCCACTGAGAGGGCAGGCAGAGCTGATGGGCCAGTGGGGATTAACATGAGGATGGCGAGGACACTAACCCAGGCCAGCAGAGCCAGCAAATAGGGAGAAATCGGTAGCCTAGTGAAAGGGAGTTTCCAAGCACACACATCAGGGTCAGGAAGCGGGGAAGACCCCGTTTACAGGTGCCAGGCTTGAAGCAGAACAGCCCTTGGAGTATGTACAGCAGACCAGCGCATTCAAGGTCAAATGCTTCCAGAATGGCCATGGGCTCTCTCACCTGCTCTGTGTCATATTCATGACCATCCAGTCTTTGGCATACACATTCTTTCCAATCAGATCCTTAAACATAATGAAAGTTTCCATGAGGAAGTCCTGTGGAGAACAGTGGAGGAATGGTTTGGAAAACAAGCTCATCATGGTCTTTCTTTCAGCAAGTAGACAGAGGGAGCCCTATTTTGGGATAACATATTGATGGTCAAAGTTGTGGCCTTCCCCGTAAAGTTGCTATGGGCAATGCATTCTTATACATAACTGGTGGGTAATTTGATTTAGCTTTTGTTTTTGTATCATGAGACAAGATGTAATCTAGAGTGGCCTCCTGCCTCCGTCTCCCAAGTATTGTGATGATTGGTGGTCAACAGCACCCCTGGCCTATGATTTGATTTATTTTTGTTTGTTTGTTTGTTTCATAGCATGATTCTGTAGGAAAAACAGGAATATAATACTATTCTTACTTTACAAATGGTTTCACAAGGCTGAGAAAAACTAAATGGCCACAGAAAGCATCAGTGGAGGACACTGACCCCACGTTTACAACCCTTATCTATTTGGTCCTCTGCTGAGTGCTGTCTGAATATATCTCTTAAACTCAAAAATCAGTTAACCATAGTTTTAATAAAAACCTTTTTATTTCATATGGATGGATGTTTTCCCTGCATGTATATCTGTATACCACATGTATGCCTGGTGTCCATGAAGGCCAAAAGCTGGTGTCAGATCCCTTAGAACTCGACTTACAGACAGTTGTGTGCTGCCCTGTGGATGCTGGAAATCACACCTGGGTCTACTGTAAGACCAGTCAATGCCATCTCTCCAGCCCCAAGTCATTAAGTTTTTACAGATCTCAGTTCAATTCTTCCTGACTAGTTAGGGCAGAGGAAACATGCCACACAAACAGTACGGCTAGAACCTTGCAGGGAAGGCTGCATCAACGTGGCCTGTGAGAACCGCAGTGAGGAGTAACATAAGTGTACAGAGCAAGGGCAGTAGAAATGGTGAGTCTCGTCCAGAGGATGTGAGCAAAAAGCAACTCAGAAATAGAACAGGCAGGCTGAAAAAACAAAACCTAAAAGGTTTTGAAGCCATTTTTACTGCCTAGTTAAATTTAGACTTTTTCCACTGGGATTGCTGAAAAGAAAGTCTAGTTGTCTGCTTCTCAGACTCTGTGCATACTGTCCCATGAGAAAAGGGACATGGTATAGTGCTAGGAACACGGCACAGGAGGGACAGGGTATGCCCTCCCTCCCCACATCTGTCTATCAGCTTATCTACCTACCTACCTACCTATTGATCTATCATTTATCTCTCTACATATATATATATATATATATATATATGATATATGTATATCATCAATTTTGAGACAGAGACTCATGTAACCCAGACTGATATTGAACCAGGCTATGTAGCACAGGATAACCTTGAACTGTGGATCCAAACAGTCTGCCTGTGAATTCAGAATGTCCCTACTTTACCTGCTTTCCAAAGGAAATTTAAAAAAAGAAGAAAAAGAAAAAAAAATCACTAGGGTATGTTCATACAGCCCACAAGAATGGGACTATTGTTACAAATAGTTACTCTTCATAGGCTTTGACCCCAAGCACAGTACAAGGTGAGGCATTTCCATGCATGGATTCAGTCAGTGGTCACATTAATCCTCCATGTAGCCAGGATCTTATGGATGAGGTAACCGGCTCAGCAAGATTAAGTAGCTTGTTTCAAATTTCACAGAAGAGCTCAGCATGGTCACAGTTCAAACGTGTGTTATCTGCTACACCATCTGCCCTGAAGGAGCGCACATAGCTGCTTCAGCGGCCGGTACCACCGGGTCACTATAGACACATCCACGTATGCTGACTCCTGAACCACGCTGCCTCAACTTGAGCTCTCCGCTTAAGCCACGTGGACCAACACTATGAAGGCGGGTGCTGGGCTAACAATGATAAATTCCTCCTATTTTCTTCTTTTATCCATGTGGACATTGTAGAAAGGAGGATAGGGCGTGTGTGTGTGTGTGTGTGTGTGTGTGTGTGTGTGTGTGTGTGTGAAGAACTGTATCCATCTTGGCATGCCAGTCACACATGCTCAATATGGTGAGGGTGGAAAGCAGAAAAATCCAGACCAGTGGTTCTTAACCTTCCTAGTGCTGTGACCCTTTAATACAGTTCCTCACGTTGTGGTGACCCCCCCCCCCCCCCGCACCATAAAATTATTTCATTACTACTTCATAACTGTAATTTTGCTACTGTGATGAATCGTAATATAAATATCTGATATACAGGATATCTGATATGCGATCCACAAAGGGGGTCACGATCCACAGGATGAGAACCTCTGATCTAGAGCATAAGGAAGAGTGAGCTACACATGGATGGCTGGAACCATCAGTTTGCTAATCCAGCCCATGCCTAGCCCACATCAGAGAACGTCTTTACCAACAGATTAATTCTACTAAGGTCTCCCTGGAGACCTTAGATGCATGCTTATAGAAACTATGGAAACAACTTTTCTTTTTAAAGCAACAGGAAATCATTTCCAAATGCTGTGAGGGGCAGAGGGGCAACCTCTGCTTACTTACTCCTGAAAGAGACGACGGCTAACCACACTCTGAGGAACCAGTACACTCAGCCTCGGAGACTGCATGCATGGTACCAGGAACCAACACCTCCTCTTAAATGAGATACAAACTTTTTAGAGCAAAAAGATGTCCTAAGAGTTTCAGAAGAAGGGCCCACACTAAGTCCACATGTGATGGTCATTAAGTACGGCTGTTGAACTCTTGTTTAAATTCTATCAAGTTGAAGTAAGCATCAACTCCTTCTTGTGCCCTCTATGGACAGCTATTCACACTGCAGTGGTCGGGAAGGGAGCCTTGAACTCATGATGCTCAGCCTCAGTTACTGGTCATTAAATGTAAGAAAGTTTCAGAGGGGTCTAGCGGCGCTCAGGAGATGAGGCAGGCAGATCATGAGTTTGAGGTTGGTCTGGGCTACTAGACAAGAATTGTCTCAAAAACAAACACCCACTTTAGCATTGCCGAGGCCCAGAGCAGACAACTTACAATGATATCGTGTCTGGTTTTGAAGGTGCTGATGTAGTGGCTGTAGTGGCTGTCCTCCATCTGTCGTAAGATGGCGATCATGCAAGCCACGAAGCTGCCCTGCAAGGAGAGAAACTGAGTCAAGGCTCCTGATGAAGACAGACTTTGGGCATCATAGATTGGGGGTTTTCTACCCATTGTGCTCTACAAAGACACTTGGAACTGGAAACACTACTTCCAAAGGTCTAAAGGCATGTATGTGTTTTGCAATTTGGCTCCAAGCGCGTCCTAGTGTGAGTTAGGAAAGCGGAGCCCTAGGCATCCCACCAACAGCCATGACTTCTGGATTCCTCTAGGTGTAGGGGCATTAAGATCTCAACTAGGTTACCAGTTAAGATAAACTAGTTTGTGGGTTCTGAGTCCCTGGTTGGGGTAGAGCTGAGGAGCTCTTGGGACAATGTCTGGCGTACACAGATAGGTCAAATATGAAGGTGGGATGGTGGGGAAGAGTAGAGAGAAACAGCAGGTGCCAGCTGAGCAGCTGTCAGGGGACATCTGAAATGCTGGGGTAGTTTTAATTTCTGGAGCATTTTAGGTTTGGGGGTTTAGGGGCTGAAGATGCACAATCAGTAAAATCTATGCAAATAGTCCAAAGTACCCAAAACTCAAAGTTTTGAAATCCCTTAGTCCCAATTATTTCTGACAAGGGATATTTAATCTGCAGCAATTCTGAGGAGGAGGATGGGGTGAGGAGGACAGGAACCCTAGCATACCATTGCTCTGATTCTAAATCCCTCTGGACAGTTACATCTGTGAACCACATGGGACTCTGCACCCTACTCCAAGAAAGGAGACAAAGAACTCCACAATGACTGTAATTTAGTCTCCTTGCAAGGTCCAAGCTGCATACTCAGGGTGTTCTTCCCTCAGCTACACACGTTTTTCCACAGACCTTATTTTCTAGCCAGAGGGGAAAATGTACTGCCCCCATGTACTCATGGGGGTAAATACAAAAGCCACACAAACTTAAATGAATTTAGCGCAGAGATGATGAACTACTGCCATGCTCAGGAGGGAAGGAGACACCACCGTACACTCCCTCTGAATGTCCATCTTAGACTCTTTACATAAAATGCTTATTTTTCCTAACCAAAAGGCAATGTGAACTGACTGTATTAAGCTTTGGACATATTTACAAATTATTATATGCTCTACAATTACACAACAGTCAAACGCTATTTGTGTCTCTGGGCTCTTGCCTATTCTGGATTTTGGATTTAATTTCACTTTTGTTTAATTTGCATTTCTTTTGTTCTGAATTAAATATTCCATCCATATGGTTTTGGCTATTTTATTTTCATTTTGCGTTTTCATTCATAGTCTTTTTTGTTTTTTCAAAAAGGGTTGCTGGTAGCCCAGGCTCACCTCCAATTAATTCCCTATGTAAGAGAATGATCTTGAACTCTAGCTCCCCTTCCCGCCTTCCCAGTGCTGGGCTACAGTTACTTATAGCCATGCTTGGTTCATTGGATACTGAGGATCAAACCCAGGACCACATGTACACATGCAGGAGTTCTCTCAGGTGAGCTCCGCTCCATCCCACGTGTTCACATTCTTTACTGATTTAACTAAAATACTGTCTTCTTATTGGCGTACAGTAGTCTTTGTATATTAAGTCTACTAGTGACTTTCCACATGTGGTGTATGACCTTGACTTCACAAACCTATTTTCAAATATAGAGGTTACATTTTTAATCAGGAAAAAAAAATCTAGTTTTTCTTCTTTTTTAATATTTGGAAACTCAAGAATCTTTTTCTTATAGGATCAGGTACAGATCCATTTATGTTTTATTCAGGCTGCTCTAGCATTTAATTTTTCACATAGAATTTTTCATTTCATTTGACATTTATCTTGAAGGTATAGCACCAAATGAAAGACAAATAATTTTTTCCAAACTATTCATTTGCTTTTCAAACTATATTAATTCAAAAATCTTCAGTTTCTTTACAGAAAGGTAAGGGCCTTATCATATCATCAAAATTCTACCTGTAAGTCCCTTGGTTCTGTCTTACTTAGAAATTGATACACACAAAGACACACGTGTATAAACAAATACAAATGTAAACACATACACACATAAAAATACACATAGGCAGAGACATATACATATACACATATTCAATTGCAGGAGTCTAATCTGATTTTAATTATTCTTTTACAATGTGACAAGTTATGACTTACACTTGAATGATCATTTATATGCATCTCATTTATTTTCATGCTCATGTTTGTGTGACTCAGTGGATGAGAATTTCCCTTTAAATATCTAAACCTCTGCTACCACTTGTCAGGAAGGCCACCGAACACACTTATTTCTAAACCACCCAGTTAGTAAAAGGCTCATTAGTTCATTAGCTTCTCACCCAACTTTTCTGGGTTTCAAAGAAATGCTGGTCATTTCAGCTAATCGTGACAATTATGTATGACTAGTCAAACACCATTCTGGACACTGAGATGTACGCATGAACACACATCACTGCCTAGATGGCCTGTTTGTTTCAAGTGTTCTCCAAAAACCCCTTTACCTGGGGCAGGCTGGCCACACCCCCAACTCTGCGCCAGGGGAAAGACAACTAGCACACAGGAAAGGTTGTTGAAAACCTTATGTCCTTGGGCTGCTGGGATGGCTCAGCAAGCAGAGGTGCTTGCTGCCAAGCCTGATTGGCCTCAGTTTGATCCCCGGGACCCACTTTGTGGAAGGAGAGAAATGCCTCCTGAAAGTTGTTCTCTGACTTTCACACACGCATCATGGCACACGTATGCGCTCTTACACACACACACACACACACACACACACACACACACACACACACACACACACACACACACACACACAGATAGATAGATGGATGGATGGATGAATGAATGTAATTTTAAAGAGAACGTTGTGCCCTCGAGAACAGCTGGAGGAAGTGCCTGCAGAGGAAATGGGAAGCCAAAAGCTCAGCCACGGAGAGAAAGCTCAATCTCTTGGAGAGCTCCAGGCCGACTGCCTCAACTTCACCAGCTAATTGCGGCTGGATGCTTGGGGGCCTACTACTGGAGGGTTCCTTTGCTTGCGCTCACTGGGAGCACTCCAGCAGCCTCTGCCGGATGCTGCAAACTCCCGATTTGATGATATCATGCTATCTGCCTGCTGCTTCTCACTACCTGCTACTTGCTATTTAGTTTAAATCACTCAAGCATTCAAAAATCCAAACTGCGGCTCTCTAGATCCTTCTTTAGACCACACAGAACAGTCCTCTAATTAAAGTCTAACCTCAGCTTTCAGTGTAATCGATAGAAGTTTTTGCACTTTAAATCATGACACCACTTAGCTTCTCATCATTATTCTAGCCTCAATCTTACTTTTTACTGACAACTATTTAGGCAAAGTGGATAGGGCACCGACCTTTCTAAAAACACAAAAGATCACAAATTCTTTTTTTTGTTTTTGTTTTTTTGAGACAGGGTTTCTCTGTGTAGTTTTGGAGCCTGTCCTGGAACTCGCTTTGTAGACCAGGCTGTCCTCGAACTCACAGAGATCCGCCCAGCTCTGCCTCCCGAGTGCTGGGATTAAAGGCGTGCACCACCACTGCCCAGCAATGATCACAAATTCTGAATGATAGCTGCTTTTTTCCTTGAACTAAAAGGGCCTGATGGCTGCTTTTCCTGAAGGAAATCCAATCCAACCTGGGGCAGAAAGCTTGTGTAGAAGCTGAGATATGTTTAGAACTCAGAACTATGATATGATATGGGGGGGGGCGGGTAACATGAGTTCAGTGCTGAGCCACTGGTGGAACAGAGCAAGACCCTTGTGCCTGCAACGTGGGCTACCAGGAGACTCACAATGTGAGGAGACTGTCGGCTCATCCCAATCACAGTCCGGTTGATCCTTCTCAACAGCCTCTCCATGATCAGCTGTACGTGTGTTGAAGTGGGGCCCTGCAGGAGAAACACAGCTGTGACATCATTCCCAGCCAAGGATGAAGAGCAGATGAGGAATACCCTGAATAGGCAGGCATATGCATGGGAAGTAAAAGAAAACGTTGCTTCTGTGTAGGGTCAAAAAAACAAAAACTAAGCAAAGAGAACCCCCAAAAACAAAACTCAAGGTTAGAGGTCTGTTGTGCAATATATGTTGGTGACTCCTTCTCATTACAAGTATTAAAACCCTAACACCCTATAATATCAGAGGACCTCTGGGAGGTAATTAAAGTCACGAGGGTGGGGCTTTGATCTGACAGAATTAGTGCCCTTATTAGAAGAGACTCTGGGTTTGGGGGACGTATACATTTACTCTATACTCTCTGCCCATTGTTTCATGTATTCATGGACTAGAGACCACAACAACACTCAGGGAGAGGGTGGCCATCCTCAAGCCTTGAGGAGTGTCCTCAGCGGAGCTCAATCACACTGACACCCTTGACCTCAGACTTTCAGCTTCTAGAACTTCCAGGAACTAAACTTTTGTTAAGGCTCCCAACTCTATGGTGTGTTACAGAAGACTAGGCATCATCACTCTAGAACTTAATGTCCTAACAGTCACATGTGACTCTGAGCCATTGTTCCACTTCACTGATCTTTAGTTTTCATCACTGTGAATGGAGGAAGGTGACAGTGCTCTTATTGGACTCAACTGTACTAACACAAAACAGCGCTGAATACATGTGCATGCTCTAATTCCTTCCCTTCCCGTAGCTGACATCAGGGCATCCATTTTTCCTTTGTCAATGGTATCAATTGCAGTTTCTTGGTTAGGGGTGGGAGCCCATAGTCCACTTACCCCTCTCAGTGCCAGGACCCTGCTTGGCTTGACCCTGTGGGCAGGCCTTGTATGAGCTGCCACAGTAAGAGTCACTTTTTTTAAAATGCTATGTATACAACATGACTGGTCACATGTTTTTATTTGCTACTAAGTTCTTGGTTAGGAATCAAATTCCCAGTCATATGACTACTGGAAAAACGTTTTCAACTTTATAATGTGGTTTCTACAGGTATGTGTAAGGATAAAGGAAGAAGGATTATCTATCATGAATAAATATCAAATGAACTGTACAAACAGTATGTGAACTACTGGGGCCCAAGGATATGGAAAAGACAAATATAGGGCTTAATCGGAGAAACAACAGTGTCTTCACATGCTTCTGGGGCCACGGCTGGCATAGCAGAAATACAAAGGCACCCACAGGACTGACAAGCTGGGATAAGGTGGGCGACTGGGCCATGGTTGACCTAGTCAAGTGAAGTCCAAGTTGGCTGTGAGATAAAGTATGAGTATCTTTTGTGTCCTTTGGTAGAGTCGAATCTAAAGAGACTGCTAAGAATCACAGGCCAAAAAGCATATGTGGTCTTTGCCTTGTGGGAACCCCTGCTTCCAGCAACCATCATGGGGAACACAGCCTGCCATTTAGATAAGTGAGATTCTTTTTCTTCTGTACCATCAGTGCTCAAGAGAACACACTCTGTGAAGTTTCCCAGCATCTCCAATGGGGCCTGAACATTGCACACAGGAAATCCAGGCAGGACCAGCTCCCGATTTTTCAAGAGGTGGGGCTGGGGTGTTCACAGAGAACATCAAAAACATCAACCTGTGCAATACGTGGGGGGCGGGGTGTGCCTGTGCGTGTGGAGGCCATTGCCTTTCTCCTTCTCACTACCTTATTTGCTGAGTTAGGGTCCTCCCACTGGACTTACAGACCACTCTTTTGTCTAAACTGGCTGACTAGTGAGCCCCTGGGGGAACGCCTGCCTGTACTTGACAGTGCTGGGGTCACACATATGTATGTGCAACCATGTTCAGATTTTATATGTGTGTTGGGAAACCTAAATTCAGGGCCCCATGCTTACATAGCAAGCTCTTGACTCACCGAGCCACCTTCCCAGCCCATGAACTTAAATAAGACTCTTTTTTTTGTTCGTTTGGATTCTGAGATGGAGTCTTACCAAAGTAACCCTGTCTGGCCTGGAACTCACTAGGTAGATCAATCTGGCCTCAACCTCAGAGACCTGCCTACCTTTGCCTCTTGAGTGCTGGGATTAAAGTGTGCACTACCATGCCTGACCAACTTAAAGAGTTCATAACAGCACTGCCAATGACCTCTGTGGTAAGCCAACTAGGAAAACCTCCCAGTGAGGGCCCTCACACTAAGCTATTTGATTGTCTCTGACCCTAATGTGAGGTATGGCGTGTTTAGTCCACTCTGAAAAGGACACAGCTTGCTCTACCCCCTTAGTGCTCCTGCATTGCCTGAGAGGAGGAAGGCCACAGAGTTTCCTGTTGGGGCAAAGGGACCGGCAGAGCCTCAGGCCATAGAGGATGACTGGACTCACCACATCCTTCCTGTCCAGCACCTCTAGTATGTTGCTTAGAAGCTGTGAGCTCGCCTCATGGTCGGGTTTGCTCGAGTGGTCGTCCAGCTGGCCACTGAGCTGGTCTGTCAGGAGCGGAAGCAGCACCTCCCTGCACTCTGAAGAACAGAAGAAAAGGGCTCACAGAGCATGGCTACCCCAGACCCACGAGCTCCCTCTGCAGTTATACATGTCTCTGAAGCCCCTGCAGCCAGCCCAGGCAGCAGAGCACATGGACTTCGGCATGAAGCTTCAATCTTGTCCCTGGAGTTCATAGTTTAAGAAACTCCCACCAAAGGCAGATGTGAGCATTGACCACACTCTTTCTATTTTCAATGCTGGGGATTGATGGGAGGGACTCTCCCTCTATGGCTGCAATGGACACTTAAGCCTTAACAGTGAGTGAATTATATAACAATTTCTCTAGCTTGTGTGTGTGTGTGTGTGCGCGCACGCGCGCGCGAGCGCGTGCGCGCGTGTGCACACGCACGCGCTTACTTGAGTTCATGTGTACCAAATGCATGCAGGAGCCCATGGAGGCTAGAAGAATGCATCCTATCTCCTAGAGATGGAGTTACAGATGGTTGTGAGTTGTCATGTCGGTACTAGGAATTGAACCTGGGTTCTCCACAAAAGCAGCAAGTGCTCCTAACTACTTAGCTATCTCCTCAGCCTATCCGCTCCCCATTTCTAATTCTGTTTTAAAATTTTTATGTTTTGATATTGGGTGCTAGGGACTGAAGCCAGGGCTTCCCACACGCTGGGCACATGCTCTACACCATCAACCCCTCCAGTTTGTTCTTTTGGTTTTGTTTTAAGGCCAACATGAGCATGAAGTCACAGGAAATAGAGAAAAACAAAGATAGCCATATTCTCAGAAATGTCTGCACTCGACAAAGACAATTAACTATCAAATTCCTGTGAACACAGGCTTCCCTGTACGTCACAAGCACATTCTGTGTACGTCTCTGTGGACGTGTGGTCTACGGGGAGCGTCACTTCCTATGTCTTTCTCCTGGAATCTCCACCAGGACGGTACTTTATTACGATGACTCCAAGCTCTCCAGACTATAAAAGTGACTGTCACAGTGATTCTACTGCCTCCAACGAGACCTAACTGGAGACTGACGAGATGGCTCCTGAATTTGATCCCCACAACACACATAATGGAAGAAGAGAACTGACTTGGATAAGTTCCTCTGATCTCTATGTATGTATGGTAGTGTGCATGTGCATGCATGTATACACACACAAACACATACACATACACACACACACACACACACACACACACACACACACTACCACCACCACCAACAACAACAAATAAAATGTAAAAAAATAAAAAGAAAAGAACTATTTAGCTGGGTGTGGTGGTGCATGCATACAATCCTAGCACTCATACGTAGACAGGAAGAGCTAGGGTCTGAGGTCAGCCTGCACTGCAGAGAGAAAACTGTTTCAGTGAAAAGGGAAAGAAACAATAGTAACCATCAGAGATAGTACACCAGGCTGGAGAGACCGCCCAGCAGTTAGAGAGCACCGCTGCTTTTCCAGAGGATCCGAGTCCGGTTCCCAGCACCCAGGTCAGGAGGCTCACGACCACCTGTCACTCCAGCTCTAGGGGATCAGGGCACCTCTTCGGGCCCCCTTGGGCACTTGCATGTACACACACACACACACACACACACACACACACACACACACACACACGAAGGGGGGGGGAGGGCGGGATAAAAAGGAAAGATTAAACCAACTTCAGCCTCTTAAACTGCTTTCCCAAGAGGTCCTTAAGGCCCAGCAAAATGGGCTAGTAGTGGTGGTGCACACTTTTAATCCCAGCACTCAGGAGGCAGAGGCAGATGGATCTCTGAGTTCAAGGCCAGCCTGGTCTACAGAGTGAGTTCCAGGATAGCCAGGGCTAGGCAGAGAAACCCTGTCCTAAAAAAACAAAAATAAATAAACAAATATATATAAAGAACCAGCAACCTGCCAAGGGTATTGCTGTTACCAAACTCCAATTAAATAGAACAGGGCAACAAAACACAGGCAGGTGAGCGCTTCCTATCACAGATGTCAGCCTGGCCTGGGGGAACCTGGGGGATCTCCTTCCTGCTCTTCTTAACAGTTCATTTGTAAAATTTCATTGATAAGCTTATTTGTTGATGCTTTTTTTTTTCAGTCTTTCGTCTTTTGTGAATACAATAAATATCACAGAGATGTGCTGCAAACACACTGTTATATCCAATTTAAAGAGAGGCATCACTTGTTAAAATCAACTAATCTAATCGGAGCAAGACCAACCAGAGAACAGAGAAGTAAGTGCCAAACATAGCAATGCTTGCCATAACTCCGCAGTAAACCACTCTGGCACACATGTGGTCAAGTGGAAGGCTTCTGACATCTTCTTCCCCAAATGCTACAGGTTCTGAGGGAGGAGACTTCCTTACCTGCCTCCTGAAAAAGGCTGCTCTCCACTATCTTGGTCATGCAGTTAAGCTTTTGCCGGACCAACTGGTTGTCGGGAATGCTCTGAATGAACTTGCAGAAAAGCACGCTGGAAGAGAAGCTGCAGGGTCAGTGTGCTCACCTGGCCAGGCAAAAGACATCCTTAGGCACATCTCCACTCTGACTGCTGAGGAGGAGTGACCCGGAAAACTCATGGATGACCTGAGACTTGATTTGAGAGTGTCTCTGGAAACATTCCTGTCCCCAGAGGGTTCTCCCTTAGGACTGACTTTGCCCTTGAGAGCCTAGCCCACCCACAATCACCATCACTTCCACCTCAATTCTCAGCTACCACAAAATGCCATTTCTAGCAACCTTCTCTCTAAGGGCCACCGTACTTTGCCTTCCTAGGCTCCTTTCTTTTGCATAGCTTCTTTTCCCACAGAGAGTGCAATTCTCTCCCCAGGGCCCGCTTTGTGCGTTCTTTTCTCTCTTCCACAGAACTGAGCACCAACAGGTGCTCCCTTAACACTTGTTAGAACCAAGCGTGTGTAGCAGCCAGCCTCTGCCGAGCACTGGGCTGCCCCTGTTAGTTTTGAGATACAAATAGTATTCTGCTACTCACCTGAGCTCCATGGGATCGAACACCAGCTTGACGTCATTGATTATGCTAGGAAGGTACTTCAAAGCTGCCCCCTGTAAGAAGCACGAAGTCAAGTCAATGCCAAGGAAGTCAAAAATGGAATACACTGCTGCATCCCAGGAGGAGAGGGCAGGACTTGGGGTTTAAACTGGGAACTGGAAGCAGGTGCCCTTGCCATGAGAAGCTGGTATTGTTAAGAATGACCTCCCCCGAGCTTCCTTCTGAAAATGCAGGAGGCCCAGGCCCTGGTCTTCATTCCCAAAAGGCCATGTGTATTTACAGCACATTTTTTTTTTTTTTTTTTGGAGGTAATTCAAGTTTCTCCCACCAGGTCACCATGGAAGGCAAGGAAGGAATAGTAACAAACTGGAGCCCTCAAGGGTTACATACTTCACAGTTTGTAAAAGCTGCTGCTGCTGGTGACTCTGCATTTCTGGAAGGAGGTGGGCGGGGGTGGGGGTGGGGGAAGAAGTGGTGACAGAGAAGATAAACTGCCACCTGTGACAGCCAGGGGGATCAGTTTGCTAAAATCAAGGGATCAAGCAGGACTTATAGCAGCCACTCAAGCGGAGTCTAAAAGGGAAGTCTGTCTTTGGTGAGCTGACATTTGAGGATACAAACGCATATAAAAGTTAAAATGTGGACATATTTACTTTGATTGTGTGCTTGTTTTGGGCAATGCTGTGGCTAGAACCCAGAGCCTCAAGCATGCCAGGTAAGCAACCTAAGAGCCACAGCCTCACCCACTTCTCCTCTACTTCTGCCCGTTCTACTATGCCTCTCCAGCTCTCTATGAGCACACTTCACTTCTCCCTCCCACCACGTCACATCTTCGGGAAAGGTCTTCAAGGGGGAGGGGGGTCACCCACAAGGTCGCCAGGCTAACCTTGATCTTGACCGCTTCTTCTAGAGGCCTGTCCATGAGCGTGTTGAAAGCAAGAAACAACTGGCGGATCGAGTTGTTGAATTCATCTCCATCTTCACTCTGACCATAAAATCTAATAAGAAAGAGAATTTACAGTAGACTTGTGGTCTCAAAAAACAACACTAGAGGTCAGTGCCTTGCTGGTCACCATCTCTAATTGTGCCGAGACAGCTCAGGGGGGCACCCCAGCACTGTTTTTAATGGAACCAAAAGTCAACCCAACAGCCTGAAAAGACATCAAGACCCTGAAAAGAGCAAAGCGGTCATCTGGAGGTACAGTCCTAAGCCACGGTTTAGAGCTGGCTGACCAGGACTGCCAGCTGTTGCTGAATGGAGGGCCCCAGCCTGGAGAAGCATTTGGCTCAGGCAGTTTGTGGGCACTGCTGGCAGGAGGGAAAATAGCAGCAAGTCACTGTGCAGAGGTAGCAAGTGAGTGGGCATGGCTGCCGTCCTCAGCTCATGAGCAGGAACAGGGGGTGTAGGTCCCCAGAGCAGATTCTGCTGGTATCTAAAACACTCTCTTCCAGATTCCCCCCTCTTCCCTTCCTCTCCACTGTCTCATGCCTTCGAGCCTTGCACTGAGCTGAGGCCACAGGTACTGTGGAGAAGCTCCCCAGCCTAGCCTACAAACCCCAGTTGTTGTAAGCTTTCTCCACTGTACATCCCTGATTGCTGCTGCCCTGCTCTACCGTGCCTTGAACATCATTGACCAGGATGTGCCTTGATTAAAGTATTCTGCTTGTCTTCCTAAGACAGGTGCCATCAACTCAGAAGTGGGTTGTTTTACCGAAGTACATACTAGAAGGTCTCTGGCTAGTTTCCCCAAACATAGACATCCCAAAGAGCAGAACTTGTGCATGGTCATTGATGGCAACTCCACCAAGTGTTCCAGGGGAGGTATGACAGATCCAGAATATATGAACACACTCAAGCAAGGGTGTACTCATATATATATATATATATATATATATATGCTAGTCTCCTCCACTCACCTGAACACACTGACTGATCTCTTTCTAAAAACCCCAAATCTAAAAACTCTCCAAAACTTTTATGAGTGCTGACATGAAGCCATGAGTAGAAACTTCCCTATCTGACCTCACATGAGGGTTCAGTAAAAATGTACACGCAATGGAAATTGTATAAAACCACCTTGAGGCTATGTGCACGAGGCATATGGAAAACAGAAGAACTTTGTGTTTGGATTCCAGTCCCACCCCTAAGATACCTTATTATATGTCTTCAAATATTTCAAAATCCTCCCAAAACTGGAAACCTGTAACTGCTTCTAGTCCTTAACATCCTGGTTAAGGAATACAGTAACCAGGGAATGTGAACTCCTTGGGGAATGTTATCAAGCCAGGTGATAATTCGTAGTTTTCGACACACTCACTGAAAGACTTAGAAAAGAACTTGGGGTGTGGAGATGGTTTAGTAGGTAAGATCACTTGCTGTGTGAGCATGGGACCTGAGTTCAGATCTCCAGTGCTCATGTAATAAGCCAGGCTTGGCTACATGAGCTTGTAACTCCACCACTGGGGGCTGGGGGTGGGGCAGAGTCAGGAGGATCACTATTGGCTTGCCAAAAACTAGTGAGCTCCAGGCTCAGTAAGATTCCACCTTAAGGGAATATGGAAGAAGTGATAGAGGACCACTCAGTGTCCTCTGGCTTCCATATGTCTGTCCTGGTTGTACATGCATGTACAAACACATGTACTATATACACACACAAACAAAAAGAAAAGACCTCGAAGTTAATCCCAAAGCCGCTCAAAATCAACCAAGGGAACACGTTTCATTTTTCTACTCAGCTCAACAGTTCTTGTTTTAGTGAACGCCATCAGCCATCACTGCCCAGTCCAACCTCAAGGTGGTCTAGGGCCCTTCCCTTTCTACTGCTGCCCCATGAAGTCCTACAACAGCCAATCAGCAATTCCTCCTGAATCAACCCCCCCTGTCCACTTGCAGAGCCTCAGTGTCTCACCCTTGAGCAGCCTCTCAGTGGTGACTCACTTTCATTCTCAGCCTTGCACAGTCCATGTTCTACACAGGAAGTGAGATGATCATTGAAAAGCCGGAGTTTAGTATCTCATTAATCAAACTCTCCTAGTGCTGCCTCCGCACTTGGATTAGACCCAAGCTCCCGGCTTGTCACAAGACCTGTCTATCTAAGGCCATCGTCACCAATCAAGACTTCTAGAGCAAGCAGCACATTGAGCCATTTACACTCATGAGTCCTGGATGCAGAAGGACCTCTCGTGGACCTTCTCCAGTGGTCTCCTTATCCACCTCTAACTTCACCCCCCAAAGACCTGGAGTTTGCTTATCCTATGACCAATCAAAGCTGACTACAAATGAGCATGAGGAACACGGGGATCTAGGTGAGTACCAGCAGCATCCTGTTACTGGGACCATTACCTCAAGTAGAGCACTCGCGACTGGATGATGAATCGAAACAGGTACTTCAAGGCTTTCAAGGCAGCGAAGAGCAATTCTGTCTTGCTAGGGTCATCAGCATTAGCCACATAAAAGTTTAGTACCTTGGAGAGTTTCCTAAAAATGGTAAGAAAGCAACATTGTCAAGGGCAACACTGTGCTCAAGCCCTGGGGTATGCAACACAGAAAGGGATGGATGTAAACTGGGAAGCGCAAGGTCTAGCTTTCAAGTCCACCCTCTCAAATACGCCCTCAATAGGCAGACTGACTGCTGTTTTGTTTCCACGTCTGTCTAGCTTTGACACTTGCCCTCTTCTTGGAAATATTGGGAAAATTTAGGAGGAATTAATTCCTCAAGGCACAAGTTTTCCATTGATGGAGGTGAAAAGAGGGCTCGGGAGATGACAGAGCAGGAGCCAGGAGACGGCTCGGCGTTAAAGCACTTGCTATTCAAGCAGCAAGTGTGAGAACTAGAGTTTGGATCCCCAGAACTCAAGGAAATGCCAGGTGGGTCTGGTGGCTCACCCGTAATCCAGTGCTCAGAAGGCAGAGACTGGGTCCAGGAAGCAAGTCATCTAACTAAACTAGCTACATCCACAAGTTCGGGGCAGTGACCTGGGAAGATGGCTGACATCAGCCTTGGGCCTTCAAATGCAAATAAGCACACACAAGTACACACACAAACACACATACATACATGCACATGCGCGCGTGTGCACATACCCATATACATGCACACAGGTACACCACATACACAAATACATGAAAAGGAGGAAAGGGAATCAAAGAGTTAAGAGGATTCACCTTACTGGGATTATTTTGTTTTTCTGGCATTTAAAGCAGACATCTTCCAATACCCCGTGAAGGACAGATGATGCTTGCCTGTGGCAGTTGCCTAAGCTAATTCCTTCCAGCCTGCCCCAACCATTTGAAATGGCGCCAGATGGAGTCTTCACTGATGAGAAAAGTGGACTCACTCTGACTCTGTATCATCCACTGTTCTGAACATGCCATTAGACAAACATCTGGGATTTTACGTAGTTTTACATTTTATTATTATTTTATATGTACATGCTCCATCTTCCTAGTGCTGGGATTACAAATGTGTGCCACAATGCTCTTCTTTACTTAGACTCTGGTGACTGAACTCCGGTCCTCAGCCTTGAGCAAGCACTTTATGGACTGAATCATCTCCCCAACACCATGGTATCAGGGTAACTCGGACTTTTGAGGGCACTTATATTTCAATTATTTTTGTTTTAAAATCAATCCCTACCTTTCTCTTTCCCTTCCCCCAAATTCGCCCACAAATCCAAGGGAAACATGAAGAATTAATCAAGTGCTGCAAATAAACCCAGCAGCAGGCAGGAGAGTGCTAACTGGCTACTCTCTGGCAGGTATGTGTCTGACCCTGGGCTCCTGACTGGCCTCGTCTATGTGCTGAGTTACGGTCTTGTATTCTCGGCTACTGAAAATTCCCTTAGGAGACAGGTGAAAAGGTGAGAATCTGTCATCCCGGCTCCTGGGTGGCAGAGGCAGGAGAATCAGGAATTCAAGCTTGCCATGGAGCCTCATTGGGCTCAGCGTCATAATCTACAACTATCTTAGTTGTAGCCACTGACCCCTTGGAAGGTCAAGGTGCTGGGCGGACATACACCATATGCTGGTGTGTCTGCTGCCTCCTCGACCCACGAGGCACTCACTGATCCTAAGGCTAGCTGATGAGCATGGTGTATAACATCCCCTTTGTAGGACTCGTGGCCCTGCATCTTCATGAATGGTTGGTGTAGAAGACACCACTGAGGCACAAATGATCTGGCAACATGACACGGCATGAGCCACTGTCCAGAGCACAGCTAACCAGTCCCAGCTACCTTCCTGTCATGACAGGTCCCATCACTCAGCACAGTTGTCGGGTCACATGGGAGCTGAGCACCGCAGCGGGGAAGCCAAGTAGACACAGCAGGTTGGTTCCTCTAGGCAGCGAGCCACAAACGGCACACTGAAAGAAGGCTGCTCTGTGTAAAAGGTTCAAACTACTGCCTCGTGGGTAAAAGGAAATTAAACCAAAGCTCCTAATGTCCTACGAGCACTCAGTTCCCCAAAGCATTGTGGGGAAGGGCTGAGGGTGCGGCCTGCCTTTCTACCAGGCTTGCTTTTGCCTAGTTCATTGTTGGACCCCCTTGGTGCCTCACGTCCATCTCACTGACATCTGATTCAGAAGCTCCTGAGTTTGGTCATCTGCTGTGGGATGTTCTGTATGGCAAATGTGTTGCTCTGATTGGTCAATAAATAAAACACTGATTGGCCAGTGGCTAGGCAGGAAGTGTAGGCGGGACAAGGAGGAGAATAAAGCTGGGAAGTGGAAGGCTGAGTCAGAGACACTGCCAGCTGCCATGATGACAAACAGCATGTGAAGATGCCGGTAAGCCACGAGCTATGTGGCAAGGTATAGATTTATAGAATTGGATTAATTTAAGCTGTAAGAACAGTTAGCAAGAAGCCTGGCACGGCCATATAGTTTGTAACCAATGTAAGTCTCTGGGTTTACTTGGTCGGGTCTGAGCAGCTGTGGGACTGGCAGGTGAGAGAGATTTGTCCTGACTGTGGGTCAGGCAGGAAAACTCTAGTTACAGTCATCTGCTTCTGTGCCTGTCTCCATCTCCCCACTGTATGCCCTTGGGTTTTATCTTCTTGGTTTTGTGTGCATACATGCATTTGCACATGTGTATGTATGCACATACAATGGGTGTGAGCACATATGTGTTGAAGCCAGAGGTCTACATCACGTGTTTTCCATAATCATTCTCCTTTTAAATTTTTGAGACAGCTTCTCCCTGGAGCTCACTAATTCAACGTAACTAGCCAGCCAACAAGCCCCAGGGATCCCCCTGTATCCACTTCTCCAGTACTGGGGTCACAGGCACACATCACCATGACTGGCTTTTGACTTGGGTCCTGAGGATCCAACCCAGGGCCTTGTACTTGCGCGGCAAGCACTCTGCTGGCCGTCCCATTCCCCCAGCCCACGCTCTGGGGTTTTAAGAAACGTCTCCTTATCCTGAAGGAAAGGACTGAGTCCAACACCCTGTTCCACTGACACATTATTCAAATGGCCTCTTTCCACAAAGATGCTTAGGACACAGTTCCACCCTCCCGCCTCACTGACTGCATGAAGGGCTCCTCCTGTTGCTCAACTATCCAGCCAGCCCCAGGAACATACCAGTCCCCCGAGTCATACTTACACGTGTGCCAGGGTGGCACTGAAGTGCTTGTAAATGTAGGTTTCGAGTACAGGGTTAAAATGCTGAAACTTGATGTCTCCTATCAGGGAGATGATGAAGACCTGCCAAAGGTGGCCAGCATTAACAGCAGTACTGCACAGCCCAGATGTTCTGCCTGGAACAAGACTCTAACCTCCAGGTGCCTTTTCTTTCTTGATTCTGTTTGCGGCATTTCTAGTCTACTATCCACGCTGAAGGGAAGTCTTAGGGTTCACGTTTAACATAGACAGATTATATGAGTCTGGCATATTGCTATGGACAAACTGATCCAGGCCATCACCACTGGCTGTGGGACGCTAATGTCACAAAGGGGTACACAGTTGAGTTAAGGCACAGAAGAACACAGGACACCAGGAAGGAAGATGGAGAAAGTGGTTTGTGGGAATTAACTAAACTAACACAATTTCCCATGAGATTTTCCCCAAGCTGAGTAGGAATACCCTGTGAACGTCAGAGTTTGGTCCCCCATTTCTTCCGTATTGTCACTTTATGTCTATGGAGTACACAAAGGATGAGTGTGTATAAAAAGAGGCACTTGAGATTGATTGTCCTGCTGGGGTTCATCTCCGTGGTCTCTAGTCACTCTCTTTTCCCCACAAACTGGGGCATGACCGAGCTCAGTTCACGGTGACTGCATTGCCTGGCTCCATCTTCCAACGTTAGCTCTGATGCCCTGACCCGCTGCTAAAAAGACCAGTTTCGTCGCGCTGGAAAACACCGCACATTCGCAATTTCCTACACCTCACCCCTAATCTTCAGATCAAATCCTGTCCTAGACTCCCCTCAGCCATGAGGAAAGAGGCTTGGGTTAGGTGCATCTACTTCCTCCTGTTCACAGGATGTCCTCTGCCTTTCCCACTTCCCATTGTGATGCATCCCTCTTCTGATTCCAGTTGTTAGAACAGGCTTAAGCACTGTGTGACAAACTTGTCTGCTAGGCTGCCTATGCTACACAAAGACACTAAGATTCATCTCAGACTGGTGAATGCAGCCTCCCTGACAGGGCCCGACAAGGACATACATCATTCTCTAGCAAGGGCTTCTCCTGGGCTTTGACTAGAGAATGATAAAAGAAGTTCAAGTGCCTGGCAATCTCTAATGTAATTAAACCCATTGTTTTCCCTAATGGAAAAGTGAAAGTGTGTCAAAAAAGTGAGATCAAATAGAAAGTAAGAGCTTGGAAGACAAGACCTTGGTTCCTAATTAGACTTCTCAGAGTTTAGGCTAAAGAAATACTCAGAGAGATGTACATGAATAATTTTGTAATTTTGCTTGATGATATTTATGGTACTTAAAAAACATGCTAAACTGCTTACCAGTGCATCAAACACAAGGAAGTCGTACGTTTCATTGTCTGACATTTCCATCATTATGTTAAAAAGTGCATCTAGTGTATCCTGTAAAAACTGAAGGTAAGAGAAACAGAGAGGTTATTGGGGCTTCATCCTGCTACATGCTGTAGAAAAAAAATGGGAAGTCATCAGGTTCTAATAGAAGAGTTGTATAAAAGATTTTTGTAAGATTGGCACACTGGCTTAGTCCTGTAGATACTGAGTTTTAGATTTCCTCTTGGCTTAACTGAAATTGTTAAATTAGTGACATAGTAAGGTATACTTGTGGCCACGGACATATAGGCATACCTTAACAATTTCTCCTCCATCCACTTCCATCAACTTCTTCAGGTTGTGCTTAATGTTCTGAGAGTTGGAACGCCAGTTTAATAAGCCGAGCAGGTCCACTGGGAAGAACACAAACCACAGATATTAGAAGACATGGCTACAGAGTTTTCTAGGAAAAATCACTACTGCCAGGCTGCAGGAATAGCTCAAGGGGTAAAAGTGCTTATCATGCAAGTCCCAAGACCTGAGTTCAGATCTCTAGACCCACATAAGGCTGGCTGCAGTGGGGCGTATCTGAAGCCCCCAGTGCTCCTAGAATGAGACAGCCTGGTTTACAGAGTAGCAAACAAGAGACCCCTGCCTCAAACAAGACGGAAGGAGAGGACTGACATCCAAGGGTGTTCTCTGACCTACACATGTGTAATGCGGCACATGCCTGCCTGCACACACACGAACACCCACATGCCACACACACACAAAGATTTTTAAAAGTTAACTGCTCTTCATAGTAGCTAATTTAAGAAGTACCTCGGGTGTTATTGCAATTTATTATCTCATATAAATCAGAGGAAACATTGTGACACTCTTTAGTCCCTCAAGGGAGAAAAGCAATCAGCTACTGATGTGCAACAACATAAAATGATGAATGACTGGAACTCGTGTTTCTCAAATGATGATGTCATCTTTATAAAAGTAAGCATAGACTCCCAGTCTCCAACTTCCTGCCTGATAGATATCCGTGTCTGGGCAGAGTCACCGGGAAGGGGCAACATAGAGACATATCAGTTCACTTTGGCGTCACAACTGTACTGTGGGGATTTTGTTTTTCAGAGGAGAAAACAGGCTTTGTGACACTTGGCTTTAGGTCACAAGACTACCGAGGGGCAGCAGGAGTGGCTTTAGCCACAGTTTGATCTGATTCTAAACATGACAGCTAACAATGCAGACACAAATGAATTTCATGACTAGACTTCTCCCAGAAGAACATACCCCATGTATACTAATATACATTTTTTAATCTGAAATCCAAAGTATTTGTAGTCCTGAGAATTCCAGAAAAGGGATAGTCAATGTGTACTATTTGTTACTCTTGTTTAAAAGATGGGGAAACTAAGTCACAGGGGAAGTCACTGCAGAGCTGGGACTGACAGAGGCACTCTTTTTTTTTTGGTTTTTTGAGACAGGGTTTCTCTGTGTTGCTTTGCGCCTTTCTTGGACCTCGCTTTGTAGACCAGGCTGGCCTCGAACTCACAAAGATCTGTCTGCCTCTGCCTCCCAAGTGCTGGCATTAACTATGATTTAAAACTCAGTATTCAGTAGCCACATACATTTCGTTATTCAATTAAACTCTAAAATTTAAATGGACTCCAGCCACCAGCCATTTGGACTGCTTCCAGTGTGTCCGCATTGTAAATATCAGAAAACATCCTCGCATATAAGTGCTGATGCACATCTCACTAGTGCCAAGTTCAATGTTTAGGAGTTACAACCAACTTCTGTGACTACTATACCTTCACCCTCCATCAGCGGTTTATCACACACACACACACACACACACACACACACACACACACACACACACACACACACAGAGGCTTATGTGACTGGCACAAGTTTGTTGTGTCTTCTATGAAGCTAAGGACACTTTCTACCTTAAGTGAGTTCGCCTTCCCATGCAGATCAGCTCTGCATTTCACTCTGTTAAGCACAGCCACAGGACCAAGTTGGAACACCACCCTTAATCTCTAGCCAATCAGGATCCATCAACATCAACCCAATACCGACTCCTAAAGAACAACCAGGAGCTGACTCCCGAGTGGGCCTTTCCTCTGCAGTCCACTCTCCCAAGACAGCGCTGCTGTTCTCCAGCTCCAACCAAAGTCAGCCTCATGCTCACAGGCCTGATCCTGTGCGTAGTTCCTGGGATACGGACCTGCTGAGGTAAGGAAGACTCCTGGGCAGTAAATTCTGGGCTCACTGGTCAGCAGGGCTCCTTCTATGTGGCACAGGTTAAACGAGTAACTGCTGATGCTATCGAATGCCACGTTAAATATAAGCAGTTAAAACGGATGCCCAAGGTTTCCCGAGAAACAAAATGGCGCCTCATTTAAACTGTGCTGCTGATTTTATGGAAAATTCCTCATTTCCTGGAGCAATGGAAGGGGGGAAAACCAGGAGAAAGAGGAACTCTGCTGGGCATGGGGGCTCATACCTACTGGCACAGCACTTGGGAAGCTGAGACAGGGGAATCACTACTAGTCTAGGCTACATAGTGAGACCGTTTGTCAAAAAGCGGGGGGGGGGGGGGGGGGGGGGGGGGGGGACAGAAAAAATATGCTCTCTGCCATCCCCGTTCGGGCAAGAGACTGGTTACTGCCAGAATCCATCCCTAATTACTGACTTTCCTGGATCATCTACGAAACAAATAAACAAACCCCCAGTGTTATCTCTGATGTCTGGATGGAAGGTAACAGGAGACTTCTGAATTCCACCCATTCGTGAATGTGCTTAGGGTTTCCGATATGAGAAAGTATTCATGATGGCAAATTATTTTGTCAACCTGACAGGATCTAGAACCACCTAGGAGATGAACCTCTGAGTATATGTCTGTGAGGGAGCTTCTAGATTGTACTAATTGAGGTGGGGAGCCCCACTTAAAATGCGGGCAGTATCACTGCACAGGCTAGGGTCCCCATCCCATCTCCATAGAAGGTGGAAGGGAAGCTGCGCAACGGCACTCATCACGCTCTGCTTCCTGACTGTGTGACCCGCTGCCCCACTCTCCTGTGCTGTCCTCGTTGTGACAGGCTGCACCCTTGGCATCGGAGCCAAAATAAACTCTCCTTACTCAAATTGCCTCTGTCGAGCATTTCGTCCCAGAACCGGGAGAAGTAACTGTCACAGCACTGTAGCACACTGCTGGAGGAGCAGAGGGCGGAAGCCAACCACCAAGCATCCTGTTTCAGAAGACCTGCTGCCACATGGTCTAGCAACATGAGTCTAACCAAGGAGCCTAGGAGGACCAGAGCAGGACCATCAGTGCCCATGTGGTCCCCACACCTACCGTTCTGGGTGAGCTTTGTGGAACAAATGAGGGTGGCAATCTGAAAGCTGTCCTTCGTGCTGTCTTTGCTGGGCGTGAAGACGGACGGGTTTCTGGATGCCTGGGGTTCTGTTTCTTCCATCTCTGCCTTGGTCCCAGGCAGGGTCAGATAGTATTTAGCGTCTTCCATTTTCTTATTATCACCCTACAAGGGAAGCAAGTTAGAAAAACCAGAAACTGGGCAACATCTCTCACACACTAGCAAGAAATACCCTCCCCAAGAAGAGCATGGTCATTCTTAGTAGGGGATGTGTGACCTTATCAAATTGTATTTATAATCTCCTAGCATTTAGACATGATCTTCCTACAGAAGTCACAGAAGAAATAACTTTACCATGAAATAGTAAGGAAGTTAGTTGTGAACTAGAAATCAGAAGCTATTCTCTGCCAGAAGTGAATACGCGCATTACAGAATAAGGTTGAGTTTGATTCTCTTGAACTTATAAATGGTCACGTGTATATTTCACGGGGCCCATGGAGTGGATTCTGAAACTATTCAGAGACCAAAGACATGCTAAGGAAAGAAAACGTTTATTGGTGAGGCACAACTCAGATGAGCTGCCTACTATGCGTCAGCCGTCCTCTGCCAAATACTGCTGGGGAACTGAGACCTCCCAGCATGTACTTTAAATTCTAAAATCTCAGGAGGTGTAGAGCTCAGAACAGTGCAGCAGGGCCCAGACAGCAAAGGAATGGTACCTGGGTTACAGTGGTATGAAAACCACATCCTATCATACCCTATCAGGTTCTAGCCAAGCACAGCCCTTCACTGTCTGTGCCATTGGGATGATGGACAGCAGGATCAAGGGCCCTGCCCTTTACTAATCAGGACCAAGGCACACCCTTTGCCCTACAGTGAGATGCTCCTGGAACACTCACTAATCAGGCAACTCACTCTCCTACAAGAGGTGCAAAACCACTAAGGTATGACCTGGAGCCCTCTAGACTTTAGACGGCAGACACATGTAACTTTCAATAGATTTCTGAAGTTCTCACATATAAATCCCAAACAAGCCTGAAAAACCACATTCAAAGGGAACAGGTGGGTACGGGGCCGTTCTGAAGTCTGGTTCTATGAGTGTCACCTTGTATACCACCAGATCATGCCTCCCATCCTGCAGGGTGGTGCCGTCCATGTTCATCAGTTTCACAAAGGCCACCCCAAAAGCTCGCTCTGATTTATCTCTGGCTGAAAAGACAGAAATACATGCCTAAACCATGTGGGTGGACCCCAGGAGAAGATGGCTGTGGCGATTAATTTCACAGTTGCTCTGGGTGTGTGTGATGGTCAACCATATCAGAATAAACACAGGTCAGCAGTAAGCTTGTCTATGGATGTGTGTGATGGTCAACCATATCAGAATAAACACAGGTCAGCAGTAAGCTTGTCGATGGATGTGTGTGATGGTCAACCATATCAGAATAAACACAGGTCAGCAGTAAGCTTGTCTATGGATGTGTGTGATGGTCAACCATATCAGAATAAACACAGGTCAGCAGTAAGCTTGTCGATGGATGTGTGTGATGGTCAACCATATCAGAATAAACACAGGTCAGCAGTAAGTTTGTCTATGGATGTGTGTGATGGTCAACCATATCAGAATAAACACAGGTCAGCAGTAAGCTTGTCTATGGATGTGTGTGATGGTCAACCATATCAGAATAAACACAGGTCAGCAGTAAGTTTGTCTATGGATGTGTGTGATGGTCAACCATATCAGAATAAACACAGGTCATCAGTAGGCTTGTCTATGGATGTATGTGATGGTCAACCATATCAGAATAAACACAGGTCAGCAGTAAGCTTGTCTATGGATGTGTGTGATGGTCAACCATATCAGAATAAACACAGGTTAACAGTAAGCTTGTCTATGTCATAGCTGCTCCCAAACTGAGAATGTCTGATATTTCACATATGGGCTATTTTCTATGTTGCCTAATGAATGAGACCACAGTCTACTGAATCATCCAAACCAGAATTGTGGTGCTGACCAATCTCAGCCCTGTCAATCAATGTCATGTCCAACGTATCTTTGTAGTCTGATCCCTTTCCCTCTCCATGCCCTGTTCCTACCCAAGACCAAGGCGTGCTCACCCCATCTGTTTACCTCCGTAAGCCCTTCCTTCTGTCTTCATGCCTTTTCCATCCAACACTTTCTCCACACAGTCGGAGGGAGGGCTTTCAAATTAGACTCCTTCAGGGCAACCCCCCTGCCTCAACCCCTTTAACGAAGCTAAAGCTGACGACTCATAACTCCAGCTGCTTGGGAAACTGAGGCGAGAAGAATGCAAGCTTGAGGCCACCCTGGGCTACATACTGAGATCCTGTATCAGAAATAAGCAGCTACAAAAGTACAGGGCTAGGCATGTACCTTAATGATGGAGCACATAGCTGTCATGCACAGGGCTGTGAATTCAATTCCCAGCACCCAGAACAGAACAAAAACAAAAAAACAAAACACTATTCTATTTTCCCAATACCTTATGAATTCTGAGCTAAAATTGCCAATTTTCCCACATTTTCAAATTCACAAAGCATGGCAGGAGACAGCACATTTTAAGATGGAAATGTGCCCCAGCCCTCTTAACACTTACATTCTTGAGATGACCTGTGTCGGAAGGTAAATCTGATGTGGCAGCGTGTGACCTCCTCTATAGCTATGAAGACCTGCAGAAAGGGGAGGAGTCAGAAGGCGGGGCGTATGTGGAATCAGTTCCCCTCAACTGTAATGCACAGTTCTGACCCAGGACCATATGTACATTTACAAGGTCCAGTATGATGTCTGGACTCTGCAAACATTCTGCACTGTTCCAATCAGGATAATTAGCGAATCTACTGCTTTAAGCTTTTGCCCTTTGCTTGGGGTGACTGCATTCAAAGTCCTCCCTTTTAACTCTTCTGAGAAAAAAAAGAGACTTAGATTTGGCTTCTATCTTCTCTCAGCACAAGTTCCTTCAGAGATCCCAGGCTTGCTAGAAGGCTTCATTCAACACAACCATTCTCAAGCCGAAAGAATCTCAGAGGGAGACCATCCTGCTGTTTATCATAGTTTCAGAGTTTAGATACATTATGTGCCTGGCATTCAGATGGAGAAGACCTGGATTTTGAGGTCTACATAGGACCTTTCCAACTGGAAGTCCCATACAGATACAGGGGTGACTAGTATCTATGAGAGAAGACAAGATAAAAAAACCTCTCCGGGGTGGAGAGGTTTTCTGATAGTAGTTCAGTAAGTTACAGAGACAGTATAAACAGCCTCAGCATTTAAAGCCCTGAAGAGTTCACAAAGCCTGAGATGAGCAGCTTTCAATAGCACAATCCACCCAGGAGCCGCGGTATGTGTTTTTAGTCTCAGCAGGTGGATCTCTGTATGTTCAAGGCAAGCCTGACTTTATGGCAATTTCTAGGATAGCCACAGTTACAGAGTGTGTACTTATCTTTAAAAAAAAAAATCACAATATAAATTCATATGAACAGCACCATAAAAAAAAACACAGACTACAGAAGAATGTGAAAAATAACTGCTTCCTAACTGAGATACGAGGACAATGTTTCTGTCTGTGGATTTTCTGCTTAAAAACCTCTTAAGAACCCTGCCAATCTGGCAATGGGGGTTGCTGCAGCCCAGCATGATGTGTTTTAGGGTGACCCCAAGGTGCTCTGGGATCTTATGAGTCACTTCCCTGGGACTGCCACCTCTTTGGGAAGAGGTCATGCCAATACCCTACCTGCTCTTCTAGTGTTAAGGCCGCTGTGAGCCCACAGGAGATGCTAGATCTAAAAAGCACTTCGCAATTCATGAAACCCTTCCTCACACTGAGGACGCCCAGAACATGTGAGCCAATGAGAACAACACGTTAGGGAGCCCATGGCAGAGTGCGAAACCTTTGCTTATCTGCAGTATCTTGGCAGCCCACCGCCTTATGACGGCCACAAGTTTCTCTATTCCAGTTTCCATACATTTAGGAATGAGAATATTCTTTCAGAATGGTGTACTTCTTAAAAACAGGCACTCTAAAGAACTCTTAACCACCAATTCAGCTTTTTAAAAGTAATTAGTTCTTTGAGAAATTCATACAATATATTTTGATTATACTCTCACTACCCCCCTATCCCATTCCATCCCATTCATCTCTTACTACACCTTATCTGAAGCTTCCAGATAAGGTAAGAATGATTTGGGATTTAAAAAGCAGACAGGAATCTAAACAAGAGTCAACAGCTGAAGGAGCTAGAAACTGAGTCCTCACCTTGACGGTCTCATACCAACAAGGCTGCTTGACTTGGTAATACACCACCGACTTGTACTCCGAGACGCCTTCGTACCCAGCACCGGGATGAATGGCTTTCTTTGGTTGGAAAGACACAATTAGGAGATGATACTAGGTCAAGAAAAATATGGCTACAGGAAAAGGTTTCTGAATGTATAACAGCGAAAAAATTAACTCAAAATCAGAGGTGTAGTGGATCTGAGAAGAGCCTAGAAGCGCTCATCCACATTGCACTGGGAGACTTCACTGCAGCCTTGAACACACAGCAGGTGCACTTTGCACCCAGCATGCATTCGTTACACCACATAACATCAACAACCTCAATAACCTCAGCGCCAAGTATTGCATGCTATGAATTGCAGTGTTTTTACTGAACATAGAGGTTCCTGCTTTTAAAGTAACATAATGGTTGAATTATGCACAAGAACTGAATATTTAGGGAGCATCATCTCAGGACATCTAGAGAGCTTCAAGAGCCTAGACTTTGACTTGTCTAGGTTTTGATCCCAAAGTAATTAGGTGAGGGTGAGAGAGGCCTCCTGTGGATACCCAGTGCCTCCTGACCCTCTGAAGTCTAATTTAAGATGTCCTTGCTTATATGGCCAGAAAGCTGCCAGAGTCCGAGGAACTCTGGAAGTCAGCATGCCTGGAGCCCCTTCTGGCTCTGCCTATAACTAATGTCTGCATTTCCCCATAAAAGAACTCCACTCAGGTACAAGTTCCTAATAACTAACACTGGAAATCACCATCAGCTGACCAACACCCAAGGATGTTTGCCTTTAGCTTCACAGTGCTCCTTCAGGTTTGTTGGCTCTACCAGGTCAGGTAACGGCAGTGTGCCTTTCAAAGCCTTTGGGACACTTTTGCCACTGTGCCCAAGTTTAGAGTAGCAACATACCTTGAAAAATGTTATAGAACCTGAGAACCTAAAGCTAGGTGGCCTGCAGTATCTCTGTACAGGGGAAATACCAAAATGAATCTAAATGGCTCCAGGCGAAAAACTGGCCACTGAAAACCACAGATTTATCAGGTTTTGTATATTTTTCCTTATGAAAAAGCATTGAGCGTGCTAGTGCATGCCTATAATCCCAGCACCCGGGAGGCAGAGGCAGAGGGATCACAAGTTTGAGGCAGTCTCAGCTAGCTAGTGAAACCCCTTCTTAAAAAACAGAAACAAATCAAAGAGCAAAGCCCCAGAAAAGAACTAAACCCCGATATGGGGACACTGAGGGTCAGTCTGAGCAGCAGTCTGCTGCCATTACAGACCGCGTGTGATGGCGGTGGCCTTTGTAGGGGATGCTACGTACCTCTAAAAGGCTGCCTTCTTCATCAAACACAGACATGGTCACCTCCACGTTCTTAGGTGTCTTCTTCTTCCCCTTGTCAAACTCCCCGTGGATCAGGGTGACATAAATATCATTTCGGACATCCCCTGCAACATGACAAGCCTCCTGTGAGTGCTGCTGATCTGAGAACTCCTTTCAAAGTCCCACGATACAACACACAAAAGATAAACTAATAGGAACTAATCTGGTGGTAATACCCTATCTATTCTACAGAAATCTTTTACTGCTCTCTCATTCCACCTTTCACTACATATCAAGAGGTCTTTGATGTACATGTTTTGTAAAGAGTAACATTTTCTATTAGTGTACGCACACACGCGTACATGTTCATGTCACAGCATGTGTGTGTGGGGGGGGGGGGTCAGAGGACAACTTCTTGGGAGTCACTTTTCCCTTTCCACGTTCTTTTTGAGGCAGTGTCTCTCTTGTTATTTCTACTGCTGCCCTGCCCTCACAAGCTTCCAGGCAATTGTTCTGTCTCTCATCTTGCTGGAGGAGTGTGGGATAACAGATAGGAGCCACTACACCCAGCTTTTTTATGTGGATTCTACAAGTCATCAGGGTCGTGTAGCGGGAGTTTTTAATCACTCAGCCACCTCCGGGATCCAATTCTTTTCAATAGTAATTCTTTGTCACATTTAGGAATACGTGTCTAATAATAAGCATATCATATATTTTGCTAGGCTGCCCAGTAGATTTCTTTAATAGTGTCTTCCAAGTTTCTAGTTTCTGCAGTTAGCTGGATGTGGGCATGGTTCCTGAGGAAACACAACCCAGGAACACTGGCAATACATTCACAGGGACAGGCAGTCCCACTGTGAACGCTGGGAAAGAAGTAATCCCTTCAAAGGAAGAAAGAGAGTGAGCTAGTTGGAGCTGGTAAGAGTAAGCCAGGGTCTTGATGGTGGAGGTAGATGGCTAGATGGCCTGAAGTCCAAAGGAGTCTTGGGGCTAAAGATGGAGACAAAAGATGATTGACAGATAAAAGTCAAATGAGTGCACACTATCACCCAGGGACAAGATGGTTGACAGAGAAAGCTAACCTATTATGGGCTGAACTGTGCCTCCCACCATTCAGATATTAGAGCCCAAGGCCTTCAGAATGCCTGTATTTGGAGACAGGGCATTGACTTAAAAGGTCATTAAAGTGAATTTGGGTCCTTCTCTATGACTGGTATCCTTATAAAAGGAGATGAGAACACAGGCAGAGTGGGAGATGGCTGTCTGCAAGCAGCCCCCAGAAACACGGGAGAGTGAATCCCCACTGTCATGGGGCCTTTTCTGCGGTGTTTGTTAAGACAGCCCTCAGCAAGTAAGCAAGGCTAAAGGACCAGACACTGAAGAATGACTGAGGAAAACAGAAGGTGCCTGGAAGAGGCCCCAGGGGAATGGACAAAACAGACTTTGGTGTCTCTAGTGAGAAGGGAAGGCAATGCTCACAGGAGGGAAGGACCAGTCAACAGTGTCTGCTCAGGCTGACCTCTAACTCATGACCCTCCTGACTTACCTCCACAGCGGCCAGGTTACAGGCAGGCAGGCACCACTGAATCAAGCTAGCCACTGTCTTTCTCTCTCTCTCTCTCTCTCTCTCTCTCTCTCTCTCTCTCTCTCTCTCTCTCTCTTTTTCTTCTTCAGTGCTAGGAAGTGAACCCAGGCCCTGATCTATGCCAACTAAGAATTCCACCACTGAGTGATATCTTCAACCCATGTACTTCTGTACTGTAGAGTTCCTGAGGGGATCTTACAGAGCTGATCCACAGAGCAGCATGGAAACCGTTGTCCTAGATGGGAGTTTTAAAGCCCATTACAGCCCTGGCATTCTGAGTCAATCCTGCTGATAAAGAGTATTTCAGTATTCCCGAGACAAAGACAACTTGTCCAAAAGGTAAATTTCTCTGTTTTCAGATTCCTGTCTTGTCTGACAGTGAAGCCGTCTTACAAGAGAATATTGTAGACAATTACTTGTTTTAACTGTAAGACATCTGGGTGTAGTAGTGCATGGCTATAATTCTAGCTACCAGAGACTGAGGCAGGAAGATGGATTCAACTTCCAAGTCATCCTGGGCTCACTGTGAGAACTTCTCTCAAAAACAAATCTAAACAATAAAAAAAAGCAAAACGTTTCCCCCAGATGCTGGTGAGTTCATAGTCAGGTGAAAACAGCTTTGCAATGGATGAAGAAGCTGCTTTTATGAAAAAAGAAGACAACCTCCCTTTTACAGAAATGCTTATTCATTCTATGAGTATTCACTAAAACACCCTTCACACTCAGGTGATGTGTTTGTAACGAACTACCCCTGCCCCTTAATGTCCTAAAGATGAAAAAAGATCCCAAAGACTCTCAAAAGATCTGTTCTTGAGTAGTACACAGCAAGCTGGCTTTCTAGAATTTTCACATGTGATATGACTGGCTGTCCACTCTCATTAGTAACAATTAGTTCATATGATTATTAATTAAGTTCCTCAGAGTATGACTCCCTTGGACTACTATGGATACAAGAGACATACATGGGTGTAGTCAGCGGACTCGGGAGACTATGACAGCAGGTCACTATCATGTGGTAAAAAGATGAGAGCAGAGGAAGAACGGGGAAAGTGCAGAATGGGTGAGCAGAGCACAGTTAGAGCTCACGGGAACAGAACAGAGCATCTCGGAGATGGAGCTGCGCACTCGGGCCCAACGTAGCCAATGACATGCTTGTCATCGAGAAAAAGTGCTTGTCAAGGAAGCAGTTTAGTCTCCTGGACTGAAGACTCTGGATCACCAGACTGCTTCCTGGGAAGGAAGTCAAGTTGGGGAAGCCTGTGTGCAGAACAGGATGGGAAAGAGTGCGTTGAGAATGCTGAGTGATACTTAAAGGTGTTTTCTTGGTCTTGCTCATTGAATAGTCTCTTAGGATGCTGCGATTCTCTGTCACCAGTTTCTTGATGCCATTAACCCTAAATGATGTCCTCTGAGGGACCCAGATTGTCTCAGCTGTCTGAAGAGAGGGAATCCTTCCTTCCGACATGGAAAAGAAACATAAAACAGGACTCAAGGCAAGTGTGTACCTGGCAGGATTATTTCTGGAAAGCCCATTTTCCGAGCGATTGCTGTTGATCTATCCACCAAGTGTGAAAAGTTCTTCTGAACCTGTGTGAGGTCACCCGGCAGTAGCTTTAAGGACACCCAAAGACCTGCAAGGAAAAAAAAAAACAAGCTTCTGTATGATCTTTGCAATACACACATAGAAGCTTGTGTCAGATCAGCCAGATCCCTGATGATAAACATATAATCCTCCCAGGGTAATAACTTTTCAATGACACTTCCTTCAAACTCACCAGAGGACTGACGTACTTGAGAAGTCAACAGACATCACTGAGTTCAGTGGAGGACAAAGAGTAAAGATTGTCCTAGTTGATAGCAATGTATGTTTGTTCCAAGTCTAATAGTATGTGGCAGTAGTGGCTAAAGAGTTACAGACATCAGTGGAAACTGTGGGACTGTAAATATACAACACATGGCAGTTTAAGAAGCGATGGCAGAGGCGGGAAAAATCAGGAATAAAGAAGTGAACTTCGGGGCCTGGAGAGATGGTGCAGTGATTAAGAACACTTTCAGAGGACCCAACTTTGAATCCCAGCACCAATGTTGGGCAGCTCACAACTGTTTGTCACTCCCAGGGAAATCTGGTACTCTCTTCTGTCCTCTGTGGGCACCCACACATGTGGCAGATACTCAAACACCCATTCAGACATAAATGAAAATAAGCATCTTTCAAAAACTAATTTCAAAAAAAATATATTTCTTGCTACTAAAAAATGGAGGCAACTTAATGTCTTACATGTTAATCAAGGTAAGCATCTAAGGTGATAGAGAAATAAAAAGGACAAAGAGGACGTTGAAAGGGAAGAAAAGCAAACAAGTGTTAATCTCTGAAAATCAACCTCTTTAAAAAGGATTTATTTTTATTTTATGTGTATGAGTGTTTTCGCCTGCATGTGTGTCTGTGTACCACATGCATGCCTGGTGTCTGAGGAGATCAGAAGGGGCATCAGATCCCCTGGAACTGGAGTTACAGATAGTACGAGTTACTGAACCCAGGTCCTCCGGAAGAACAGTAAGTGCTCTTAACTCCTGAGCCATATTTCCAGCCCTGGAATTAATTAATTAATTAATTAGGCCTTAAACTAGAGAAACAAATTTAAAAGCAAAATAATTATCCACATATAAACTGAAAGTTTTGATACACACACAATCTAAAAAGCTATAAATGCCATCCGTGACAAAGATCCTCACAAAAAAAAAAAAGTGACCTGAATACACAAATCAAAGAGAAGCAGAAGTTCATGGACATTTTAGCAAACCCCAAACTAGAAAATGTGTTTTAAAGAAGACAGAAGAATAATTATCTTCCTTATAAAATTTGAGAAGGGAGACCAGGAAACTCATGGAGCTGTTAGGCAACACAGAGTCAAGGTGCTTATTTAAGTACTTGGCGACCAGAGTCTTCGGGCCCTTTCAGACAGGGCAGGCAGGGCATGCAGGAGAAATACTCTGAGGGCCAGGGCAGGCAATGTGGGCCTCATCTGCGCTGCAGCTTGTACCTACCACTAACCCAGAAGTCCTACTTCTGGGAGTTCCTGAACAGTGGTCCTAAACATGGGGGAAGCATCAATACAGAAAGAACCACGGCAGGGTGGCTTCAACTCACAGTGCTGACCAGCTAGAAGATACTTAGGTGCCTACCGCCAACCCATCAGGCTAGATGTTAAAATGGAGTCACTCGTGGTCAAGTTCTACAGCTTTAAAAGAAAACTAAACTGTTATCTGGCCATCTGAGAAATCAGGAGAGAAAGATACTGGGCAGATGTCCTAGACAGGCCCCTGCAAGCCACAGGCTGATGCTCTTTTGTTTCACTGCTTACATTAAAAATAATCTGATTGCCCCCAACCAACTGCTTTTTCCTTTTTTTCTCCCTCCCTCCTTCCCTTCTCCTCCTTAGCCTGTCAGAAAACTAACCCTACTTTGTGGAATGATATTGTTGTTGCTCAGTTGTCAAGGACAAACAAAACCCAATCAAAACATTTAAGTTAAATTTGTTATAAATTTGGCTTTGAACATTTTAAACATTAGAATGTTATACAACCACACATCACACACACTAAAAGGTATCTGTGGTGAATAAAAAGACACCTGAAAAAAGGCTTGTTCTGTTCAGTAGCGAGAAAGAAATGGCACTGCTTTCTGTTTTGTTCCGAAAAGGAAATCATATGTAAACAGTAATCTAAGTAGTAGAAGAATGCTCTACTCTAATTAAAATTATATTCTTAAATTGAAAGCTCTAAAAAGCAGCGAGTGGGAGATGGCAGTGAATGTAGAGTTCTTGCTGTGCAAGCCTGGAGACTTGAGTCTAGACCCCAGCACCCATATAAATCACTGGTAGGCATGATGGCCCACCTATAACTCCAGTGTTCAAAAGACAGAGACGGGATTTCCAGATGAAGCTAGCTAGCTAGATTAGATGAAATAGTAAGACGCAGACCTCCCCATTCACACACATATGTGCATGCACACCCCTACCTGTGTGCCCACACATATGTAAACACACACATACAAAGAAACGTGCAAAAAAAGGGGAAAAAAATCTACCTGTTTTCAGATTATTTATTGCTCTTATTTCTTTCTATTGTAATATATGAGAAACTAAATACCCCGAAAACAGCGTGTTTTCTTGACTGCCTTCATTTTAAGGAGCAGTGATAGCAGTGATAAACGGCGGCACTGTCTTGAAAGCCTTTTGTGTCTGGTTACCATCCTGGCATTTGAATTCTAATGTTGCGACTCTTTTTCTCTACTATTGGATCTGAAACGTTTCCATACGAACTCCTCTTAGCTGAAGCTATCAAAAGACAGGCACATGGAGGTTCCCGAAAAAATCTAAAAGCTCTACAAGGCAGCCTCTAAGTTCATATTAACAGATATTCGTTTGGATTGCTTCCGTCTCCTAGTTTCGGAAAACATATATAAAGGAATAAGCTTAGCAGGGGCACAGTGCACATTCTCTCCTGAATCACTTCTTGTTGGCACTTCTACTCTGAGTTAACTAACACTGGGAACCGAGAACAGAAGAAAAGACTCATAGGGAAAAGCCTTTTCCACAGAACTTCCAAATTCAAGCCTGACCATTAGGGAGGGTGAATGGTTGAGGATCTTCAGCAGGAGATGCCTAAGAAGGGCTGTCTGGTATCAGGGAGAAGGTGAAAGGGCAGTCCAGGGGCCTTGCTCTGGATGTTCCCTCCCACCCTAGCCAAAGTCCCCTCGGCCTGGGCAGGCCGTGTACCTTGCCCTTTGTGATTCACTTCCTTTGCAGCTATCACTTTATTTAAAACCGAAGTGAGTGGCTCATTCTCTCCAATCACGTGGGAGGTTATCAAGGGCGACATGATGAGCTGTCTCTGGCGGATGTAGGTTTCCATGGCAATTCTGGGGAAGACACAAGAGGTAAGGGGAAAGTCAGGAGCAGGGACAGTCTCTAGAGCATGACCTGAGAACACGGAGGTTTTAGGAGCACAATCTGGAAATACAAACAAAACCTCACCAGAGGGCTCTGGTGTCAAATACAAATTACAGGACGTTGTTGTTTTGGATTAAGTTCCCGCATGGGCCCCCAACAGACCAGGCTAAAGTCAACATGGAATCACTCACCGTAGGGCAAACGCAGCAAAGGCTGTAGCCCAGCAGAATATCTACTTTCCAAGACCTCAGCATGGAGAGGTGACAGCCTCACTCCCCCGAAAGAGGCTGTTTCCAGCAAGGATGCTGACCAAGTTCCTCAACAAGGGCAACCTGCCAAAGTGACCTGATGCTGACCCACCAGTTCGCCAACCTTCTGCCTTCTGTCACAGCCTTCAAAGCAAAGGAACTCTCCAAGGGCTAATGCCATGTTTGCTCTCCCCTTCCGTCTCTAAGCCAATCTCCTCTGCTTTGCTCACTGGGACACTTAACTCAGTTTTATGGCAAGAAGTGTTGTTGCCTAATCCCAGGATTGGGCAATAGAATCGAAAATACGGTCAACTACATGAAACTGCTCATAGTTTTGTCCCTGGCATTTTCTTCCCTACATTCTTCCATGGTGTGTGTGTGTGTATCATATATATATTGAGATTATAATATAATTAAATATAGTTTCAACATTTCTCCCTTCTATTTTCTCCCTCCAGATTCATGTCCTCTTTTTTCATTGTTATTGCATACATATATGTATATACATGTATATTCCTAAATAAATCCTGTTCAGTCCATATAATGCTATCTGTGTATGTTTTTAAGGCTGACCTCTGGCACTGGGTGACCTATCCGTGTGTTCTTCTCTGGGGAATACCACCTCTCCAGCCCCCAGTTTTCCTCAATTGCCTGGAGTTCTCTGTGTAGGATGGAGGCTCTGTGGGCTTTTCCTCGTCCACTTGGGCACGTCCATTGGTGTCATCCTTGTTCAGGACACATTTGGGCAGTCATGTTGGCAAGGCTTTAGGGGTGTAGCTTCTAATATTACTAGGAGACACAGTCTCATAACAAACTCCCTGCTCTAGCTCTTACAATCTTTCCACTTTCTCTTCCTAAACTTGCCTTGGAAATGACTTGAGGCAAAGAAGGTGGGGGGTGGGCAGCCATGGCCAAGTGTTAAAACAGCTGAAGTTCAGGTCAACGCTCAAGGACAAGTTAAACAGTTAAAGTCAGAGGCAGTGCTCAAACTCTTAAGACTTGGATGCTGGGATGGGATTGAAGGGAGAGGCAAGTGGCAGGAAGCCTGGCTCCTGGGTCTACCTCCACTTGACAGTATGCTCTCCAGGATCCTATTCCCTTTGAAACCCACATAACATGGCCATTTGACACATGGATACAGCAGGTATGCAGGACATTGGGAAGGTATTTTCCCACTCAATGACATTACATGTAGGAATGCAATGGCCAGCTAGCAAATGATATCCCGTGGAAGGAGCACATCAGGTGAGGTCCACAAAGGGGGAGGTCAAAGGACCAAACACAGTCCCCGTTCCCCTGAAGCTGCCACCAGCAACTGCATATCATCCTGTGGTCATGCAATAGTGTATAGCCTCCTCTGCCTACCAGACAGATTTGGGTACATCCTTGTACCAGATGATAAAACATAGTGCGACATGGGCTGGAAATGGGGAGCTGTTTTCTTTGAGTGGCTCTCCCAGGTGGACTAGCAGAATTCACAAATGAACCCCACTCACCACAAGCCACTGCAGCTTAGGAAAGCAGGAGGACATGCCAGGGGATGCAGTGGGGGACACGAGCATCATTATTCAGTGGCTGTTTGCTGCACACTGGGTGGTAATCAAGTCAGGGCTGGGCTCTGTGGGGACTTGAAGGAAAGCACATGCTATTCCACAGTGGGGCCACCTCAGAGTTCACCGCTGCCACGTGGATGGTGTTCAGGAGTTGGGCAGGGAGGCCAAACACTAAAGGAAGAAGTCCACCATAAAGGTGAATATAAATAAAGGAATTTTCACATAGATTTTTTTGTCTGTGAATGCAAATCATGATTATGTTTATATATGAAAAAGTAGTAGTATTCATGAATATGACAGTTTTATATATGTACATGTTACATTTATGTTATCAGTCTGTCTCTATATAAAATGTTCTTTTTTTTTTTTTTTTTTTTAGATAAGGTCTCACTATGCTTCACATTCATAATCCTCCTGCCTCAACCTTCTAAGTAACTGGGATTACAGGTAGGCATCACTGTGCCCAACTCTGCTTTATATATTTATATTTATTCAGTGTATTTGATCTGCTTACTATATTAGATTTAATATATTTATAAATTTAATTCAATATATTGGTGATGAATTCAATCCATCTAATATATCTGTCTAAATGTATTTAAATATGTCACATAACACACAAGCACACTGCCATGGACCACATTTCAGTCACCTATGAGAAGCTACATACTTGATGGTGGTCCCATAAGACTCCGTGACCATGTGACATTGTAGTTTCCTTACTTTATAGACATATACTCTATGTTGACACAAATTGTCTAAAGAGGAATTTCTCAGACCACGTCCCCTGATTAAGCAATGCATGACTGTATGTGCATACATGTGCATGTGTATGTGTAAGGAGCAGTAGTTCATGATACAAGAGTTATCGGATAATCAGTAAGTACCAGGACCAAACTATGTGAAATACTGAGTCCTCCATGTTCTTGAGAAAGTGGTAAGTAGGGTGAAGACTATTAATTGTATGTTATAAAAATAATTAGTAGCGGCCTCTGGAAATGAAAAAATCTACTCACAATATTCTTCTGTACTATTAATTTTGAATAGGGCAAAAGTACAAGACAGAAAAAATAGAATTCTTGTCTTTTAAATACAATCATGTATAGTTTTATTTTTATTTATTGTAGGAAAAAAGTAGGAAACAAAAACAGGAATAAACCAAAACATATAATCAGTTAATTAGGTGGTACATTCTTTGTAAAATCTAAATTTTAAGGCTTTAAATTTTTACTTATATAGTTTTTCTATGTGGGTTGTGTGTGTGTGTGTGTGTGTGTGTGTGTGTATGTGTGTATGTGTGTGTCTGTGTGTCTCTGTGTGTGTGGTTACATATGGTGTGTGCCATGGCACTCATGTGAAGGTCAGAGCATAACCTGTGGGGTCAGTTCTCTCCTTCTGCTATGTGGGTCCTGGGGATGGAACTCAGTTGTCTGGTGGCAGGTGACTTTACCAGTTGAATGCACTGTAACCATGTATATCTGGACAGACACCGAAACAAAGTCTAACATACTTTTAAAACCTGGTCAAGCCCCAAACTTAACTTTGTTTTACAGTGAGTTTCACTGATCCTCTGTGAATGTGCATACCATTTCTTTGTGTGTTTATTCCCTTTCTAGAACCTAATTGATCTCTATTTATTCTATATACATCAAGAACATTTTTCTAACATTTGCTGCAAACATTAGAAATGCTAGAAAAAAAATTAAAAATTATTTTTCCTATATATAAGTTAAAAATAGGAGATTAACCCATCAATTTTTCTTTTTTTTCTTGTTTGTTTTTTGTTTGAAAATATTGATGTGTGACTTAAAAACAGCTTGCCAGAGCTCACTATTATATACAGTTTCTATTATCCTGTAGCATTTACATTTTTAAGATATTCAATTTCATGCTTACTTAATTTGGAGTCTGTGTTGGCATAAGTTGTGATGTTAAAGCTCTCTGACTTGTGTTTCTTAACACTGAGCTAAGATTAAAAAAAAATAAAAACTTCTCTTGTACAATTATGTCTTCCTCCATTTGCAATATGATTTGTGTGTATGTTTATATACATATATGACTTATTTTTATTTACGTGTATGAGTGTGTGTCTGGGTGAGTATCTGACACATGTATGGAATTGCCCACCAGAGCTACAAGATACATCAGAAGATCCTCTGGAGTGACAGATGGTTGTGGACTATCCAACCTAAGTTCCGGCAACCAAACTTCCGTCCTCTGGAAGAGCAGCCAGAGCTATTAACCACTGAGCCATCTCTCCAGCCCCATCATGTACACACACACACACACACACACACACACACACACACACACACACAAACACACACACACACACACACACACACACATGTTGTTGTTGTTGTTGTTGTTTACTCAAATATCCTCAGGCTGGCTTCTGAAATTACAATTGTTCTACTGATCTGCAGTGACCGTTGCAAGTTAGATGAGACAATGTCCTGTACCTGGCATGTAACCCCCAATAGGGGTCTTTTCCAGAAACATTTGGGCCTCTTCCCTCTTCCTAGGCCACCATCATGTGTGCTGAATGCTAGAGCAGTCACAATGCTCACATTTGATCTCATCAGAGTTACAGGGATGAGATTTGTTCACTAAGAGACCCCAGTAGTACAGTTGGCAGCCTGTAACTCTGGGGGAGGGCTCCATCCTGGGCTGGGTCAAGTGCTGAGCTGACCCTGCCCTATACTACCAGACAACCGTCTCCCCCAGTTCCTTGCAGGAACCCTAACCAGCCTTTCACACTCGTCCTGCCTGGCCCCTTGCTACTTACTGGAAGTGTGGTCCCTGGACCAGTGCCAGTCATCAGCAATACTCAGCTTATCAGATGCAGTCAGACCTACTAAAGCAAATGTTGATTCTAACAAGAGTGTCCTGACAATTCATAGGCATCATCCAGTCTGAGAAGTCATGTGATTCTTAGTCAAACCTGTTCAACCCAACAAAAGGCAGACGCTCTGCAGCATCTCTGACAATCAAATGACATCATTCTCTGGATTCCGGTGCAGATACATGTGTGCCCTTTTTTTTTTTCTATTCTTCCAGTTATTTTACTGAGTCAGGAAATGCTCAGTTTACCCTCTTTGGAGTCTAACGTGAAGCCCCATGATGTCTTCTGCAGAGGTCCGAGATGACAGTCTTCCAGAGGAGAAGCCTTTCCTTCTCCAATAACGAAAAGGCTTCCTCCCACCCACTTCTACATTCATGCCCCACTTGAATGGCTAACCTGTACCTCGAGTCGCCAGGGATGAATGCCAGATACTTACTGCTGAAAGGGAATAAAATACTGCTTTTCTTCATCATCCACCTTCCCGTGTATAATATCACTAATATCCATCACTAGAAGAGAGATAAATAACATTAGAGACACTAATGGCTTCATGCCTCACTAAGCTGTATAGAAAAGGATGGCATTGGCAAACCCAGAACACCAGAGGAAGAAAGCGACCAGGGACCGAGCAACAACAATTACCTGAAGTGCCATACCCAGCAGGACAACAGCCATGGAAGGCTCAGATTTTCTATATCCAACCCTGCAGGACACACCTTTACAACTCTGCAAGACTGAACTGCTATGTTCCAGCAAAACTTAAGCCTGATTTTATCTATCTATCTATCTATCTATCTATCTATCTATCTATCTATCTATCTATCTATCTATCTATCTCTGTCTATCTATCTATCTATCTATCTATCTATCTATCTATCTATCTATTTATTTATTTTTGGTAAGCCTTCACTGAAAGCCATAGAAAACACACATTTCTCCAGGTCTGTTAGAAGAATTAAAGGTCTGGAGAGAAATTCAGGACCTGAAGTGGCCACCTGTGTCTTTGATTGGATAGACTCTTGGTTTCTACATAAGCCTTAAGAGTATCACAAACCAAACCATCAGTAATTGGTTCCCCCCAGCCCCACGCCAGGAGAGTACTTCACTAAGGCCAGACAGTAAGCCTGCTGCATTCATTACCTCACTTACACAGATGTGAGGCGCCCCACCTTAAAGAATGGAAAGGGTTAACTTGCCCTTGGTCACAAGTTTTGTTTTGGTTGTTGGTTATGTTCATTTGGTTTTTTTGTTTTTTTTTGGTTTTTCGAGACAGGGTTTCTCTGTGTAGCTTTGCGCCTCTCCTGGAACTCACTTGGTAACCCAGGCTGGCCTCGAACTCACAGAGATCGGCCTGGCTCTGCCTCCCGAGTGCTGGGATTAAAGGCATGCGCCACCACTGCCCGGCTCTCATGTGGTTTTTTGTTTTGCTTTGTTTTTTGTTTTGCAGTGGTGGGATTGAACCCAGGGCTTTGCACATGTCAGGGAAGCAAGGTCCCACTGAGCTACATCTGCACAATTAGTTTCAAGTTTCTAGCAAAGCCAGGGTGCGAATTTAACATTGACCACAAAGCCAAATCACATAACCACGACGACCAGCTACAGAGAGGATTAATAAGCAAGCCACCAAGCTGCTGGCTGACATGAGGCAGGGCCCTGGGAAGAGGTGAAACTTTGGTTAATAAATTACAGTCTGACCATAAAACACGCTAGCAACCCATTTCTCCACACCAAAGATAGTCTATCTGTAGACAAGAGAAGTACTGAGAAACACAGTAATGCTCAGAAGAACTCAGGCAAGATGGTCCAGCAGGCCAGGAGATAATGCTGGTCCAGCGACAAAGGGGCACACAGTTGGGCATCACATACAGCTTGCTGTTACCCCTAACAGACCAAAAACTGCACCAAAAAACACTGAGAATTTGTCACTGTCATCATCTTGTGACACCTGACTTTGGCTCATGATTAGTCCTTTCTGCATTCAATACCAGATACACACACTCTCCCCGACTCCTGTGCGCGCGTGCGCGCGTACGCGCGCGCGCGCGCGCGCGCGCACACACACACACACACACACACACACAGACACACACACACACACACACACTAATATAGAAAAGCAGACAAAAGCCTCAGATTTAATGTTTTAGTTTCTTTGGCCTGTTATGAACAGCAATGACCTCAAATACATCTTTCGTAGACAAATAAATACATCTACACTGCCATGTGGATGGCTAAATCGTCCTGGGTCCCTTGTCTCTTTTGACACTCCACTTTAACTCTCAATAAAGCAGTCAATGCTGAGCAAGCTGGGGTGGCACATACCCATAATCTCAGGACTTGAAAAGCTGAGACAGGAGTATCCCCGTAAGGTCCAGGCCACCCTGGGCTACAGAATGAAACTGTGTCTCAAAAAGCCAACCCAAAAGCATCACTGCTTCCCTAGTTGAGCAGCAGGTATGATGGGAACAGTTCAAAAGATACGGCACATAGGCAGTCAGTCATATGGGACAGGGAGACCACCTCCTTATCCACAGAAGCCACAACGAAGACTGATGAACATGGACTATCTGGCCGTGGTCCAGGAGCCAAGTTTTGACATTTTATTGACGACGTTCCAAAAGCAGTACTGATCCAAATGTCAACAAGAGACAAAATATCTGTTCTTGAAATTTAGGGTAAACTACAAAGGTACAGGGCTTCTTAGGGGGTCCCGAGGATTGGTTTAAGCTCATCTGGATCCTCTCTGAAGGCATTTAGTGGCACAAAGTTGCCTTTGGAAAGTGAGTCTCCTAAGCAGGCAGGACGCTTTGCAGTGGATCACAGCGCAGGAACAGAGCCCACGCTAGCATGAAGTTCCACTGTGGGTGAGACGTGGTGCGGGGCACAAAGGAGAACCAGTGGCTACAAGATCAGACTCAAGGACACAAGACACAAGTCAAGAGAACCGGCCATCCTGAGGCATGAATGTTGTGAGCCCAAGACCAACCGGGACAACATGATCTGTTGCTTCCAATGTTTAGAGGGCCCTCCTGCCATCTGTCTTCCCACCAGTGGCCATTTACCTCCTTTTCTCGATCTCTATTCCTTGCTATAACTGTGGTAAAAATATACACAACATAGAAATTACCATCATAATCACCTGTAAGTGTACAGTTCAGTGGAAGTAAGAACAGTCCCCTTGTATAACAATCATCATCATCCACCAGTACAGCTCTTTCATTTTCCCAAAGTGAACCCTATCCTCAGTAAGCAATTCCCCCACTCTCTTCAAGCCCTGACAATCCCATTCATCCGTCTCTCTGAGTCTGACTCATATAAATGAATCATATAGCAGTTGGCATTTTGTGTGTATGGCTTATTCTACTTAGCTGAATGTTCTCAAGGTTCAGCCATATTGTGGCATGAGTCAGAATTTCCATTCCTTTTAAGACTGAATAAAAATTCCTTTCAATGGATACTCCACATTTATTGATCCATTCATCTATCGACGCACCCTTGAGTGAATAATTCCACTGTGAACGTAAGTGTGCAGATGTTTCTTTGAGACCTGGCTTTTCAATTCTTTGGAATATGCCCCAAATGGGATTTTGCCCAATGCAGGATTAGATGATGGTTCTACATTTAGGTCTTTCAGAAACTGCAAAGAAGGGGGTCCCCAGAAGCTGTACCACTTTTCTCTTCCTTGGACTCTGGGCTTTCATCATACCTGCTACTCCAAAAGGCCTCCGCAGCCCACAGGTGTGCTTTTTACCCTCCTTCAGCTCCATACGGCCCACCCGGACAATCTGGCACACAAGGCTGATGCGTGGCCGGATGAGGTCTGTGCTGCTGAGGTCCTGCAGGCAGAGAATGCATGAAGAGAGGTTGGCTGTCATGAACTGCTCAGAAAATACTACCCCGTGCTGAAACACCAGAACAGTGCCTCTCTTCCCACCCACCCCAAAACTACTGTGGCAACAGAGAAAATTAGCATCTATTTACCTATAAAACGGTGTTCTTTTATTCTCTGGTCCCTACTTCACATTTCTAGACTAGATCAGAGTCAGCCTGCACCTCTACAGTTGAGAGGTGGGGTAAGGTGTTAAAAACCAGGACACTCTGTCCTTCCGCAGTATGTGTTAGTACAAGACACATCTCAGCGTCATTTGACATAAACACTTGCATGATGCTGACACTGGGCATCGACAGAAGCCTGTAAGAGCCCAGGCTAGCCTTGAACTTGATAGGTAACACTCGAGGTTGACCATGAACTCCAGATCTTCCTGCCTTCACCTCTCGAGTGCTGGGATTACAGGTAAGGGCCACCTCTCACTCCTCAAAGCTCACCTTCTAAGCAATCTGAGAGGCAAGTGTAACCCAGGTATGGTTTTGTGAGGTTCCTCACCTGCTTCCTGAGAATATATATATAAATAGGGAATAAACAGCAAGAGGTGTGGGGGTGGAACTGTGCCTGTTTGCAGCTGAGGCTCCTGTGTGTGTGTTCTTCAGGAGTGGGGGAGTGACCCGGAAAGGAGCTCATAGATCTCATTCACTTAACATCAGAAATAACTTCATTAGATCTCAGAACCCTTTTAGGAAACAGCAGCCCCAGCCTCTTACTGAATCAAGAATTACTTTTCAAATAATCACTCCAAATCTACGCCCTGTAATTTGGTAAAGACAAGTCACCGAGACAGCAATACACACCAGTAATCACCCACCCGAAATCTCTGCTTGAGGCTCTACAGAGCTTCCACTAATGGAAAATAGACACACTGGGTGGCAGCTTCTATAAACCGTAGCATATTGGTATCATTAAATAATACATAGTCATTTATTAATTAGTTCTGAAGACTGTTTAATGACCAAGGGAATGGCCACCACATTTGATTTAATTGAAATGGCTAGACATGAAATTTACATACTAGATGACCCTCTGGCTGGCTGGGAGAGCGTGGGAACAGGAAAGGAAAGGGTAATCGCAGCTGTACTAAGTTAAGACTGATTAAACGATGAACCGAAGATTTAACAGGGCCTAAAAAATATACACATGGTCCCATAAACAACAGTTGATGGCAAGGGAAAACCCCACTTGGTTTCAAAACTGAACAAATACTACAGAAGTCTAGTGTGAAATTGCAGAGCATTCTGTGCCTGCATTTGCAGGGGGAGAATCAGGAAGGGCTCTGTGCAGGGACGGAGAACCGGCGCACGTGCTAGACTTGAGAGGCCGACAGAGGGGCCAGACCAGCGCTTAGTCACTGGCGGCTGCTGCTGCATTGTCACTGGAACTTGGTTTTGCTTGTCTTGGACTCGGAAAGAGTAGGTGATGAAGCACTAGTGTGGGCCGATGGGAGAAGGGAAAGAGAGTCAGAGCTGGGGACCCAACTATCAAGATTTCCCAGGTCCCCTTCAGCCCCAAGGTGTGTTCTAAAAAAAAAAAAAAAACAAAGTCAAGCCCAGAAAGTTCTAACCCAAGAAGAAGACAGTTGCCAGGTCTAAACTATAGCCTCAGGCACTGCCAGGCTAGGAACCCTCTACTCAGAGCAAGGTTCTCAGAAAAGGTCTGATCACATTTGCCCTCACCATGACCTTGGTCTGGGAGCGCTCCTTCTCAGTTAGTAACCTGCATGGCTGACTCTCTTCAACTTCATTATCTTCCTCAAATGTCTTCTATTTTCGTACTTTGGAGTGCTGGGCATTGAACCCACAGCCTAGTGCATGCTAAGGGTGTGCTCTACCACAGAGGCCTACTCCCAGCACTGAAACAATCTATTGAAAGCAGAAGCTTCATGGTGGGGAGGTGGCTCAATGCAGGAAGTGCTCGCCATGTAAGCATGAGAACCTGAATCCAAATCCTCAGATCTCGTATAAAGCCAGGTACTGTGGCACACATCTGTAATCTTCATGTTCCTAGAGAGGATCGGGGGTGGAGGCAGGAGAATCTTTAGAATAGCCTTGTCCATGCAGAGACCCTGTCTTGAAACAATGTGAACGGGGAAGACGAACATCCAACGATGACCTCTGACCTCTGCACATGAACTAGGACACCTGTGTGACCTCGGGAACACACACTTTATACACACACATACATACCAAAAGTTAAGTATGCATACGTGCATGCAGCAGCAATCAATGAAAAAAAAAGAGACCATGAGTTTGAAAGAGAGCAAGGGGAGGCATATGGAGGGCCTGCAGGGAGGAAAGGATTTGGGGGAAAGAATGTGATTTTATTATAATCTCCAAAAGAAAAGACTAAGAGTAGGAAACCATTTTCATGATAATAAAATCAATACACAACTGTAACTAAGTTGAGAACAAAAGTTAAAGGAATAAATATACCAGTAAAACACAAGCCATCCCCAGCAATACCTTGGCAAAACCTCTGGCACCTCAGGATTGAGGCTGTTGTTGATAATTCACCCACTTGTGTCAGGATTGTTTATATTTGTCTGATCCACCCGCACAAAAGCTGCTCAAGAACACGGCTTCTTTCCCTGTTTTGTTCACAGATGGTCTCAAGTGTGCAGATTGGTATGTGGTACCTAGTATATACTCACTAAGTGAATAAGTGACTGGGCTATGCCCACTCATAGGGCAATGATGGCTTTCCTTTTCGTCTCTTATGTTGTCCATATATTTATCACTTGCATCCCGCTGAAACAGTACGAAACTGAAGAAACAGAAAGTGAGCCTGGGCTGGCTAGATGGCTCCACGGATAAAGGTGCTGGCTGCCAAGACTAAGGACCTGAGTTCTATACCTGGGTTCTACTTAATGGAAGAAGAACCTACTTCTGCAAATTGGCCTCTGACCTCCACACACTTAGGCCACAGCAAAACACCCATACACATGCATATACATAGATATAGAAAATAATGCAAAAAATATTTATGAAGAAGGCAGGACTCACAGTGAACACTGCTTGGAGGTTATTCAGCTTCTCTATCTCCTTGGGCATCCCGTTACTGCCCCAGCGAATTAGGTAGTTCTCACTAGCAGGAAAAAAAAAAAAGGAAATTACTCTTAGTGAGAGGGCACCTGGGGCAGAGGCTGCTCACAGCAAGAGGCGGAAGTGCCTCATGAGGAGGCAGGTGCTGTGGAAGGAAGCACGTGCGCGCGCGCGCGCACACACACACACACACACACACACACACACACACACACACACACACACACACACACATCATACATGAGAGGCCTCTGTGTTTGAAAGACTCCCACTACAGAGAACAAGCTATACAGTGGCAAACACTGCTCAAGATGGCTCAGACACGGAATTTCATGAGTTCTTTTGCCTGGGGTCATCATTCCACCTCAAATTTCTGGTCTACAAGTTTCAGCTTTGCTGAAGCGAAAGTTTAATTTTAGAGTTGGGCATGGTGGCTCCGGTCTGTGATCTCAGCACTCTGGAGACTGATCATCATCATTTGAAGCTAGCCTGAGCTACATGGTAAACTGGCCAGCCTGAGATAGTCAGGGAAACCATGTCTCAAGAGGCCACAATTAGCCGGGCGGGTGGTGGCGCACGCCTTTAATCCCAGCACTCGGGAGGCAGAGCCAGGCGGATCTCTGTGAGTTCGAGGCCAGCCTGGTCTCCAAAGCGAGTTCCAGGAAAGGCGCAAAGCTACACAGAGAAACCCTGTCTCGAAAAACCAAAAAAAAAAAAAAAAAAGAGGCCACAATTATAAAAGCTTCATTTGGTAAGTTAGTCCCAATCCATCCTTCACAGTCCACATCATACAAGTGACTTAGTAACCATTTTTACTTTTTGAGAAAGGGTCTTGTGCTGCCCAGGCTGGTCTTAAACTCACTATGTAGCTGGCTCTCTGTCTCCACCTTTCTGGTGCTGGGATTACAGTCCTGTGGCATCCATCTGGTTTATGTAATGCTGGGGATTGAACATGGGGCTTTGAGAATGCTAAGAAAGCAGCCTATGAGCTGAGTACACCAAGGCCCCAGGAATTACTTTTTACGGCGTTCATAAGGATAAATCTTCAAATGGAGTTGTTTGGCGTTTGTTCAACAAATCCTCAAGTTGTTCAGTGAAGGTCACCCTGGGGCTCAGCCACAGTCTTTAGACTTTCTTTATGTCGACTTTTTTTTACCCCAGCAGTTTTGGGTTTCTGGGGAGTTGAGTTGCAGAGTTCCCAAACACATAGCTCCCATCTTATAACTGCTTATAACCTTCATGGACACATCATCATTCAGACAGCTGACATGAGAGCTCACAGATGGAACAGTGAATTGCATGGGCTTGGACAGAGACACAACGACAGGCACTCGCCATTGCCCTATCCTACAGCTCAGTCTCAGGGCCATGAGTCCCCACTGTGTTTCACGTCATCTCTCTCATTCCTCCACTAGGGTCTTCTGAATTCTTTATCCTTGCGTCTGCATCCTGAGCAGCTCCATTCACTCTTTAAACCCTACAGAGTACACACTCTGAAGCTGCATGGTGCCAGCATCCATAGACAAAGGCTTCAGAGCCCAAAGGACTTCATTTTATTTTCTATTGTCAGAAGTGACTACACCCACTGTCCACATCTCGCTATCTCAAACCCAGTGAAGGGCTCCTGGATAAGGGCAGGGGAAGACTTTACTTTGCAAGTCCAAGCACCAGTGACATGGGTCTCCATTACCTGATGAAGGTGGACTGGTCTGGGTCATACAGGGCCATGAAGAGCTCCGCATCCTCGCCGATGTTACAGACAAAGTTCTTGAAGTTCACATAGAGGCCGTACGTGTGCACAGAATTGAAGATTGCCTGGCCTCTCAAGTCCAGGTTCTGCAAAATGCTCTGGGCCACAGGACAGGAGAGAAGACTTAAGCAAATGGGAAAAAGTATTGGCAAAGAAGTCACCCTATAAAAAAGGGACAGCTGCTATACTTAAGGAGAAGTACTTGCTAAGAACTGAGCAGATGTGGACCTGAACCAATCATCCCTCAGCCAAACAAACACATCAGCATTATCAGATAACCGAAGTGGTCCTGTTCAGGGACTTGGGCCAAATAATATATGGCCTCCCATATAAAGTGTTTGCTGTGGAAGACTGAAGACCAGAGTTCGGATCCCCAACATTCATGTAAATCCCTGGTGGGCACAGCAGTCCACCTGTAATCTCAGCACACAGAAGATAGAGACAGGATCCTGAACAAACTGGCTGGCTAGACTAGCTGACTTGGGAAGCTCTAGCTTCTGACTTGGGAGACCCTGCTTCAATAAATAAGATGCAGAGTGAGAGAGGAGGCTACCCAACGCCAACCTCTGGCTTCCACTTCCACTTGTATATACATGTATGTGTTCATGTGGGTTCACACACGTGCAAGCAAACATACCTACCTGCATGCACACCACATACATACACATGAAAAATAACCATGCTGTCTACAGGTGATAACTCAGTTTTTAGCTGACTCGTGAGGCTTCCATGTCCTATGACAGGATGCTGGGGGATCAAACTTAAATCACTTAATCCACTACCAACTTCACAGGAAACAAATGGTTCCATGAGGAAGCTATACCCTTGGGTGTGGCTCTCACTGGATGCAGAATCACAGTCACCTCCTATCGTGACTGCTCTCCAGAAAGCAAAAGCAATAAGGAATACACAGACAAATCTTTCCTCATCCAAACAGAAAATACATCAAATGCCACCATGGTAGGTCAGGGTGGTCAGAATGTGGCTGACAGGTTTTTTCTTTTTCTGATTTTCTCCACCTTTCTAAGTTTTCTTTACTTCCAAATTTTCCCCAATATGTCATTTAAAATAGCTTTATCTTGGAAATCACAATATTTATAACAAATAGAGAAGTTTATACGATAAAAAAAAGTCTTCCTTTCACCCAGTTCTCCTTCCCAGAGGCATCTTTATTTTTATTTTGTATATTTATGCGTATGAATGTTTAGGCTGCATGTACTCTGTGTACCATGTGCATGCCTGGTGCCCGCAAAGGTCAGATAAAGACACAGATCCCTCGGAACTGGAGTTAAGAGCTGCTGAGAAGCACTAAGTGGGTGCTGGGAACCGAACTCGGGTCCAGAGGCAGCTTTGAATGGCTAGTTTCTAATCCACCATTCCAGTTACTCTGTGGATATGCAAGCACTGGAGGGTGGCTGCCCTTTGTTTCTTTTTAAAACAAGTACTATTTTATAAAATAGTTCTGCATCTTTCTACACACACACACACACACACACACACACACACACACACACACACACCCCTACCATTGTTCCCTTTCCAAATCAGAACACAAACACTGGCCTCATTCTTTCTGCCCACTTTTAAAATGAGGACACACATGATCTTTCTAGGCATTTCTATTTCTATTTTCTACTACTCCTTTTTTTGGCACTAAAAACCAAAGCAAAGAAGGAAATCCTAGCAGCTTGACCTGCACCCAGAAGGAAACGTACCTTTTCCTCTTGGATCTTCTCTTCTATCCTTTTTGAAGCAACTTCATGGGCCTTGAAGAGGGCAATAGTGCTGGTGTTGTCTGGGTCCAAGATGTTCCCATTGTCATCACGAACCACCAGATCCAGTCCAAGCATTCTGAAGAGAAAGGAGGTGGTAAGTAGCTCTCCCTTCCAATGCCCTCTTTATAGAAGAACCTGTATCAGAAAGCCCAGGAGATCCAGGAGAAACAGGTAGGGACTGGACACCACCTGGGAGTTCCCTCCTTCCAATCTCCACCTCCTTTCCACCTCCAGTAACATAACACAGCTCAAGAGGCCATCCCAGCCAAACCTGCATGCGTGTGCCAAGGACTTGGCCCAAAGCAAGACAGTAACATTGACACTGATTCTGACCAAAGCCCTCTTTGCAGTGATTCCCTGGCCCAGTCTCCTGTGATCTGGCATGGTAAGAACAACAAACCCACACATCATCCTTCAAAAGCCTTCCCTGACTTCTTTACTCAATGTTGTCTTCAAGAAGGAAGTGGTCCTGGGGGCTACCCTCTCATAATCCATCTCTCTGCTGGCTCCGCTGTCATTCACACTGTAGTCTGAACTCTGGCTTTAACATCTGCTCTCTCTAGGACCCCTTCACTCTGCAAGGCCTAGGCTCCTTCATGTGCAAATGCTTCCTACCCTTGAAGGTTGCCATAAGAACTTGATTGAGATCACTGCAGAAAAGCATCTCATAGAACCTCACATACAGTAAGCACCAATGTTAGCTCTGACTGCAGGGAATGGCACAAGAAAACTGGTAACAAAAGCTCCGCGGCCTGCAGGGCAAGAGCAGAGACAAGCATGCCCCTCTCCTAAGGCTTTTGTGCCCAATGGGCACAGAGGTAGAAAGAACTCAGAGACTGGGGGAAGAGAATTCTGCTCTCAGTCCTCAGCCCACCTTCCAGGCACCTGCAGGAGTAAGCTGCGATGTCCCACAACAACACTCAAGGGCTAACAACCAGAGGTGCCAAGCCCTGGGGAAGAAAGCGGTCATGCCTCACTTCCCTCCTCCCTGTTCTACGGCAACTCAACGAGTCATCTACCTTGGCAGCTTCTTTCCCATGGCGGCCAGACCACCCAGACCTGAGAGCAACGGCATGCTGGCAGAGCTGGGTCATAGATGTACTGGCAGAGAGGCTCTGTTTCCTGAGCTGCTTTCAAGGACACGTGTGAGAAAGCAGGCATGCTCTGCCATGTGGGAGACATTAACATGCTATGCCAGGCCTTGGGGGAACCTCCAGGCCAATGCTACTGTGGCAAGCCCACAAAAGGACAGAGCCTCATTCTACCTCGGCTGGCTTTCTGAAAGATCAGAAGACCGCATGAAAGGCCATGCAGCTGCAGCAGTGACGGTCACCTGGGGACACTTCTCCTGTTGTTATGACCAAAACATACTGACAAAAGCAACTTAGAGGAAAAAGGGCTTACTTTGGCTCACAGTTCAAGGGATGGCATGGCAGACGACCTGAGGCCGGTCACATTACATCATCACTTAGGAAGCAGATGTAGGCTGGTGCTCTGCTAGCTTCTCTTATTCAGTTCCAGGACTCCAGAGAAAGGTGCTGCCCCACATTTCAGGTGGGGGTTCCCTCCTCAGTTAACCTAATCTAGAAACCCCATCACAGACGTGCCCAGAGGTTTGTCTCCTAGAGGATTCCAGATCCTGTCTAGGAGACATCAACACTGACCATCACAGAAGACAAGTATCAGAGAAGGGATTCACATCTCAACTGCAGGCAGAGTCAGACCTAGAGGCGGGGCCTGTGATTAAGTTAAATCCTTCCCATTGCCTTTGTGACCTGGAAAGAAATCAGTCAAGTCCACATCCCCCTAAATAAAATTGGAAAAAAAAATAATTATTTCACAATAACCACCTCCTAAGGGTTTTAAGTATGTGACGTGTACAATGGAGGCAGTCTGGGAAACTGACTGAAGTCTGCATCCCATGTTGACTCCAATTCTTTCTAAATACAGCTTATTAGAGTAGTGCATTTAAAGACTAGGCTAATGAACTGTATTTTAACAGAGGTGTGAAGGATAAGCAAGAGCCCTGGGGTTGGAGCCATGGGGCAAATGGAGAGACAGAAATGACATCAGCACCAACTAGATGACCTAAATACCAAATGAACAGCAGCAAAGCTAACAGGGGGCTTCTGGGGTCTTCTGGAAGGGGCTGGCTGAAAGCAGGAATCCCCCGGCCACACCCACCGTGAATGTGGAGGAATGGATTGAATTTCTCATGTTGGGAAAGGCAGTGGTACCTGGAAGCTCCAGGTCTACCTGTGATACTTAGGAGCTTGCTGCAGAAATGGACACATAAGTGTGTAGATAGAATTAACGGGAAGGAAGGATGGCTTACTATACCAGGGAATCTGAATTGCACCACTGCCAATCATGGTGCCAGTCCCAGTTAGTAGAGGGTGGGGGGAAAAGAAAATGACAGCAATCCATTTAATATCCATTGTTGGAATAAAAACATAGTCTCAGGCATCTGAAAGGCCATCTCTATGTGCCCAATCACTCTTGGCTTCTCTGCCAATGGAAAAGCTAGGACAGAAAACCTCTTTCTCTGCTCTTGTGTCAGCCAGTGGGATCCGAGGGCCAATGCGACACCTGACCCAAGGAAGGGACTATGACATTTTTCACTAAAATTAAGTATTTTCTAAGACACAAAGACAGTAAGCTGTAACCATTATTATTTGACAACTCTAAGATCAAAAGTTTGCTGTGAGACTAGAGGGCTGTAGGGACCCTGGGGGTACTATGGTTTGAACGGGAAACGTCCCTCCACATGCTCATACGTTTGAGCACTTGTCAGCTGGAGGCACAGGTCTGAGGGCTTGCACAACCTTTTGGGATGCAGTGCTTAGTCGATAAACTTGGACTGCTAGGGGGTGGGCCTCCGGTTCTAGTCTAGAGCACTCTGCTCTCCAGTGTGCCAGGTGAAGGAGCTCTGTCACAGATTCCTGTCACCATCGCCAAGGACAGGTGCTGCTCTGCCGCGCCTTCCCCATTACGACGAACTCTACTCTCTGGAACCACTAGCCAAAGTCAATCTTTACTCCCTTTAGTTTCTTCTTCTATCCAGTATTTTGCCACACACAAGAACCCCACCCCCACCCCAAGACACTAACACAGGGAAGGAGGTGGTTAATTGGCCTAGTTATGCAGATAGGTAGGAAGAACAATTTCTAATTTCCTGCTGTATAGTAACATAGCTATGGTTGGCAAAAATTAACTTTTTATGTCAAAATACCCAGAAAGGGGGATTGTAAATGTTCCCAACATAAAGAAAGGATGACTGCCAAAGTGATGGGCATGCCATGTAACCTCATTAATCATCATCATATATAAGTACTGTGTACATGTGCCTCATAAATACGGATAATGATGTATAATGTGTGAGAACTGCATTTACTTATTTTCTGTTGTTTTTCAGACAGGGTCTCATATAGTCAATCAGGCTGCCTTGAACTTGCTATATAGTCAGGCATCCTTGACCAGAACTTCTGATCCTCCTGCCTCCATCTTCAGAGAGCTGATTACAGCATCACCACACCCAGTTGACACTGTGCTGGGCTTTGTGCGAGCTAGGTAAACACTCGACCAACTGGTCTACCTCCTCAACCTTCAATTTGAAATTGTTTAAAAGATTTAATTTTTGGGGTTGTTTTTGTTTTTTCAAAACAGGGTTTTCCTGTGTAGCCCTAGCTGTCCTGGAACTTGATTCGTAGATCGGGCTGGCCGAGAACTCAGATCTGCCTACCTCTGCCTCCGAGCACTGAGATTAAAGGCGTGTGCCACCACGCCCAGCCTTAAAGGACTTTTTAAACTTTCTGTGAACAGTATCTGGTGTGAAGGTGCCGGTCACTTCCCACATCTTGGGTGTAAAAATGTCCTAGGTTACCTGTTCCCATGATCGATTTTGGCCGTGACCTTCTTCTTCAGCTCCGCTAGTTCGTCCTTGGGGAGTGTTCCAGACAGGATCTGGGAGCGCCACTCGATCAGACTGTAGGTCATTTGCTGCAGCTGGCGGAATAGTGTGACCTTGTTGTTCTAAAACAGGAAAGGACAGAAAGGAAAACAAGGATGTGATGGAGAAAGAGTATCTTAGCATAGATTAGCTACAGGGTGTCATTTATTAGGACACATGGTAAGCTGCACACTTTGAGGCATATTTTCATGTTGCTAGGGATAAGTTTGCCCAAGCTACTCTGAATTTGTCCCAAAATGTAACTCTAAAACTGGGTAAACAGTTGCAGATTGGTCCTAAATTATAAACTCATCCTAAAATTCTGACCATGTCCCTTTCTCCGTTTAAAACCCTTTAGGCATTCCCACCAGGGATAAGAGGGTTCATTGTAAGTCCTTTTGTGGTTGGCCTGGACCACATTCCCATCTATATTTTGTATCAAGCTACACCACAGTATCTGTGCTTCATCATGCACAGCTGCGATCATTTCTTCCAAATGTTCTGGAGCCTGTCATCATTTCCTCCACCTGTAACCACACTGTCCTCCTCCTTCCAAACCTCTTTTGTATGTACACGCTCATATGTGGGGGTGTTCACACATGTGTGTGTATGTGTGTGCAGGCGGGATCAAGATCAGGGCTCCTCCTTGAAGTGTGATCCTAATTAGTCTTACCAATAAAAACCAAGAGTCAAAAACTGGGGTAATAACCTGAAAGATTAGAGAAGCAGAGCAACAGTCACTGGTGACTTCTTACCTCTATGAATCCTCAGACGGAAAAGGGGGAGGGATCCTGTCTCTACCCGCTTTATATTCCTGTCTCCATCTCCCAATTGTGCTGGGATTAAAGGCATGAGCCTCCCAAGTGCTGGGATCAAAGGTGTGAGCCACCACCACCTGGCTCTATGGTTAACCCTCTGATCTCCAGGCAAGCTTTATTTGTCAGAACACAAACAAAATATCACACAACACTTCCCCATTCACCCTTCACCGTTTTTGAGACAGACTCTCTGGCTGACCCTGGAACGCAGTGACTTAGGTAGAGTGGCTGGTCAATGAGCCCCAGGGAACTGCTGGTCTCTACCTCCTCAGCTCTGGGATTACTCATGTTTGCCATCACATCCAGCTTTTACGTGAGCATTGGGATCCAAAATCAGATCCCCTGCTTACACAGCAACTGAGCCAGCTCCCCAGCCCCACCAGCTGCCTAATTCTGACTGCAGTCTCAACTGAGTCTTGAGTTAGCCATGCCTTCCTTTGATTGGAGTTTATAACCCACAGCAGCACACAGAGCCCTGGAAGACTGTGGCCTAGCTGGCTCTCTTCCTGGCCAGGAATCACCCCTATTGTGTCTGTGTCTGCAAAATACACCAAGGAAAGCATTATAAGGGGAGAAATAACCAATTTTAGAGATACGGAATATTGAAAAATATGACTTTTAAATTTTTATTCTTAAAAATCTCTATTCCCCCAGCAAATGGACACTGATTATTATTCTGGGCTTTACTAGTAACTCACCAAACTGTGCTAAAGCAAAGTTACAACCAAATAATCTTTTGTATCTCAATAATTTTGCAAGTCAAATACTTGATGTCTGAGCCATCAGCCTCTCAGTTCTATCTAAATGGTTGACTGGATCATTATGTACTCTAAAGAAAACCATCAGCCAGTGAGAATGAATTGGAAACAAAGTTCCTGCCCTGGAAAATCCAGCATCGTGGAGGGGAAGAGAAGTAATAAATAGGTATGCGTAGGCATGTATTTACTATGTACTATGCTATTTTTTTCCCCAGAAGCACTGGGATTGAATTTAGGAACTCACACATGCTAAACAAGCGCTCTTACCACTGAGCTACAACCCTGGGGCTTACATTACTATATCTATACACACAAGATAATCTCAGATTACCAAGAGTATAAGAAAGAAAATGGGAAAATAAGGAAAAGAAAAAATTGAACAAGCTGGATGTAGTGGTGCACACCTTTAATCTCAGCACTTGGGAGGTGGAGGAAAGAATATCTCTGTGAAGTTCAAGCCCAGCCTTGACTACATAGTGAGCTCCAGGCTAGCCAGGGTACACAGTGTGATTCTGTCTCAAAAAAAAAAAAAAAGTAGAATATGATGCTATACACATAGTGGAAAGGGCCACCTTAGACAGTCAGGAAAAGCACACTATATTCGAAATGTATCAAATACAAACCTGTATAGTACTCCTCATTCCTTATGGACTATGATGCTAGTGGTTTCTTGTTTGTAGGTAAAAGTCATGATGCTGTTATAGGACCGTGTAGTTCTGAAGTTAGTTTATAACTCACCCATGGTGTGTCAACCATTGTTAGAGTTCAGTACTCAGTGTCCAAGTACTCGGTTCAACCTTGGTTCCACCTGACTGGTTGACTGGCCCATTACATAGAGAAGATATATTGACAATGTAGGGAGAAAGGTGAGAGGAGGTGGGGAAGGGAGTGGGGGGTGGAGACAGTGAGGGGGCGTTCTCAGGGCTGCCACTATTCCCCTCTTGTTGGTGTTCTAACAACTCCAGGAACAGATCCCCAGGCAAAAGCCTCAGCCAGAACAGAGCTGGAAACATCCAAGGTATTTCTGAACAAAGCTTCAATCTGTAGGGAAGAAGCCTGGCCCACAGGTGTGGCAGTGAAGGCAGGGATGAGATTAGTAACTTTTGATAAAAACTCTGATACAAGTTCAAAGTTCACAGGAACAAAAGGAGGAGGAGGAGGAGGAGGTGCGCAATTATCTGTGATCTCAAGGGGCTTTATTTACACTGCAGAGCTGCACAATCCAAAAGGCAATTCCTATTGAAGACCAGGATGGTATTCACATCTTCGTGCACCCTCCCGAGCCAGGCCTTAGAAAGCAGAAGGAGATAGGGAAAGATCTTGTCTTCAGTCAACATAGGTAAAACCTCTGCCTTTTTAGTTCAATTCTGCACGCAATGTTCCCATTCCATTGTTTCACAAACTGGGGGGGGGGGGAGGTTGGGGGCTGGTGGTGGCTAAGCCTACAGATTGACTAAGCCTTTCAGAACTGCTAGATGGAAAAGGAGCTTTTTCCCCTTCCCTGTGACTCCTCTACCCCTATAGCTTTTAGTGTCTCCTAGCTGTAATTATGGCATTCACTTCCATACTCAAGAGAAAGAAAGGGTTCCAGGGGCCCCGGGAATCCTCTGCATGATAAGGTGCTTTGTCTGGAGGCACATGCTCACAAGTTCTCAGTCTCAATTATATCAGACATGATCCGTGGCACTTTAATTATTGCCTGTCCGTATCAGCCTCGTTTGCCAAGTCCTTCCCCCAAAGAAGGATGAAGACAGTCATTCTTCTCTCACTGTGCCAAATTCATTCTCAATAGACAAGCCGGAACAGGGCAGAGGAAGTGAGTTCCCTGCTTACTTCAAGGAGAAGGGCTTTGCCCCAACTGCTCTGGGCTAGCAGTTTGTATCCTAGATGCCCCTCCCTGCCCCTCTGGCACCTCATGCATTTTTGAGGAGGGGCGGGGGTAAGCATCTGAGAGCAGAAGAGAAAGATCCTGCGCTCCCAAGTAGAATGAGTATGTCACGTTCTTCTGTGTCTCTCCAGTTGTCCTCTGCCTGGGATTTGGATATGACTTGTCCTCCCCAAGGGGTCCAATGTGCAGAGCCATGATGGGGGTGGTTGACTTTCTGAGTGGCCCAGTAGGAGGTAATTTAACCACAGGGGGTACTGCTGAGAGGGAGGGGTTAAAGGTGGCCTCCTGGACTAAGCTAGTTCTAAATCGGTTGATTCTTTGGTAATTTCATACATAGATCATCTTAAGCCTATCCTCTCCCCAGGCTCTTCCCCATCCATCTTCCTGAGTTTGCTGTTCTGTAACCCACTGAGTCCAGTTAACAGAGCTTTCTAGACTACTGATCGGTGCTGTCGGATTGATCATGTGTAGGTTTTGGGTAGGTAACCACAGCTGCCGTGAGTTCATGAGACCAATGACCCCTGCCACATCCACAAGACAGCACTCCACAGCACTCCTCCCTAGCCTTCTTAGATTCTTTCTGGCCACCTTTCACAAGACGATGTCCCCTGAGCCTTGGTGACAACGGGGGTAGGGGTGGGGGAGTGATGTTGTATAGGTGTCTCATTCCGGCTGAACTCCCCACAGCCTACTTCTACAGTTACTACAATCATAACTGGTCCAAGAGTCGCTTCCTCTCAGCTCTTGGACCGGTTATGATTCTAGTAACTGCCCACCACAGCAGAAGGCAGCTCTCTGGCTAAGGTGAGGACAGTATGTTCGTTCTTGATAAAGTTGATAGGAAAGAGTGCAGCCCTGGGCTGGGAATCACTCCTGCCTCACCCTGTGAGGTCTTCTCCCTGTACACAATCCTGCCATGAAGCAATCTTCTGTGATATGACAGGGCAATAGGGATGAACAGATACAGGTGCCCGATCCTGAATGTTCAGTTTCCAAAACTGGGAGCAAAACAAACCTGTTTTTTTTTTTTTTTTATACAATCCCTCGGCTCTGGTGTTCTGTGCGGGGAGCAGAAAATGGGCTAAAGGCTCTCCGTGCTGGCCTCTGCTTCCTACACCCGACACAACCCAAGCCTGCCCTCTACAGAGCCTCTCCTCCACCATCTTTGGTCTTCTCCAAGTTAGCCTTTTCTCTACTGTTAGCCATCGTTACATCATCTCTGCAAACGTCAGCACGATCCAGGGATCTAGTAGGAACTTGGGAACAAATCTGAGGGCTTAAATTTTTAAAAGAACAGTCTGGTTTCAATTTGAGTGAGGAACTGTTACCCCACGGAACACACCCCAGATACCATTTTCTACCAGACAATACAGCCATCCCTCTATCTCACTTGGTGTATTTTTCTAATCCAGATGTTTATCCTTTTTCTTTCTTTCTTAGAATTTCTGGAGAGAAAGACCAAGGCATAAGAACAGATAGCTTTGCCCCCCATGGTGACAGGAATGCAGTAGTCACCCGGGGAGTATTAAGGAAATCTGGAGGCTGTTCAGGCCACCATATGGACTGATTAGGTGTCAGGACACAGGTTCTGCTCACCTCCTCTCCTTCTTCCATGGGGT